TCATTTCGACATTCTTATAAACATTCGTATAGTGGTAGTACAATTTAACTTTTAGGTTTGCGTTGTGAGTAACCTATGCCAAGGAAAAATCAATAACCCCAAATTCAGTTAAATTCGATGTTTCTTAAAAGCCTCCCGGCTCAAACAAATGGAGGGACAGGACAGACCACAGAAACTTATACACAACATAAATACACAAATACAATTAAATTTTAAACACACATTTATTAAATTGACTATTTTATATAATTAAATAATGGATAACTGATCAGTAATCCTACCACATATTTTTCTAAGCCAAAATAACACATAATACTACACCAAATTACAGCTTACATTAATTAAGATTAACATTATTTTTTCAAATTAAGTAGGTATAACAAAATTTAATCCTCCAAATAACAGGTTCTCATTAATTAGAAAGTAACGTTTTTCTAGCTCACAAAATTCAGTAGGTGAAACAAATTTTAATCCTCCTAAAACTGGCATTCACTTGAAATTATAAATAACTTCTCAATTTTACTAACTGTAATATTTAATTTATATAAGTAATAACAATATACAGGTAGATAAATCATTATTAAATGTTCTGCATTCGGGAAAACTAAGAAAGAGAGAGAGAGAAAATATACTTAAAAATTTCACTCACAGATGGAAAACAGTTTTTCCTGATTAGCAGGATCCTTAGGCCCCGTTCAGAGGAGGGCGTAAAGGGCATAAGTGGTTAAAGCCGAGCTCCGTTGCCAAGGCAATCAGTCTCTGCTACGTCACAGAATCTGGTTTAGGACTCGTGGCATAGGGTTCAAAGTTTTTAACTTTACGCCGAGTTTGGGATAAGCGTCGACCAATCAGAGCGAAGCTAAAACGAAGGGGCTTTCTTTAGACGATTTTCTGTCACAACGAAGGCGGCGTTTTTTTTTTTTTTAATATGGAACACATCGTATCCGAATGAGTTGTAATCGTATCTGAACGAAATAAAGAGTTGACCTCGCAAGAAATCTACGATGATGACATGCATTTTTTAATGAGTTTTTAATGCATTTTTAATGAGTTTTTCAATTTATATTGAAAAATATGGATGAAACTCGTAAAGCGAAAGTTAAGATCAGGATTATTCACGATCCTGTAGATGATTGATCCCATCCAAGATTTTCCATTTTATTGTGAAAATTCATTAAAAAATGCATGATTGCAAAAATTTTATTTTTTCTGTGTAAATTATTATTATTTTCTTTCTGTCTATAATTTCCTGTTTAATTATTTTTGTATTTAAGAATAAATTTATTGAAAAAGCTGAAAATATTGTATTGCTATTTGCTTCAAATGCTGATTTTCTTTTTAACAAACTTCATGAATTAATTTTACTAAAACATCAAATCAATATCAAAAATCTGCTGTTTTTTTTAATAGTAAAACTATTACTTTAAAGAAAAAAGAAAAAATTATTTTCACTTATTTAAGAATAGTCACAATAGTCAATTCAATGGTGTAAGCTTTGTATAAGTAATAAAACATTAATCTTTTGAGAAAATGCTTTTATGAATTCCAAGAAGGAAAAAATGTAGTGAAATATCCTTAAAATAATCAAGAGTCTAGACAGTTTTGTCTCCTCTTGAAGTTCTGTTCTGTTTTTTAATTACGTTCTCCATGAAAGGAATTTACTTTTAATGAAACTGAATAGCACACATAATTCGTAACATAGACTATAATTTAATGAATAGTATTTATTATTATTATCCACTCTTTATTACTATCTTTTGAATGGAATTTTGATCATTAAATTCATGTTCTCTAGAAAAAATTCCTGGATAACGTATGAATGTTTATAATTTTGATGTATTTGAAGACTTGGGTACCTAAAATTTGTCAATGTGAAATTACTTTTGAGATTTGGTCGTAAATAGAAATGACAGCATATGTTGAAATTAAATTCAGGGGTGCGGCTTATACATGCAAATTATTAAATAGGTGTATACAAACGGCTGGCAACGCAGCAAAATGTATTTAATGATTGAGCATAAAGTACATTCTTGGGTGAACGTTTCCTAGTATTGTACTAGTTGTGTTTGCTGGTCATTGTGACCAGTTGTGGGATACTATTACTAGTGATAATTGATACTGGTAGTGCAGCAAACTACTATAGTGATTGACAGGGACAGTGAATAAGGAGTGCTAAGCACACATGTTTCACTGTCACAGAAACATGTTCCTTTTGATTGAAAATTTAAAAAAAAATAATAATAATGTATGGTAAGTATTGTTTTTAGCTTAACTGCTTTCACACCTGCAAAATGGAAAAATATTATATACAGGCTATCTGTTAGTTATCCTCAAGATTTTTTTTAACTAGGCATATTTAGAATATCGTATTTCTCCCAAGAGAAATTATATATAAAAATTGAAGAAGGTTATATATATATAAATATGTATGTGCATGTTTATAGTATAGAGAGTACTACAGTACAATGCAGAAATATTCCATAGTGCTTTGCACAGAAATATATCTGCCAACCAAGTATTGGTCTTTCAAAAAAATATATCTCGACTATTTCGTTCTTTTTCGTTTTTTACCTTCCTCCGTTGCCTCTTGGCTAATAAGAAGGGCAGATAAAAGATCATTCTGTTGATCCAGTAAAATTTTGTGGCGAGCTGAAAAAACCATGACACAACGAAAAAAACAAGCAGAGCGAAAGCGGGAAATCAATCCAGCGGGAGAACAGCGCGGGAATGTTATAGACATTCCACGCATGCGCAAATTTAGCTTCTCTCATTGGCCACTGCTTATACCTCATTCTCGCAGGTGTGAACAGGTCTCCCCTATTTTATGCCCTTATGACTATGCCTCTATGCGCTTTACGCCCACGTCTGAACGCACCTTTAATGTCCAATCCACATGGAAATGAGCCAAGCCTATTTTTCTTTCTGTGACAACCCTTTCTGAAAATCATTAGGAATCACGAGTGGAAATTACAGTCTAATAATTCTTCAAACAGCCATGTTGGAATCGCTTTAACTGTCCATGTTAGGTGGGAACCAATAGTCCAATTTAGAAGGATCTTTTATCTATCCCAATCCTGATCTTTTATCTGGGTGGGAACCAATAGTCCAATTCAGAAGGCTCTTTATTTCAATTCAATAACAGGTAGCTGAATATACACCAGTTTTTAGCACAATCACGTGCATCATCGAAGCGGCGAGGCAACATTTTATGCTGAATGTTTCGGAAAAAGGCTCTTAGAGATTAACCGGCGATTCAGGTGAAGAGAGAAAATCTGTGCTAAATTTTCTTGGTAGATTTTTCTCTATACATCTCAATCAGCTCTCAGTAAAAATGCTCTTTGCAGCTCGCGCACATTTCTCCATACATCACGCAGGAAAATGTTCCTTGCATCTCGCACAAAACTTTTAAATATCCCGCAGAAAAAGAATGCATTCTTTAAAGCAAAGAAAACGGTATCCCGTCCTTCTTGCTCAGGAAGCCCGCAGCAGAGCAAAGTGCCCCACGATCTTTCTTTCTCTTTCACATCGCGGCTGCTCAAAATTCACTCAAATCAGACTCCGCTACAGCCATCACCGCAGCCCGCTGGTACAAATCGCTCGCCCCGCAAAACTTTCTGCTCCTCCTTTTTCTTTTTTTTTTCGATCAAAAATCAGAATGAGAATAATCTCTAGCCTGGTGCAAGCACCCAGGAAATCTCGGTTTCTCCACCTCTGTGAGTTCATAGGCTTTCAAAAAAAATCATAAAATTAAATCTTACCAATTCCGGAATTTTACGTTAACTAAATTGAGGAAATGACACACCCATGACGAATCAAACACCAGAAAATCTGACAATGCAATCCGAAAAACATCAGAAGGCTCTTTCTCAAAGTGAGAAAAAAATAGACCCCCCAACTAACAAGCGAAACTAAGCTTTACGAGCATCCAATTACCTAACACCCACTGTCTTGAAGTATGCAAAACTGCAAACTTTACAAAGCGACAGGAAGACAATTTCCGTTTCACACGCCATGAGTTAACAGGCGACAAACACCCCCTACTGTCTCCATTGTTAGTAAAAGGCCATAAACCACATGGCTTTGCAACCGTTTCCCACCTTTGTTACAATTCCTACTCAAGAATAACAAGTTAAATAAAACCTTAAGAGCTTAAGAATACTTTTTTCCTGGTTAAAATACACATGAATACAAATAAAAATATTAGAATAATAATAACTTAAAACACATATTAATACTTAAAATTCGCTACATAACAATGGTGGAAATTATGTGAGTATGTGTGTTGGGAAACGACGAGTTATAAGGAAAAATATGGTTGTAATCAAAACATGCGGAGCGCGTAATAAAAAGAAAGGCAAAAACAGAAAATAAAATTTTTAAAGTTACATAGAGCACCGTAACAGAGTGAAATAAAGAAAGAATGTCAAAAAGCGTAGATTCACCGGCAATTAATGCTCCTTGAAAACGATGCTAACAATAAGTTAGAAAACATCATCCACTGAGCCATTTCGTTCAAGTGACGGATGGTGCTAAAGCACTTAAAAGCTCAATAAATATATTTCTAGAAGAATGTACTTGTTGTGGTAAACATTTTTATTTGGAAAATAAAAGCCATTTCAAAAAAGGAAATTTAGCCTTGAATGAATATCAAAATGATATTGTATTCACATGAAAGTATGAGTGTTATTTAATTTCAGCCATTTTGTATTTCCAAGTTCCTTTTAATGAATTTCTACGCTTTTTTTCATGTTAATTGTGCTTTTTTAGATCGATGAAATAGATGTGGAAACAAATAAATAAAATTTCTTTGTTTGCAAAATTAAGCTGAATATTGCAAATGGACGTAAATATATCCCTGTGCAATAAGTGTAAAGAAAAGATCATGTATTGTTAAAATGTTAGAGGGTAATGCAGTATTTGTACTGCTAGAATGAAATGCTTCTCTGCTGGAAACTATGATAAAATTATGAATGAAAAAAGTAAACCTATCTCTTTCCCAGTTGCAGAAGGGGGTTGCCGAGCCGAAACATGCTATGGTGGAAGATGCGAGATAAAAGATGAAATAAAAATTTGTATATGTCCTAAAGGCTTCCATTTGAAAGGCATTGGCTGTCAAGGTGAGTACCCTTTATCAAAATATCGCAATACGGACACACATATGCATATATCTAAGTTTAAGAATAATAAAGAAATGGAATAGAAATAAGTTTAGAGTCCATCGCACATTCAGTTCGGGACAAATCACATGCAAAAACAAACAAAACAAAACAAAAAATAGTAGAAGCAAGAGGCAAACAAACCACATGCAAAACCTAAAAAAAGAAAATAGTAGAAGCAAGAGACAAACTAATCGCATGCAAAACCTAGAAAAAAGTAGAAGCAAGAGGCAAACAAACCACATGCAAAACCTAAAAAAGAAAATAGTAGAAGCAAGAGGCAAACAAATCGCGTGCAAAACCTAAAAAAAAAGTAGAAGCAAGAGGCAAACAAACCACATGCAAAACTTAAAAAAGAAAATAGTAGAAGCAAGAGGCAAACAAATCGCATGCAAAACCTAAAAAAGAAAATAGTAGAAGCAAGAGGAAAACAAATCGCAAGCAAAACCTAAAAAAAAGTAGAAGCAAGAGGCAAACAAACCGCATGCAAAACCTAAAAAAAAGTAGAAGCAAGAGGCAAACAAACCACATGCAGAACCTTAAAAAAAAAAAAAAAAAAAAAAATTAGTACAAGCAAGAGGCAAACAAACCGCAAGTAAAACCTAAAAAAATTTTATATATATATTATATATATATATAAAATAGTAGAATAATATATATAAAATAGTAGAAGCAAGAGACAAAACTAAAAAAATAGCGGTTCAATCATTTCAAAACCAAAAATGAAAAATAATATTTACATCTTTCTCAGCATATACATCGGGGGGGGGGGGTGCAACGAAAGAAGTAAGTAAATGAAATAAAATAAAGCAGCCTTCTTCTGAACTGACAAATCGAATCTTTAAAAACTATCTTAAAAAAACAATCAAATTAATCTCTGTCTTTTTCAGTCTAACCTCTACAGGCCGAAGTACGTACTGCAAAAATTGTAGCGTAAAAAAGGGACAAATTTATAACAATTGCGAAATAATAGACAAACTAAAAAAAATTTATCTAATACAGTGATTGCCAAACCACCGATCGCGAGCTACTATTAGCTAGAGGGTACATTTTCGATAGATCGCGTTAACGCTCCAGTTGTCTATCCTTGATTCCTCCATTGAGTTGACTCTGACGAAACTGCTTGTTTTTCCCTCACAACTACCATTACCAGCCTCATCTCATAATTGATTGTATACGCATGAGGTTGTGCACGTTATGTTTTTCGTATGTATATCAGACATTTGCTAACTTGGAATAGCTCACATAACTTGGTTTAGTGTAGGATTTACGCATTGGTACCAAGCTAGATCAGTTCTAACTATGGTGTGTTCAAGCAAAAGGCGACCAATCACTTCTTTACCGAGGTAAAGGACAAATATGTGCATTTACTGTGCTATGCAAGTGTATCAATTCGTAAGAAAATAGTGAATTCTAAACCATTTCTAAGATTTCAAAGGGATTCCAATTGTTTGCCAAATCGCCTTTTACAGAGATTATTGCTGATGAGTTCTCCACTTGTGTCATGCAACATTTTGATTTTCAAGAAGATAATGCTGCAGTGGAGTTGGAACTGATTGATTTTTCAACATGACATATCTGTAAAATCACTTTCTTCAAGCTCTAAAAATATTTGGCTTCGTGTTCCTAAAGAAAAATACCCAACTGTTTGTGTCCAGCCATTCTTATCTTATCTAATCACTATATTTTATCTCCTTCATTTGTGCTTTTGCAGCTGAGGCTGATGGATCAGTAAAACCATCGAAACTAGTCCTGTGAACATTTGAAAATATAACGATGATTTTTGTTGTTTGACTTCTAAATTAATACTTGCTCGGCGTGTTATTGTATCTTAATTATTTTACCTGAATTTAAAAATTCATTGCACTACCTGCAGAATAAGACTTTAACATACGCATGGGGATTTTATTTTCTTAAAAGTCTTTTACACCTCCGTCCGTTTTTCCCCCCACAGAAAGACAGGTATGCATTAGTTATAATTTATGTTTAACGCTTATTTATTTTTAAAATAAAATTTTCCCGTTGAAACTGAATTTCATTTAGAGAGAAGAAGTGCCGCAGACCTTTTATTTAGTTCTCTGCTGCGCTCCGGCTAGAATCACGATTTACTTCAGAAAGTTCCGGAGCAATTTAAGCTCAGTATAATTTTATAAACACTTAATACACATCATAGATAAATACATATGAAGGGCTTATGAGTACATAAGAAGACTATTTAACACTATCTGTTTGTCCCATCAATAGTGAATTACCGATAAAATGACCTTCAACGAATCTGCAGACATTAGTTAGGTTTCTAATAAAAGAGAGACATTCTATAAATAAAATAAATCACGTAAATGGTAAAACTTCACAAACGAGCGGCTAATTTGCCTAGTCACTTATATGTCAGCGCCCCAACAGCGTTCGAGCGGTAAAATCGCTGAACACTAGTAGCTGGAACCCGGGTCCGATTCCAGGCGAACTGGTTGGCTGCATGGACGTTTTCGTGGTTTTAACCATGTGTAACGTGTATGTGAGTCAGTTTCCATTAGAAAATTCTCCACTAAGGTATATAAGGCCCTTAGGCAGATAGCTCAATATGCTTTGCCATAACCAACTAAACCATCACTTGTATGCCAGTCACTGCAAGTAGCAAAGTTCACGCAATATATATAATTCGCTACCGTTTGGAGTTATTCTAATTTTCATTATTGCATGTAATCATGTCCTTTATGAATATTTTTCACATTTGTATTATTAATAACATTAATATAAATATAATATTTTATAAATATAATATTTTATTTTCCCTTTGCGTCGCTGCATTATATTTCGCGTGTTTTATATTTAACTTGTAACTTGTATTTATATTTTACTAGTAATGCAACATTACAAAAACAGAAAATTTGAAATTAGCATTATCTGTCGCTTAAGTATTGTCAAACCGTAAAAGACTACAGTGAAATTCAATACTATATTGCAAATGAAACCCCGTGTATTAATAAGATCATTCAAGAAAACTTTGAGAAATGTCACCTCGAAGAGATATGCGAGCTCTCCAGGTATGTTCTTACTTTGGATAATGGTGTTCCTCCCCTTAGGCAGAGAGACCTCGAGGCTTTGCCATAATCACACGCACCTGGATAATGGTGAAAGGGAAAAAAAATCATTTGATTTTTAGGTAAAAGATAATACCTTCTTCCCTGTTGCGGATAAAGAGGTGTCAACCATTTAGCAGACACATCCATTTAGCTGACAGGTACACTAAGCCGACACCGCCAGTTACTAAATGTGTTAACTAAATGATTGAGTGGCTAAATGTGTTAACTAAGTGATTGAGTGGCTAAATGTGTTAACTAAGTGATTGAGTGGCTAAATGTGTTAACTAAGTGATTGAATGGCTAAATGAGTTGTTAACTAAATGACTGAGTGGACTAAAGTCCGCTCAATGATTGATGACTCAATGAAAGTCCACTCAATGATCATTAAGTGGACTAAAGTCCACTCCCGTTAGTTAACTAAATGATTGAGTGAACTAAAGTCTAATCAATCATTTAGTTAACAAAATATTTTCTCAGTCTATCCAACTACTACTCGCTTCGGTGAAACTTCAAATTATACCAACGCATCACAAATTTTATTCGATATAATTGCTACTCGTTTTTAAAATGAAGCGTTACTGTCTCTTCAGTAAAGTTTGCTATCCTGCCTTTAAGGACTCATACTTAAAAACTCTCAAAAGCTATCTTTACAATACATTTCTAAAGGTTTAACAGTCCAAGGATAGGGCTTTTGAACACGGCTTCTTTTTCCGTGTCCTGCGGCCAGGTAAGTAATAGGAGAGTTACCATACACGTTTGTTTAGCCGACATGTCCTTTTAGCTGATAGGCTGTTTAGTTGACAGTATCTTAAATTGTCAGCGCGAACATTTAGATGAAACCATAAATACAAAGCTTTAGTAAAATTTTCCATCTGACAATAGACCGTTTCTTTGCAGCACATTGAAAAATTTAACAGGCAAAAATCAAATCTTTTGTCTTTATTTAAATGCTAGAGTTGCTTAATACTTGTGTGTGCGTCTAAAAAAAATAACGGCGTTTTGTTAGCATAAATTTAGGTATTTTGCATAATGAAACTCGAAAGGCATACGAAACGAACGTGCGCCAAGGTATATATTGGCGAGAGAAAGTAAAGCTCGTGTGCAATGCAGTATATTTGATTTTTCACCTTAGCTACTTGTACCTGGCCAAAGGTCTAATCCAGTAGTACTTTCTTCTCTTTCAGGTACGATGGCAAAGTATGTTCCTGTTTATTTTTCTTATTGCATAATATAGGTAAGCCTGATGATATTTAGTACTGATGATGATTCTATGTAAGTTATTCTTTTGAATACTTCAATTTTAATGTCTGTGAAGATTATTACTTTATTGTTATGCTTAAGTTACGCAGAATTATCCTATTTTATTAAATAAAGATTTCGTAGTTATTCTTTTGACTTCTACTGGATCCAGACAAAATCTACTTGTTTTTTTAAATATTTCTATCGAGAAATTGAAATATAATCATTGTAAAATTTAGTGGTGGTACTAAAGTTTTCAGTTTTTATTTAGCGATTAGACACGGGAGCTGCCGTCGCGCTACTGAGAGCAAATCCAAGCAGAATTGGGAGAATCACTTTTCTGTGGGGGTTTCTGTAGCTATGCGTGAAGTGGAAAGCAGATGACGTGGAATTGCAGCATAGGGGCAGTGGAGAATACATGCTATGCAAATATAAGCAATCTGAATGAGTAATGCAGATAGAATAATACTAAATTTGATTAAACCTGAATAGATATGAAGATACAGAACATTAAATATGGAAACAATATTTGCAAGTTGTATGTTAAACTGGTAAGATAACGAAATTTTTGCTTCGCTAAAAACACAGTCTTAACTGCTTTGTCAGTTAATTTGGATTTGAGATTCACTCAACAGGGCAGATGAGATGCATTATGAAAGATCGTACAAGGTCTCGAGAATAGTTGATCTACTGTGGGATAGTAATTATTGCCTCTATATGAGTAATTTGAATTCATTACTTCCCTGAAAAAGTTATGTGAACTCGCTATCATATAATCTTGTGCATGCAGGATGTTAAGCTCTTTATCAAAGTATAACTTTCCAACGAACAAAGGCGAGTTCGTTGTGGAAAGGAGACTGTTTTGGAATGTCCAGACTTTCATCCTGTAAGTTTTTGGCGCTATGGCCCAAAGTGGAAATCCGTAAAATTATACCAGGCGTATGAGGGAAATGAATAAATTTCTCTTCACTGTTATGAGAAGTTTTGACTTTTGTACGTCAGGCAGTATATTGCCATGTAGAAGGCATTTGCTTTGCTTAGTACATACACGACATGTTCTTTAAAGTTCAGCAGCTCATCCAAGATAAACCCTAAATATTTTGCTAGAGTTTACAGTTGGGGTCAATTTATTATATGTATGTATATTAAGATTAACTTGCAGATTTTTACGATATCTCCTGAAAAGTATTACGCAACATTTTTCGGCATTTAGATTAAATTTCCATAATTTTCACTAATTCCTATCATGCGCAGACCAAACTGTAAGTTATTAACGGCTCGTAGAAAACCGATTGGTCTAGATATGACGAGTGCGTCGTCTACATATTTGTCTGTTTTGTAATTTAGAGGCTTCGGCATATCGTTTATATGTAATGCTTTTATTTAGTAGTCTCTATATTGCAAATATGTGTCTAATTGGTTGCAGAACTCTTTATCATATTGTTAAAGTCCTATTAGAATTGGACTAAAGGTAATTTCTAGTACCGTTTCATTCTGAATGATCTCTTAAGTAGAAAATTAACAGATGATCAGAATCACCTTAGATTCTGTTGCTTCCGAATTGAATTGGATTAGCTTATAAATAGGTCCTATATGGCAAACGCGGTTGAAGGCTTTCGCCACTTCTAGCATGAGGAAGGCAACGCTTTGTTTCATATGAATAGCTGCGCTAATACATTCAGTTCACAAGCTGCATCGTTGTCGAAAGTCCTTTTCGGATGCTAAATTGGTTATCCGGGAGATTATATTTAGATTTCTCTAAGTCCGTTCAGTGTGATCCTTTCACAGATTAATAATAACATGCATAATGTAATAATTTTTAATTGGGTACCCATTTATGTCTATAAAAGATGCTTAATGAAATATTTTCTCGTGTAAGAGAATGCGTGATAAAGCAAAATTTAAAAAATAAACCGAACTAGTGAGAACTGAATTGAGTTCGTGTATTGTTTATTTTATTTTTATTTATTATACTTGTCCTTTAAGCGCAATAGGTTTCCTTTATTTAATGGTTACTAGTATGCTTTAAATATGTTTCAATTGAATGTTTGACTATTTTACTTTTTGAGTCTTTGGCCATTCAACCGGCACGAACCTGAAAAACAAATGTTAACACAACGTGATATCTCCCTATATTCGGTTTCAGTTAGAGTTATAATTAAGGTGAATACAATTATTTATTTGAGTAATATTAGCAGTGACGTATGGTACTTATTTTTAGTGTGTAACGATTTCAGGTGGCATTATTTTGTTTTCCTTTTGATATTACATTCGGTTCCGTTACCAGTTATATTTAATTATGGTGCAGTAACAATCATGATGAAACACTCTTAATTGCTTAATGAAGTATTCTGAGGACACATAAGACTTTTCAATGACCATAAGTGCATGCCCAAAATTATGTTAAATCAGATAATGGTTGAGAGTGCGGACAGCCTTCCCTTAATTAATTTCTGAGTTTGGCAGTCTATTGAATATCTATAGGAATTCTAGATGGAAAGTTGTTTTCACAGAGATAGTTGAGTTACAGAGATTAAACTTTGCATCCGGATTCTCATGCCCTTTCTAATATACTATCTAGTGTAATTAAGCAAAAAATTCATAAAATGCACTGAAGTTTCTTTTGAAGTAAGAAATTAATAATACGTTTTAAAGCAAAGTTAGTTTTGAACTAAATGTTTTTCTTTTTGACAGAAACTGTATGCGAAATGAACAAATGCTTCGGAGGTAAATGTGATGTAGTTGATGGGCAGGAGATTTGCACTTGTTTAGATGGTTATATACTCAATGACAACACTTGTGAGAGTAAGTAGACACTCTTTTATGTTCTCGCACATTATAAGAACAATTAATGGTACCATTATATTTATTTTTGGAAAATAAAACGTTTTCATTATTAATAATAACGAAGAAAAAAAGAACACAATTTTTAGCTTCATTTCCTCAAAATTCATTCCACACTAAAGATAATATTTATCATATGGTTGGAAAGAAGTTCTGATAAAAGGTATTATATCAGACGTTTGATTTAACTTGAATGCGTACAAAGTCACCGTGCACTAAAAATGTACAACACGTAGTTTACAAAAGCAAGTGAATTAAACATTACATGGGTTAAATAAAATAAACAAGACCAGGGAATAATGGTCTAGGCTTCTCGAAAATATAAGTTTATTAGCCAAGTTAGGCATAGTTTTCTTTTACATCGTTCTGCAGGCATAATCTAGGGTTTTTAAAAGTGGCACAGAAGAAAATTAAATGTTCTAAATCTTGACGTAATGTTTTTTCAACATCAGCATAAGTTGCTTGATATTATATTGAAACGAAAGAGATAATTTGCAAATTTACTGCGAGCAGAAGAAAACTGTGGTCCTTAAAAGTTTACAAGAAAAAAGGCTAGAAATGTAGTCTGTGGTTGACAGGAAAAAATTAATTTTTTTTGTTTGCCTAGGATACTAATATTGATGTTGATAAGTAAATTTAAATCATCTTTATCTAAAAAATGAACTCTTCCATCTCCGAAAGCACCGTGATGACCACGCATTTAAGCAAAACGAATAAAGTTTGCCATTTCTAAATGAGCTGACAGCTAAGAGAGTTTCCATTACCATTTTGTTTTTACTCAGAATATTGCTCCATATGTGAAGCAAAGAGAATCAGAGGAAATAAGGTACTTTGAGCATTTAGCCGCTACAAAGATTAGAAAGAATTGTGACAATTATTTCCAAGTTTTGCTAAGACTTGATTTAAATTTTATCAATTTTTTATCCTGGCTAGTCGCAATCCTTCCATAGACCGGAGAATTTACACAAATTGAATGGTAAGCGAAATATTTTGAAAGTAAGCTATCAGTCTTTAGCCTAGTGGAACTTGCACCATAGCATTATCGCCTTAGCTGAGTAAGCTATGCTGTATTGTGAAATTGTGAAGAAGATACTGATAAAATCTGGTAAGTATTTTAAGGTATTTCAGATACAACCAAAGTTTTATAAGTTTGAGATAATGCTTTTATTGTAAATAATTGGAATTTTAGCTCCAAGGTAAGTCACTATATCTAAGTTGTACGAGCAGTACTTGCTTTACGTTACGTTATTATTTTATGATTTGTAAAACTAACAAAGATTGGTTAATAATGTACCATTTAATTTTCCATTTGAATATGTGAAGTATTAGGGTTGAAAAAGTGTGAAGTATTTAAGTAACTTTTGTGGAAAACTGTTCACTAGTGAGGTTTAGTTATGTCACAATGTAGAAGTTATAAATTAATTCTTACCTACAAAATTTATCATAAATATTTGTGCCCAAAGGATTTCTTAAAATCACTTACCAACTCGACAGCAGGATTAACCGAATGCTAAAGAATGAAACAAGACTACTCTTCCAAATGTTGATGCATTTTCATGCCCAGTATAAAGGCGACATTTAATTTGTTTTAATACAAATTAGTGGCCAATCCACTCTGGGGTACATACTTATCACTGACATTTAGTGTAACAAAATAAAGCTACACACTTTTAATAAATGTGCTTGAAATTGCTCTACAAATGCCAATTAAAACTTCAGCATCATGATTTATGAAGCAACATATAAAACGTTGTCGTTACACAATCTGCCTCTGTATGAAATTACCAGTGTTACGTAGAAAAAAAAATAATATTTTTCACTTAACTTTTATCTCTTTAAAACTGACTGCTTGGAGCCGCGACAAAAAAAAAAAAAAAAAAAAAAAAAAAAAAAAAAACTAAATCTAACTGTGCTAAACTCTGTACTCAGTAATCAAAACTTTTAAATCTAAAAGACATCAAAGAAAGATATCCTCCCTGGTGTTTTGGTAGAATCACGATTAATTATGCACATCCACCACAAAATCTTTAACAGGCTATCTCTCACTAAATGAAAACTAATTTATATCTCCAACCTGAAAACACATAAATTTGAATACAAAATCTAGAGATAGCCTTAAAACTTTAACATTTCAAATACCACACAGATCTCTTCAAACACCGGGCAAAGATACAAACTCACAATTAAGAAGTTTACTCAAAATAATCAAAATAAATTCAGCAATCCGATCGTATAGTCACCAACACTAAAATAAATTTTTTTTCTACTACCGCAATATAATTACCCAGGTTCGGTTGAAAAACCATGTTTCCGTAAGGATCACATGGGTGACCTACAGTAGACCACAATTAATACACACACAAAAAACATACAATATTAAAGATGATAAACACATTTATTGAAAATTCCCACACATTATAACTTAAAATAGCTGGCCAGACTACCCCTACAAAATCTTTTAAAGTTACTTTTAGTTTTTTTTCCATATCAATCTCATATTTAACATTAATCCATTAATACAAAAATCATCGTGAAACACTTTCACAGTTCTTAATCATTTTTAAGCAGGAACTCAAGAATATTAAAGCTCATTTAAAAAAACTAATTTAGAATAAAACATATTGAACATAGCACTTAAACATTAAAACAAAGATTCACTTCCTCCAATTAGTTCAATTGACTTCTGACTATTAAACATTAAATAAAAAAATTACTTTCTCAGCTGGAAATTGGTTAAAAATATTCAATTTTTATCTACTTAACATGTCAACTCTTGCCTTAGTATTAAACATTTCCAAATTTTAAAAAGATTATGTATCAAAATAAAAAGTGACTCACGAAATCGGCGTACCACCTTTGAGAGACTCAGGGAGCTGCCCAAATGCATTGATCCAATTTCAAATCACCGAAACAATAACTACTAAATCTTCATCGTTTTCTTCCGGAACCGGATCCTTTTCATAGTTCATAGATTTCAAATTCCTCCGTGAAGCAGCACATTAACTCAATCAACTTCCCGTTTTCGAAGTTCCACTGGAGATAAGAGAAGGGGGTCGAAACTGGAGACAAAAGACCCAAGCAGACCTCAGGCGATGACGACTTTCCATATTTCCATCCTTTTCGAAAGCAAAATAGATACTCCAGCACGAACGAGCAGTTCAGACTGTTCCACAAATGGGAAAAGAAATCTCAGCGACGAAATTGAAAATAATAGGCCGCAAGAATTGCCGCCGTCAAACATGTCGAGCACCCACACTGTCTCGGACCCTCCGTACCCAGAAATCTCGGAGATAAAAACTTAACTGTATACCGCGGTTGACCACCGAAGAACCGCCGCGTTTTTCATCTCAGCACCTCACTGACCGCGGCCGGCCCCGTAGGGGCCGCCGTCAAAGAAGCAAACCCCTAAGGCTCCAAAAAACCTCTTAAAAGTCTTCTCTAAAAATCGCTTTTTTTTTTCAAGTCCAAAAAGATCCCCTGCCTTCCGTGCAACGGCTTAAGAAACCTCGGTTTAACTCTCCAAGAAACGCCTCAAAATTACTATTGGTTCAAACAGCACTAAAATTAAAAATTTAGCCAATCTTAAGGAAACTTAGAATCCCTTTCGCCAACTAGAAGAAAGGTCATAAATCGCCACTGAAATTCTCAGAAATTCAGAACTTTCTACAAGAAGACAGACCCTTTCTTTCCCACGCAACAGAAGAATGTTTCCAACCTATAACTCTGTCAAAATATCGCCTGCCCCTTAGAACTATTCGCCTCTGAACGAGAAAAACACGTGTTTTCAACCCGCGCGAAAAAAGGGGAAAATGCAGCTGGACAGTGACCTCTAACCTCCAAGGAAGCCGAATCGTGAGAAACGGAAATACACCCGCGCCCTTTTAACTGTAACACAATTCTGCCAAACTTAAAGGGAGCTTTGCCGTAAAGTTTAACAATATTAAATATTATACATTAATTTAAAAATAAGGATAATACAGTTTCACAGTAAAATAATACGCAAAAATTATACACAACAAAAATACATAAGAATTTTCCATAACAATTCCTTGTTTTAATGTTTAAGTGCTATGTTCAATATGTTTTATTCTAAATTAGTTTTTTTTAAATGAGCTTAATATTCTTGAGTTCCTGCTTAAAATGATTAAGAACTGTGAAGTGTTTCACGATGATTTTTGTATTAATGGATTATTGTTAAATATGAGATTGATATGGAAAAAAAAAACTATGAGTAACTTTAAAAGATTTTGTAGCGGTAGTCTGGCCAGCTATCTTAAGTTATAATGTGTGGAAATTTTCAATAAATGTGTTTATCATCTTTAATATTGTATGTTTTTTTTGTGTGTATTAATTGTGGTCTACTGTAGGTCACCCATGTGATCCTTACGGAAACATGGTTTTTCAACCGAACCTGGGTAATTATATTGCGGTAGTAGAAAAAAATTTATCAGTTTTAGTGTTGGTGACTATACGATCGGATTTGCTGAATTTATTTTGATTATGTTGAGTAAACTTCTTAATTGTGAGATTGTATCTTTGCCCGGTGTTTTGAAGAGATCTGTGTGGTATTTGAAATGTTAAAGTTTTAAGGCTATCTCTAGATTTTGTATTCAAATTTATGTGTTTTCAGGTTGGAGATATAAATTAGTTTTCATTTAGTGAGAGATAGTGTTAATTTAGTTTTAATTTAGTGAGAGTGTTAAAGATTTTGTACGGAAATGCCGATTTTAAAGTTTTGCATAATTAATCGTGATTCTACCAAAACACCAGGGAGGATATCTTTCTTTGATGTCTTTTAGATTTAAAAGTTTTGATTACTGAGTACAGAGTTTAGCACAGTTAGATTTAGTTTGTTGTTTTTTTTTTGTCGCGGCACCAAGCAGTCAGTTTTAAAGAGATAAAAGTTAAGTGAAAAATATTATTTTTTTTTTCTACGTAACAAATCAACTCTTGCCTTAGTATTAAACATTTCCAAATTTTAAAAAGATTATGTATCAAAATAAAAAGTCACTCACGAAATCGGCGTACCACCTTTGAGAGACTCAGGGAGCTGCCCAAATCCATTGATCCAATTTCAAATCACCGAAACAATAACTACTAAATCTTCATCGTTTTTTTCCGGAACCGGATCCTTTTCATAGTTCATAGATTTCAAATTCCTCCGTGAAGCAGCACATTAACTCAATCAACTTCCCGTTTTCGAAGTTCCACTGGAGATAAGAGAAGGGGGTCGAAACTGGAGACAAAAGACCCAAGCAGACCTCAGGCGATGACGACTTTCCATATTTCCATCTTTTCGAAAGCAAAATAGATACTCCAGCACGAACGAGCAGTTCAGACTGTTCCACAAATGGGAAAAGAAATCTCAGCGACGAAATTGAAAATAATAGGCCGCAAGAATTGCCGCCGTCAAACATGTCGAGCACCCACACTGTCTCGGGAACCCTCCGTACCCAGAAAATCTCGGAGAGATAAAAACTTAACTGTATACCGCGGTTGACCACCGAAGAACCGCCGCGTTTTTCATCTCAGCACCTCACTGACCGCGGCCGGCCCCGTAGGGGCCGCCGTCAAAGAAGCAAACCCCTAAGGCTCCAAAAAACCTCTTAAAAGTCTTCTCTAAAAATCGCTTTTTTTTTTCAAGTCCAAAAAGATCCCCTGCCTTCCGTGCAACGGCTTAAGAAACCTCGGTTTAACTCTCCAAGAAACGCCTCAAAATTACTATTGGTTCAAACAGCACTAAAATTAAAAATTTAGCCAATCTTAAGGAAACTTAGAATCCCTTTCGCCAACTAGAAGAAAAGGTCATAAATCGCCACTGAAATTCTCAGAAATTCAGAACTTTCTACAAGAAGACAGACCCTTTCTTTCCCACGCAACAGAAGAATGTTTCCAACCTATAAGTCTGTCAAAATATCGCCTGCCCCTTAGAACTATTCGCCTCTGAACGAGAAAAACACGTGTTTTCAACCCCGCGCGAAAAAAGGGGAAAATGCAGCTGGACAGTGACCTCTAACCTCCAAGGAAGCCGAATCGTGAGAAACGGAAATACACCCGCGCCCTTTTAACTGTAACACAATTCTGCCAAACTTAAAGGGAGCTTTGCCGTAAAGTTCAACAATATTAAATATTATACATTAATTTAAAAATAAGGATAATACAATTTCACAGTAAAATAATACGCAAAAATTATACACAACAAAAATACATAAGAATTTTCTATAACACCAGTTCCAGTTCTAATGTTAAGCTGCGAGTAGCTTGCAAATTTGCTCACTTTGTTCCGGCTGTCGTCACATATGGTGCTACTACGAGCGATGCAGTGAGTTACTCAGGGTGAGACCCTGTGAGTTACCAGAGATGAGTTCCAGTAATGTGCGATTTTGTTGTAAGAAAAATTAAATGAACAAATGATCTCTCTATTTATAGTTCAAAGATATCATTCAGTAAAAAGAGAAAAGTTTGTAATATATTACGTAGATTTTAAACAGTATATAGAACAGAAAAATAATTAAATCATTTAAATTAATTGTTACATTGCATACATTTACATTAATTAAATATATTCTGAAAACTCTGCAATTTTAAATGTCTCTGCAAGTGAACCAATTCAATTATGATTGCACATTACTTCAAGTTTCAAAATTTAACGAACTTGAGTTGTTAATTTGGTTTGCATACAACAGTGATTTGAAAATTTGAAAATACTTCCTAACAAATATATTTTCGGAAGACGCAGAAGGCAAGCGTAATATCCTTTAATATAGTAAAAGGTTTTCTGGAAAACATGTTTCTAATAATGGATCTTTTCTATAATCGCTTCTTTACTTAGTCCTCACCAGGATGCAAATTAAGGAGAAGTGTATTTAAGTTAATGTTTCTGAGTTTTTGGAGGGATGCCTTCAGTTAACTCTATCGCCCAACTCTACAAATAAATACTTCGGCTTTAGCCAGTTTGCTAACAGACGTTAATACCCGCCATTGAACATTCGATCCAGATTAAGGAAGTCATTTTGTCTAGTCTCTTACTAAAATACCCTTAACTTCAGGTTTCAACTCTGTAATTTTAAATACCTTTAAGTGGCGGAATTTATTTGTAAACAATTTGTGTTTTCCATTCATCTCAAGAGTTAATAAAATGTTATGTACAACCTTTTTAAGACTTTGTTATAATATTTCAGATGAAGCAATGATTCGCGTAGCAGTCTAATAGGGTATGAAGCATTTTGAGTTAATAACTACTACACAATTAGGACACTACAAACTAAATCTCACAAACACAAGTGAAAACAGAGCATTTGAACAGATTTTACTTAAAAAAACAATACGTAATGCTGCGATGAATAATTTAATTTTGAAGTTAAAGATTCAAAAGTACCTTTAACTTCAAAATTAAATTATTCATCGCAGCATTACGTATTGACATTAAGAAATTCCATACTTTTTCAAACAATTCTGCGATGTTTACTTAGATGTTCTTGGGCAAACATGCAAAAAATATGAAAATAGTTCAATCGTTGACTTGTCGCGAGATTTTAAAATAATAAATTTTAACAATTAAAAACACTTTAATACTAAAAATACTTTTTGAAATTCCTTTTACTAAGGAGTTTTTAAATCCATGCTGTTACAAATTATATACATATATGTATAATTTGGGTGAAAACATTTTAGAAATTCGATGCACAAGAAAACGCTGTTTTGGTGGAAAATGTGAACTGATTGAAGGAGAAGAAGTTTGCGAATGTCCAGACGGTTATGTACTTCAGGGTGACGCCTGTAGAGGTAAAATAGTTTTTGTGTTTCATTTTTCTCATTCCTTATAAGACTATAATTTATTCACACAATTAAAAAACTCTGTTATAAATTACATTTTCCTACATTATTTAAAATTACTCAAAACAGCTTTATTTTCTCCTTATTTAGCATTGAAACTGAACTAAAGAAATACAACATTAAATTTATTCCTGCTAATGAATATGATCAGCTGTGACATCATCAGTGTATGACTCTGTGTATATTACTTCTAATTTCACTGCAGACAGCAGTTAAAATAAAACAGGCGAAAGGAGATAATAATGCTATTGTAAAGATATAATGTACATATGTTTTGCATTATCATGTATTTATTGTTGCTTTTATCAGTGATTTTACAGTAATTTCATGTTTGTGCTTTGGTAAATTTTCAATATGCATTTACAGTGCTTCAACATGTGTAATTATTTCATTATTGTAACTCGATTAAGCTTCAAATGTTTGTACATGACTCCGTTGTGTCATTTTTTAATTATATAACGTTTTCAATCACAGCCACTTTCCCACGGATAGAACATTGGTTCTTGTTCTTTTACCTAAAAATCAAATTATCTCTGTTTCGTGAAGTTTCCATAGTCAATGCCTAAGAATCATCTTCTGAAACTTGAAAAAAAAGAAGTGTTCTTTCGAAATTTCCCTTCTTTCTGGTATGCTCTCCAAATCCTTTGCTACAATTCCAAACAAGAAATACAATTCTTATTTCCTTTTACAGTTTGTATAAAGAGTCAGCAGCCAGCTCTGCAAATTAAATTTTTTAATGAATAAGAAATTATAAATTTACCTTATAATTAAAAATGACACAGCAGGTCTAACCAAGTATTGACTATATCTTTTAATGCCTTCTTGTTCTTGGAGAAATCTTTTGCATTTATTGGATACATTGAGCAAAATCAAATGAAAACTAGTGATATTTTGTTATGTTTTAGAACAGCGTTACCTATAGAAATATTTTTTTTTTGCCTCGCAATCATAAGAAAATATACATTTGTTAGTCATTACTTACTCATCGAAGATAAGACTGAAGAAGCTGATTTGTATCGTTTTAAGTTTAAAACTTATCCGCTACATTTTCTTTAAAAAGTAACATCCCGGATCAATTTTGCAGAGAAGTAATGGCATAATTAAAAGCGTTGCGAAAGACAGCCATCTATAAGAAGTACGAGTATGTGAATAGAATTCTAAATGAAGTATCAATTTTATGTGGACTTTTTTCATCCTTGTCAGTTTTGATGTCATTAATGTTTCACTTGCTTTTCTACTTTCTTGCTGCCTTTTTGCCTCTGTAGCATTTGGAGGTATCGTTTGGCAGTTTAATAACATTTTACTTAAATCTACGGGCAGATTTGTCTATACGCTTTGCATGTGGATCGCCAGATATTTCTTTGTCTACATTGTCTGCTTGTGACTATCTGTCCACTTTATCGTTCTTCGTACTAACTCGAATACAGTAATATTTTGTGTCTAATGGCATGCATTTTAATTATTCTTAGAAGAAATAATAAATTCAAGTATTTAATTTTAAGGATTTAGAGATTATTATAAAATGGGAAACGGTTATGTATGAATTGCCTTTTTTCGAAAATTCATAAACAATATGTAAAATTCAGTTTTATTTCTTTTCGGTTTTATTATTTAAAATAATGTCTGATTCTCACAGGCTTTTGTAATGTTAATTGAAAGAAATTCTAAAACGCATTCATTACATGCAAAAAAATAATGAAAAATAAAATCTACATTGTTTGAAAAACCATTTCTTTAAAACTCATATCTCTTTCTAAATGATCGAGATGTGTCATAAGAAATAGCATGATCTTAAGAGTTTTTATGATGCTTAAAATAAAATGAAAATATTTCCTGTTGGAATGCTTCTCGCATTTCAGGCTTATGCACTCCTTTTAATTAGGACACCTATGTATTTTATAGTTCCAGTGACTTTCATGAATTTCTGTATGCCCGGATCTGTTCCTGTAATTAAAAAATTATACTGTTAATTTCGAAAAAAATTGAAATTTCATACAGTTATTGGCATTAAAAAAGAAACACAACTATAGAAAAGCTTTGAAATGAAATTTTTCATAACGTTTACAGTTTTTGGAGAAAATTCAATTTAAAAGTGGACTTCTGATTTTAGTGAACATTTTGTTAAATGGTTCTCTATATTCTTTTATTATGAGTAAGGGATTGATAAATAATTTGTTGGGTAGGGTAGATTGCATTCTCTAAGAAATGGGTTTAATGGGTCATTTGTAGAGAGCACATGTTGAACATGGCCGCATTTTATATCGCATCTTTTAATGTTGTTTTGTTATTGTAAATTTCTTAACCAGTTAACTGTGGCGCCCTCGTTTAAGAGTGCCAGAACGTTTTGTGTCTCCAGAATCGAGCCACGACGAGTATATTCGTCAGTCACAGAGTAAGTTGCGCTGGTAAGATATTGGATGAAAAAGATGGGTTTATTTTATAAAAATGAAAATTTTATTACTAATATTTACTTATTTGATTAACATAAGCATATATTACATACATATTAAACTAAAAACGCAATACATTAAATTAAATATTATACATATAAAAATAAGAATTTAAATTACTGCTGTGGAGTGATATTCAGCGAAACAGGGACAAACAATATACACAATGGGACTTTGCAAACCGAACACCAGTAACGCGATTCCTTCCTGACCTTGCGTTTGTAGCAATGCGAACACCATCGCGTAGGGTTGTTTTCTTCGATGTTCCGGGTATATAATTCGGAACATGATTCCCGCCTAATCGGCTTATATTAGGTCTAAATGGCCGAGTTTGTGTCAATTTATTTCTTTCAATTGGATACGTCGCAAAAGTGTCTTCAATAAATTTGAGCAAAAAGTTGATACGCGATAATGTACAATTATTTTTTTTTGTATATTAATATGAATGCATTCAGACACATAATGTCTAAGAAATGGAGAGAAATATCTTTTTGTAGCACTTTTTGAGTCGCTTTCTTGCTGGAGTACGCTATGATAATTCCATCGCTCATATCTACTCCACCCATTTTTTTATTATAATCAATCACTAGCTCCGGTTTTTCTTTGTTACCATTTTTCTTTCCTCTGTTTCTGTTACGTTGTCAGTACTTATTAAATAAATCTTCCTCTTATCTTTCATTTCATTATACGCATGGTGAGTATACTCGTCAATACACAAAGTCTCGCCGCTTCTCCACGACGAGTATACTCGTCAATCACAGTTAACTGGTTAAGGGTAGGAATCAGCATTATTAAAAAACTCACTTTTCAAGTGAAATATTATTTCATAATAAATTCATATGTTTAATGTGTTGCGTAAAGTTGCAAAAACTTTCAGGAGCTCAAAATGAACATCACTGCAATGCAAGCAAGTGAAAGCTTCGTAATATTTTTTGGAATGAGTAAACAATTTTTTTTAATTGGAAAGATGCCAATTCCAACATAGGCTACAAGCAAAGTGTCCCATAAATACATACACGTAATGTTACTGCGAGGTGTCCGCGTTCCAAGCTGAACTCTCTGCATACCTCTAAAATAAGTACCCAGTCTCTGCACTAGGTCTACAATATACGAATTTAATGCAACATATCTGGTATAGAGAGTGTTTCAGTAACGTAAACAATAAGTTGGTTATCAGAATGCGATAAACAGTACACTGCAATAATTTTCAGAAAGATACTCGTATACTTCGTAATAAAAACTTTCTCTGTTTTCAGAGGAAGAACGATTGTTTTTAAAATATGAGCTGCTTGAATTGAGGATTCCGTGTACATATTGCTGTTATTTATAGATGTAACAAAGGTAGTTATTTGTTCTTTTTAAGTGCTTTCATGAAAGAAACATTCTAGAATAAACGATAATAGGAATAAACGATTTTGTGAAAGAAACATTCTGGACTAAACGATAATATGTCGGTTTTAAACTTAAGCAAAAAAGCAATCTTCGATTCGATTCGATTTGGAATAAAACCCCTTTTCTGTCCTTTCTTTCCACCCCCTTTTTGCCGTTTAATTTCGATACATGTATACTTGGTGCTTCTTCTAACTCTGTAAAAATGCTTTTGCTCTTGAAGAAGAAGGATCTATGCCTGATGGTTTTTGAAATACTTAAGAGTTTTAATTAGAATGTACATTAATCTAATCATTTTGGGTCTAAATTTAAATTTTGCATTGGCGTGTTTCTCTTCCAATTACGTAATTCAGATAATGAAGTCATTGACTTTATTTACAAACTTATGTCAAATCATTTAACATTTTTAAAACAAAACAAAATTTATATGCATCTAATCATTTTTCTAAGATATCATTTATCTCCTAGAAATATGTCTTTAGAAATCTTTAATCAGTTTCAAAGAAAACATTTTACAATAGAAAAGCTGTACATGCAAATAAATACAATTTAAGTAAGATGAAAAAGGATGAACATTTCATTTTTTTAAATATTATGTTTTCATAACAATTTGAACACATACCACTTTGGATACTGTTCTGTTATCAGAACCGAATTCAGAAATGTATGTATGTATGTATCTATGTAAGTACGAATGTATATGTCTGTATACATATACACATACATACATACACACGTTCACACGTTCATACGTGTGAAGTGAATTATTTGACCCATCAATTGTTCACGGTGAACAATTCAAATGATGAAAGGTGGTCAAATAATGATAAAATGATGAATAATGGGCTTGTAATATTTCCATGTTCATCGAACCATTCGAATTCACATAAGACTGATAGAAAGATGCGAAAAGTGTTCGTAGGCCCTCACATAACGATGGCCGAGTTCTGTGGAAATCGAGCCGCAAAGGAATTAAAAACTAGATATTCATTTAAATTTATCTTGAATTTCGTGGCAACACTAATTCTTTGAGTTATAAAGATGAAATAATTTTTGGGTTTATCGTCTATGAGTTGACGTTTCAAAAAGTGGCTAACGGTACTTAAGACAACAAAGCGTTTAATGATCTGGACAGTTATAGTTCTGATTGAATTAAAATCTAATACTTGGAACCTGTGGGTGTGATTTTTGTTTAATAATAAAACATCATCCCCACACATATTATACAACATCAGAATTATACATCGTCATAACTTACTTCTTTGAATTCTGTGTCAAGGATTGCCTCAAAGAAAAGAAAATGTGTAAAGTTTAAGAATTCATATTCTAAATATTTCGTTTCGAAATTTATTGCTTGTGAAATAATTGAAACTTGATTTTGTTAATTCCATATTTTTTACCTAACAGGGTATCCTTATAACGATTTAAAAAAAAAAAAAGAAAAAAAAAGCTCATCACAGAATATATGCTAATTCCTTAAGAATATAAGAAAAACGTTATACGTACCTTCTGCATAGTAAACAAGCGATCAAGCAAAGTATCATCAGAATTGTTAAAAGTATACCACCGAAAATTGTCACAATGAAGACGAGAGTCTCCTTTTTTATTTCTATAAGGGAAGAAAGTAAAACATTTATCATATTTCTACATAGCAAAAATATATAACAATTGTTCGAACATTATATATACAAAATGCTGTTATTGAAATTCAAGAACTCCTTGTGTGATAAGAATCATTTTCTTATGTATAACCTGATCATTGATACGAACTTGAATGCAAATATTTTACGATTTTTAATGGCAATGAGAGACAATGTTAAGGTATTATGAATAACTATATTTTTTTTGGGATTATTTTCCCAAGGCAAAACTGAAATTACATCCAGAATCCTGTTCAGATAAATTTGATTTGGTCCATTTATAAGGATTTATTTTATTTTAAAATTAGGACTAAGGTTTATTTTATTTTTAAAAATTTACTATTACTTCTTACTTTCCTCTTCTGGACAGAATTAAATGCGTTAACTTGTTTATGCAAATTGTACTTGCTAACGCCCAAGTATTTAAGTTGTGGCTTTTTGCCAAGAGAGAGAAAGGAAGTGTGCCGCCTTGCCACCGCATTACTCGCGCGTTTTCAATCAGTTGCTGCTTGCCTTTAAGGCCAGAGGTTTAGTCCTCTTGCTATTTAAAATGTATTGTAGTTTCGGCAGTTTGCGTACTAGGTACGTAATCTTTTAAAAAAGCCAGTCTTAGTGTTAGGCATTTGAAAACTAATTCAAAGTTAGCTCTTATTAAAAATTTTAGTTAATCGTTTTATATTTTTACGTTAAGACCACAAGTGCTTGGTCTCTGTATCCCGAAGTGTGGGAGCACCTGTAATCTTATAGAGAATAAAGGGTAAAGTCATCCCTTCCTGCTGGTGTTGTCCATTCCCCACATATTTATTTGATAGCTTGAATAAGCTCCCTGTTCCTATTCAGGACACATCATATTTCCTAAGCAAATCAAAAGACATACAAGTCCTGATACACTGAGCTTGTATAGCGAATTTCTCGTATCTACAAACAAATTTCCCCATTGAAAATAATGGAAATCCAGTTAATCCGTTCCGCATTCCCAAAAATTTCAACATAAAAGTAAATTTTTATAATAAATAACACTGGCAAATAATATCACCGTAGTTTACCGTTACGATAGCTTCCCACAAATGAGAGCTTCTGACACCGAATTGCCTTTTAACTGCTTCTCGTTAATCCGTTAATCCACACCAACAACAGCTTCTCTACATCTTCTGGAAGTTTTGGACGGTGCTTGGAAGTAATGGTAACTCCTTTGGCCACACCCAAGCTTCTTAATTTCTCCCTTTTCCTTCAGAATAGTACAGATCGTCAATGTCGGGCGACTGTCAGTCTTCGCCTATTCCGTCACTTTTACAGCAGTTAACCTATGATTTTTTTCTTAAATTTAGCGGCTATGGCTTCCTTCTTTTTCTTTGCAGCACTATTTGAGGCAACAATCTTCTTGGGAGGCATCGTGAAATAATTATTTTCACGTTAAATGTAGAAAACAATTAACTAACAAGCGCACAAATACATAGATCAAAGAACACTGAGTGATCTGACGAGGGAATTCTACGAGTCGTGCCGGATCGGGAAATAGCGCCACGCATACCGACAGTCTGGCTAGTTGCTCGTTATCCGAGTCAATGCTCGTATTTAGAGACGAATGTTTCGTTCATACTTTCATCGTATCTCAAATTTCTCATATATAGAGGTGCTCCTATCTCGGGGTTCCACTGTAAAAACACATCAAATAACACGAAGTTGGAAATACCACGAAGTGTTATTTAACATTCGAGCTGCATTTCTAAGTTTAAACAGCGGCCATATTTATTACTTGAACAAATATCCGAATTAGGGTACTAAATATGGCCAAAGATCCTGGATTCTACAATAGATTTCGCAGCTTCCGTGGGATAAAAGAATCACTTCATGAATCCACATGACTTGAATATGCGAACTCGTACTATTCTCTACTAAATATTGTCAAGAAAATTAGAAGCAATGCTTGAAATATTTAAAAATTTATTTTCACTTTCCTTCAAAAGCAGTATACACTAAAATATTTCAAAATAGAAATATGGACGAGACAACACTTTTTTCCTTCTTCGCTTCGAATCTCGCCATGGAAATGAAAGATGAAGAAACAGCGCTTGTAAAAATGATTGGAAAGTACAAGGTGCACTATTAGTACTTTCCTTGTGGCGCATTGGGTAATTTTACCGCTTGTTAAATTTTTTAAAGCCAAAGATTTTGGTGAACAAAGACACCATCTCAGAATATTTGGATAAATTGAGGAATAAGAGAAAGGGAATCATTTTAAGTTCATCTTGCAGCTACAATTAAGAAAAAAAAGGCAAGGTATAAAGTCATTTGTGTCTGTGCTTCCTTGCATTTTCTCTGCTGCAGAAAATCTATGGCATCTCTTTGTAACTTTACAAAAACTTCATGAAAAATGTATGAAGTGGTTGACGTCCGAAAAAAAAAGTCACGAAGTGCTGACACTGTAAACGATGTCACTATTGGATTGGACTTTTTTGGATGTTGCTATTGGATCATGGACTGGGGGAGGTGAAAACAGTGCGATTAAATACACGGAAAGAAAGGATTTTGCAATCGTTAAAAATATTGTATTAGCAATATTATTGCTAGATATGAAGATATTGTATTAGCAATATTATTGCTAGATATGAAGATATTGTTTTCTATGAGGTGTATGGTGAAGATTTTACTGGTGAATGGAGGGCTGTGAATTTAACATGGACTTGCCTCTAGCAGACATATTTCATAAATTTGATTGAAAATTCTGAATCTGGTAGAGATAATTAGAAATTTAATTAATGTATATTACGATTAATAAAATAAATACAGTACCTTTCAACTATTTAAACTATAACGTCATTTCATATCTCATTATATGTAAATAATTTTTGACTCCTATATAAGCCGATTCAGAAACCTTCAGTAGAAAATATTGCTAAAACTATCACAGACAAATCTTCCTATTGTATATTTCTGGTATTTATCATAAAAACAGAAATATACAATAAGAAGATTACTATAGGAAGTTATAGGTTGTAGGAAGATTACTTTTCATGATGTTTTAGGTATGCTCATTCCTTGGTCAGACTGCAGAAAAGGATTCGAATATAAAATAATGACATTTGCTCTTTCTGCGCTTGCATAATGGGAGTAATTCACATAAATAGCGTAACTTTGGTATGTTTCCTTTACGAAGAACGTAGACGATAAGGTAAGGATATTTTGAATGTTTTTAACAGAATGTTTAAATACATACCAAAATTCGTTTCAACTGGAATGTCACAAAATGTGCCTTTGTAATTGCTCTCACATCTAAAAATTAAAATTTTATATTAGTTATACCAGCAATAAGAAAATAAACTGAGTGTGTTTATAGCAGTTCTAAATGTATTAGAATAAAAACAATTTATTTCTCTTGGAACTAAATAAAAACATTTGAACATTTGGAATTTCTCTTGGAACTAAATAAATTTAAATTACAAACATTTACAGCACTTATTGATGTGTAACAGGTATACGAGACAGTTTTCCTTAGAAAGTTCGTCACGAAAGCATCCCTCCCCTTAAGCAGATAGCCCTCGCGTGCTTTGCTGTAACCAACTAAATTAACAAATCAACCAACATATAAGACTTCTTTAGCATTGTTAAAATGCTACCTTTGCGATTTTTAACGTAAGTGTTCTTTGTAATCAATCAAGCATTTTCAAATTTCATGTTTTAATGATGTTTCATTGATATGAACGTAAACAAACAACTTTATTGCAAGTTACATAAATTATTACTGATCAAAAGTAAAATTAGAATGTAGATAGAAGAATTGCAATCAACTGAGAAGTGTTATTTATAAGCTTTAAAATCTATCTGTCAGGCACATAGTTTTATATTTTGCAAATGCTGCGCAATAAATCTCTTTCTTAACCTTCTGAAGAAACTCTAAATTACAATTTCAGCACTTGTTTATTAGTATTCATGTATTAAGAAAATCTGTAAAGACCATTTTGAATATAATGCTGTCTTGTATATGCAGAAAATAAAACCAAAAAAATTCAGTAACGTAATTTAGATAAGAGTAGCAAGAAATCATTCGTAAGCTTTGCGAGTGTTGTCATCGTCTTGAATTTAAATATGTTTAATCTTAGAAAATTGTGGATTGCTCTTACTGACAAAAACTCATTTCATCAATACTAAGTTTTGCATTGGCTTTAAGTCTGAGGTTCAAGTTTTGTAGAACTTGAACTAAGTAAAATCGTCATCATTGATTTCAAACTGTCTTCGGATAATGTGAACTTTATTCTATTGGGAATTTGCATGTATGTTTGAATAAACCGTTAAGATAATTGAATTCGAAATACTTAACCAGCATCCATGTTTAATATCGTTAAGCTTTGATGTGTTGCCCCAATATTAAACCCAAACAATGAATATCAGAAAGAATCCACAAAGTAATATTCCTCCACTAGCTCAATATATAAAGTAATAATGTACTAACAATGCCTGCTTTTATGCTGGTTTCTCTGTAATATCTGCTGGATGTAATTAAAGGCATGATTAATCATATAACTCTTTTCTTTTATCTATTGTCTAATTACCTGTGATGCTATGCAAACTGGAAAAGCTTAATTTAATTTATTTCAGATATGGTTTTCCCCTCCATAATCGATATTTTTCAATTTACGGCGAATAGGATACGTTTGCATTTGCTTCTTGATGAAGACTGGCAATAATTTGACATACTGTTATCTTTCTGTTGAATTAGTCAGATCTAGAACTCTCTTTTGAAGTCCAAGAATCCAGTAACCGATGACTACCAGAAATCTGGGATCTTGTTTTTTGTTTGCGAGTCCACTTTTTAAAAATGGATAGGTACTTTTGAACAGCCGCTGTGCTGAATACTCGCTGTTCTAAACTTAACATTCACAATTATGCCATTTTGAAAGTCATCAAGAATTTTCATATGCATTTACAGAAGTTTTCCGAAGTCAGTTCTGCTAACATTTTGCCTTTTTCTTCATCAGCAATACAGTCAACAATCTTTTCCTCACGCTCTTTATTGACAGAGAGGTGATGCAGGTATCTTTTTAAGTTTCATTACTTTAATCAAACACTAAGAATGTGAAATCGAAGTTTATGATTTTAGCTCTCATCTTTAATAACTTCAACAACAGTGAGAGTTACATAATGATGAAATATATATTAAAAATTGTCATTTTTGTTTCTAGCTATTTTAAATTATGGACGCATTTTTGTGATTGCTTTGGCAAATGCTGAAGATTGTGACGAGAAAATGATTCTGCCCCCCTTTTTAAAACTATTGACTGAAAAATGGAACTGCATACACGAATACCTATGTAAATCATATTGTGAAGTATAGAAAAGTAACGAAATTATGTTAGTACTGATAGTAATTAATTACGTACTGGCAGGTAGCTCCTTTCCTTGGGATTCTGACACATTTTCCGTTTTTGCATGGATAATTATCACAAGCATCTGGAAAAAATAGCCAATACCTTTGAAACAGCCAACAGTTGAAAATATGAATAAAAGAGACAACGTAAAACAGAAATAAAAGTGGAAAATAATATAACAGGATTCTAAGTAGACTGTGATTAACACTTACGTATACAAAAATAATTTTAAAATGCACAGTGTTGTCTTTCCTTTTAGAATTAGCGCAACCATTAATTTTATGTAAACTTTCAGAAAAATTAGTAACAGATAAAACGTGTAATCTGCGAATTAACATACCAAAGTGTGGTTTACGTCCAAAGGTAGACGCAGATTTTTTTTGGCATCAAGATATATTTAAGTACACACTTTTGACAATAAATGCAGCCCTACCTTTAATACTGCAAAAATACATAAATTTAAAAATTTAAAAATGCGAAGTTAAGAACTCATGATGACTTGCTGCTATTTTTAGAAGCTCGCAGATTGTAAATGAGCAAATTCATATAATTACAGATTGTTTTATTTTATTGTTGTAATGTGATAACAACAGCGCCATGTATTGCTGAAATTTTCTACTAAAATGCATCTTATTCCAAAAATAATCTGCTACTGATAAGTATTAAGGTAAAAACCACATTCCTTGTTTTGATTTTAAATGATTTTGGTTTTAAATATGTTAAAAATCCTTGTTGTTAACAATGTTTTCTTGTAATAAAATTGCTCCATGAATCTTCAGATTTATTCTTTCTGCTGAAAATTTGAAAATGTTAAAAAGTGTGATATTGTTTTGTATAAAAGGTGAAATTAAATAAAAGGAGCTAGAAATGCCACTAATACGTTTCTCAAATAATGCATTTTGTTTGTTCCGTAACCACTGCATATGCATACGCATCTAATAGCAATAAATTTGAGTTGCGCACAAAACATGCTACAACCCTGCTAACAGAAGGATATCTGCGCGCCCCATTTGACAACGACAGCCCCCTCCCAGATTGTGTTCCGTATCGTGCTCCTCATCGGAAAGGAGTCTGAAGCTTGCCTCCTGCGGAAACATATCGCAATGAAAGAATTGGTAGTACAACTAAAGTGCTAAAATAGATCTAAAAATTCTAAAATATATGATCGCGTTGTTCTTGCTAAAAAGCATATTTGTAACTAATCCGCTTACTCAAAGTTTCAGCTCTCATTTGTGTAAATGAGTTCATAAAAAATGAAACAACATTTACTTATTACCTGAAAGCTTAGTGGCTGTGATTCTTTAAATACCTCCAAACTTTCTTCAGTAAGCTTACTTATAATGTCATTTGAATGCAATGGAAAGCTTAAAGGGAAAGCGTTAAGCGTTAAGGGAAAGCGTTAATGAAAATGTTTTGAAAGCATTTTTTCTCCCAGCGCTGCGATGTTAGAATGAACTGTTCAGAAATGAGCACTGGACAGATATTTCCAAACTCATATTTGAGGTGGTCAGCAATAATAATGTATTCCATAAAAATATTGTTGCGTGCGTACGGGTTCATAATAGATTGAAAGCACACAGGTCCGATGATAGGTTGACGAAATTTATTTTATCAAAAGAAGCACTTCAGAGTTCTGGAACTTTCCACAGAAATACTCTTACGGGTGTTCATAGTAACACAGAGTGCAATCAGTAGTTGCACTTCAAACTACCAAGAACGTTAAACACAGCTCAAGCAAAACGCATCTAAAGGGCGAAGCTTTCAACACTCCGAAGTTGCTCTAACTAACAACTCATAACAACAACAACTACTGAAAAGCGGATGTTTCCTCCGGCCGTATATATTTTTTCGGCTGTAGAGATATTTCTAGTGTTTTCTGCTTCTCGAAATAGACCGGCAGATATCTTGTTTTGCACTCGCTAAATCTTTCTGCACCAATGGTCGAAAAATCAAGCTTAGGTGTGAAGGAAAGTTATGTAGAAAGGGAGCAATTTCTTATTTCAAAGGAGAATAAAAAGAAACTTCCTACAATTTATTTGAGTTCGAAAGCCCAGGAAGTCTCTCGAAATTTCTGGAAGGCATATGAGGGCAGAATTACGGATACAGCTACACAGAACATCAATTGCATTTGTTCAATTATTATACCTATTACGAAAATACGGGGACAATGTCGCCAAATATTCACCAAGTGTGGCGACTTTTGGCGATTTCTCGCTGACTTTGGCGATAAAGGTCAGTGACCAAAATCGTTGCCAGGTTGGTGATATTTTGCTAAAGTAGCGAGAGTGTCATTTACTCAATTTTAAACAGCCTTGTATATCTATTCTTTCTTTTACGGCAAGCTTCAATCCTTCAGATTTTCATTTTAAATTATACAAAAGAAATAAAAGAGTTTCACCTATAATTTTGCTAAAATTATCCGTAGATGCACAAAATTCATAACATTAGCATTCTATTAAAATGGCTGTTTGATAAGCATGTAGAGTTCTGCTGTACCTAGAAACTCGTGTTGATGTCCTAGAGACAGTACCAGACTGGAAGCTTAATCGCTTAATCTGAAACAAATCATAGAACCTAAAGAAGGTTAAAAATATCTTTAAGTTGTAAATGAACAGAAAGCCATATCTTGTACGACAGATGAACCTTCGCGACTTCCAGGTATTTAAACCTCCGAGATGAACCTCCGCGACTTTCAGGTATTAACATAACAGAACAGAAAGTTAAATTTCTAACGTAGGTAACGTAGTCTGTGACTGCAAAGTAAATAGATTGACCAAACATTAACATTGCGCAAGTAAACGTCCTAAAAATAGAATAAAACTAAGCAAAGCTGTCCATGCTTAGTAACAGTAATACAAGACTACCTGGAACTCTGGTCTAAACTTTGGCCTTTTGCTTAAATACACAACTAATTTGCCTTCTGGTGAGGACTACGAAAAAGAGAATTAATAATAAAGGCTTAAATCATACTAATTGGTTAATTAAAATAAAATACCTTATATACACAGATGCTTTTAAAAATAATATATATATATATACAATGTGTGCTTGTACTGCTTATATTCGAGTAAGTTTATGCCATCTAAAAGGGAAAGAAAGAATACTAAATGTTGTATACCTACCTCTGCACATTCCCAGAACTTGCACAAAGCCCTCTTGACAAGTGCATTTCTTTTGGCCATACGGGTCAAGTGAACAAGTTGAATTTCGTCCACAGTTACATTCTGTAAATACCAAAGCATTATAGATAATAACAAATACCTAAACGCAGTTCAACTATGACAGATAATAATGTTCATCTTGTGAAGAATGAATAGTATTAAAATCTTACCTCTGCATAAGCCACCAAACTCAGATAAGCCATATCCGCATAAGCACTTTTTACCCTTGGTTCGATCAATTACGCACGTTGAATTGGGTCCACAATAGCAATCTGTTTCAATAACGAAAATATATTCAAATCAGGTCTCAGTAAATAGATCGACATATAATATGTTTTTTCAGCTATAATGGAATTTACACTCAGTACTCGGTATTTGAAGTATTTGGTATGTAGGGAATATCCTGGTGTACGTTACGTACTTGGCGGGATTTTGGAAGATGTCACCAACACCGAAATGACGCGTTTACTGCTCATCCTAATTGTCGTGTTTACTGCTCATCCTAATTGTCGTGTTTACTGCTCATCATAATGTCGCCATGTATACCTGTGCTAGGATTAAACCAAATCTGCTAATAACACTTTTCAGACTCTGATAAAATTAATATTTTATTACTTACAATGGTAAAACCGTAGTGTTCGGCACGGCCTTGGCGCGATTTAAAAAACTGTCGCCAACGCCAACATGACGCGTGTAAACCCATCCGATATATAACTAGTCGCTAAAAAGTCGCCAAATCCCGTATATACAGCATACTAGAATCTGAACCTTACCATATTTTGTTACACTTACTTATAATATTTATTTGAGTTTACTCATATCGAATATCACATAAAAAAGTCAACCATTGCTTTGGTTTCCACGATGACTTAATGCTGCCATTCCTTTTTAATTTAATTAAAACCTTGATGATAACACATGATTCGATGTGACAGAAGCGACACTGCAGTGCTGTATAAACTAAATAAATTTTAAATTTAGGGCAATCCTTAACATATGTTTTCATTCTTGTTGCCATGCTAATCGTGAGGTAATGTTCAATAAAGCTAAATGTTATTCTGCAGTTGTTTTCCTCGTTTACATATCAAAAACATTCAAATGAAACAACTAATGAAACTAAGGTAACGATTTCCTGTATGCTTTAATATATTACCTAAGCTTGTTTTACAAGGATATTAGTAGATGCATCTCACATTTTTGAATTTCTTTTGAACTACACACGATATGACATAATCACTATTCTAATAATGAAATAAATTTCTTAACTTGCGTTTAGAATTCAATATTTGGCAATACTCAGAATTAAAGGCGATTCAAAATTCTGCATCAAAGAGAGGAGGTACAGTTATTTCTTTACGTCCTTACTCTTTAACCCTTTTTTTTTTTTCTAAGAAATGCCGTCATAAAGATGATTAGTTTCACTGTTTGAGAAGCTTTGAAGATAAACTGTATTTTCACCAGAATTCAAATCGCAGGCAAAGAAATGCCATAGTTCCTTGTGTTGTCCGCAACTTGAAGGACGACCGCTGAGAGGATGAAATTCAGTTAAACAAATCCACACGGTAACGAAAGATCAACCGTTATATTTTTAATTAGATGCCTTTTAGATGCAGATAAAAGTGAAAAATCAACTGTATTCTTGTTGGATTCAAACTGCGGAAGTTCCACTTGCTAGTTGTATATTTAAACCACTTACATTGCAACAGTACGCTCGGATGAAACCCTTACCTTTATAGTATATAAATAAAAGATAAAGCTGCAATAAACAACTTTATCTATAGTAGTTTTACAGGAATTAAAAATAACTGTAAAATGATAACTATATCTTTGCAATAAATACTTAATAATTTCAATAAACAACTTTATCTATAGTAGTTTTACAGGAATTAAAAATAACTGTAAAATGATAATTATATCTTTGCAATAAATACTTAATATATTTATTCGTGAAAGCCCCAAAATATTTAATGATCTGAAATACGTTTGCTACAGACGTATGCAAATAATCAAATATTTACAAATTAACAATGATACAGAACTTACAGCAGCTACTTAGCTCTTAGCTTCATAAACTGGACAACTTTCTATTGTGTCATCACTCGTTAAACGTTCCGCTTGGAACTTTGCCTGGTGACAGCAAAAGGTACATAAATTTACCGCCACCAACAACGGCATCTGCGACCGAAATGTAACGTCTTCGAAACAGTAAATTATGGGAAATATTATTTGGTATTTCCTGTTTGCCATTTAAGTTCGTATAAAGTTTATCTCGGTAACTGATATTTAATTTGAATAAACTTAATTGACTACTATGTTAGCTGTAACCATAATTCTACTCTTTTTGCTCTCCGGAAATAGCTGGAACTAACTCGCGCGAACGAGCTATAAAAGCTATAAAAGCTGGAGAGAAACATTTCAGCTCAGTTGTTTTAGTGAGCTGTTGTTGTTTACTCAGTTGCTGTAATTTTGATCGGATTAGCTTTCTCTGAGCTTTGGATTGCGTTCTATTTAACGTTTTAGTAGTTTAAAATACAGCTACTGATTATAGTGCGTAATACTGTGATATTGTACAAATATCTTCGAGGAAATATATAGCGTTTTGTTACATTTCTTGTGAAGAATGAATTTTATTGACTTTTTATCGGACTTACGAACCCGTACGCACGCAACAATATATTTGTCTCTCAAGAGAAGAAAAGTAAATTATTTATCGTGAATTAAGAATAGGCAGTCATGTTAAAATTTAAGTCAATTTTTGTCTTACGGAAGTCTAACTTTTTGTAATTTTATTGTTTCATAACGAGTATGAAACTTTCCCAGATATAAGAGGGGGAACTAGAAGATCGAATTAAAAGTTTGATTTAATTAAAGAATATAATTATTTTTTAATCTATCAGATGCATTAAGCAACGATCAAAATGAATATCTCCATTCAAATGTGACACGCGCAATTTATAGTGATTACAATGTTTCCTTTATGTCATACGAGGATGTAAATATTATTTTTATATCGTACCTTGATTGAAGGAAAACGAAATAGCCCAAAACGTTCAAAATATTTTAAAAATAGAAACGGAAATAGCATTTCGATTTTGATTCAGAGCGGTTGCAAAAACAAATAAATGAATAATCTCATGCGTTATAGTAAAAACGTAATCAAAATTGTCCCAATGTCAATAGAACATATTTAAAATTCAATTATAAGTTGCCAATTATTTATACCTCGGCATTTTCCTTCATACTCGACGTAACCATCTGTGCAGATACATTGCTTTACTCCATAATAACTAAATGCGCAGTTAGATTTATTTCCACAGTTGCATTCTATAAATAAGAGACTCAAGTAAATTTCTCAAGATTAAGTACAATTTCGAATTTCTCAAGAAAAGAAAATGTCTCATATTTTATACCTTTGCAGGCACCATTGAATTTTGCAAAACCTTCTTTACACGTGCACTGCTGATTTCCATACTTGTCGAATTGGCATTTTGAATTGCGTCCACAGCTGCATTCTGTAAACGAGAAACACATCCAACAGTGTAAAAATTAACCCTTACCATGTGAAAAAAAATATCAGAAGAAAAACGATTTTTAAAATTTTACCTCTGCAGTAGCCTCCGAATTCTGCAAATTCATCTCCGCAAAAACATTTTTTATTTCCATATTTATCAAACATGCATGTCGAATTGCCACCACATTCACATTCTGAAAAATACATAACTATGTAGCTAATATTTCCTAAAGAAAATGCGAATGAAAAGCAGATTTAGAAAAAATTCATTACGCGAATTAACAAAATACTGATATGCAGCTACGAAAAGGTTTTGAAGAATTATTTCAGAACTAAAAGAGGTTGCGATTTAAACACTTACAGAATTCGTTCAATGTTTTTCGACAGTGTTTGAAAGGACTGTTATAATTCACGGATAAATTTAAGAAGACTTCTCTGCTTTTAAATGCATTAGCAATTAATTTAAATTCTGATTCTTCGAGAAGTAAGTAAGTGCAACAGATGCTTTAGCACTTTCAATGATTGGCAACAGACATCTTCAGACGATCAGGCAATATACATCTTTAAGACGATTTGGTACCTAAACTCCATATGGCTAATACTCCGCACAAAGCCTAACTCTAGCGACGTCCAGTATATAAATACAATTGTGACTCTCAGACTCATTAGGATTGATCACCTTCTTCAGAGGTACTTAAAATGGGATTCATTTAAACAGACATCTCATTGTTTTACTGAAATTAACAGACCAAATATCTTACCGTAATGCAAGTACACTTACCTGTATTCTCGAATGGACTACATAGCATTTGTATACGATTTTGTTAAGATGACTTCGCTTTTACAAGAGGGTTATGCATAAATTTACAAAGTACATTTCTTAGTCAATATATAATTGAAATACAAGATTATCTTCGGGTATATAATCACAGAAAACAAATTTTAATTAAGTTGCAGTAATCAAATCAGTGACGGAATTCCAACAGTGATGGATTTCTTTGTCGTCAAGGAATGTAATTAATCTATGACAGTGTTTAAAGTGGATGAGGAATTTATTAGTTAGCAAACAACATAACAAGATATACTTTTAATCGCACATCGAAAGTATTAAATGTATAGCATATCGAATTCGAGATGTTGCAGTTTCATTTTGCTGTCCACGAGAGGGCGCAGCTTTGATTGATATGTAGTGGCAACGATAGAAAAATTTAATGTTCTGCTGTAAGGCAAACAAATTGTAAATACTGTAAAAATATTTCCCTGTGAAAAAATGGCAAAGAATTCCGATTTTCCTGTTTATTTCTTGAAGGAAAGAATGTTCTTAGATGTTGAAGGTAAAATAAGAAAGTTCAACTTAGAAACAAATAAAACACAAAAGATGTGTACCAGTTTTTCTTGGTCCAATAAAATGTGACACTGGGATATTTGCCACTAATTCTGTCATTTTATTCTTGATAAGAATTCTTGTTCCGAATTTGATATTTTTTGTATCCGAGGCATGATTCAATTCAAACAACTGAGAAAATGGATAAATGTGCGGAATATCTTCACGTATTTTTGTTCTTTTGTGTGTTCAACAGCATTTTATTATGCTCTTTGTCAGTTTCTGAATATACCATGTTTATAATCATTAATATGTCCAGAGCATAACGATGAGTAGAGACGTTTGTGTAGATACACCATATCTTACAAAACGACTGTGGAAATTTTAGAACTGTAAAGAAACTGACTTTGCGACTAAAAGACTGCTTTTTATGTGAAACAGCTCATATTTATTTACATTTATATAGTTATTTAATTCAGAAAATCTCTTTTTCGTACTGATCTACGGGAATCAAATAATTGTTATTAACAAGTATAAAGGCAGTTGAAAAGAATTCCGGTTATTAAAATACGAACTAATTTAACTGTCTTTTAAGTTCGACTAGAAATCTTCAAGTTTAACTGGAAATGCATTAAGAATTTTGCTACTTCAAAGAAACAAATATAATTCATAAGGCCATGTGTGAAAAGTATCAAATTCTGATCAATAGAAAATGTTTTAGCTCAACACTTATCTTTGTAGAATTCATTGAAACTTTCAGTGCCATCCTCTAAGGTCATGTTTACCGTATTTGTACACATCTGTAATTTATTTATCAATTGGGTTTTCTTAATGAAAAAAAAACCTCTGAAATATAAAGCTTCTAATTTCCTCATCGTATTCTGATTTGCGTGCTTGTATCTCATATCGTGACACTTTTTAAAAGTCTGGCAAGTGTTTGGTGCTTTCTAGAGATTAACTGAAAATGTTAACTGTACAAAGGGTGTAAAAGATATGATAGGTAACTATCTATACTGATCATTACACTGATTATTCTGATGTATATGAGGAAGATGCTAACTATTATATTAAAAAAAAACAGAATAGATAAATAATTACGAAACTAAATAAATTAGCTCATCACGTAATGAAATTCCTTAAAAGTAATTTTTAGAAATACAGGAAAACCTCCTTAACACGAACTTGCTTAAGGTCAACACTCGGTTAACATGAAAAAACTTTCGGTTCCTGCAGCGATGCATATCATCTTATAGGATATTTCATCGGTTAACGAGAATTTCGGTTAGCGAGAATTATAAACTGTTTTTTGGTCCGTCGCATCAATAGAATTTTATCATTTAACATGAAGTTTTTCCCGTTTTTTGTTGTTGTCTCTCTTCTAAGACTGCGTTCAGAAATTTTCCGTCCCGTTGAGTTGAAAACGTCACAGAATACACTATAGTCTTTGAAACACAGCCAGCATGAGCAACACTGCTCTACAATCGCGATCCTTCCGTCAACGATGAGTTTTGAAGAGTTTGTTATAATAGATGACACTTTGCCGTGTTTGTTCTAGTGGAATATGATGAACAAGCAGATGCGGCTGAGGTGCAAAAAATGTTACCAGAAGAAAATGAGAAGAACAATACTATTCTGTCCAACCACTAGAAAATATTACAAATGTTGGACAATCTAGAACATTTGCTGCAACCTCCAAATTGACTGCTAGTTTTATCGAAATCTTGAATACAGCTGGTCGTGAAGGTGATGATCAGTGAATGTACTTTTTCAAGTTACAGTACAGTAATTAATATAGTACTGTAATTTCTATCATGACATACATAATGTATTGTAATACTTATGTATTTATATACAGTAAATAGCTATTGTGTAGGAAAAAATATTCTAAATATCACATTTGAGTCACCAGTTAACACGAATGTGTTTTTGATTTTTCAATCCCTTGAGATTCGGATTAACGAGGATTTAGTTTATTTACATACCAGTTATCATTGTTTTTAACTACGGAACCACGACGTACAAAATTTATTAATAACGTATTTAAGAAATAGTTTTTCTGTTTAACACCAGGCTAAGATGCACTGAAATGAAAGTCTCAGAAAACTACGCAAGAGTTAGAATTTTATCTATGAATGACTTTCGTTTACTGGGTTGAGTATTCTTACTTTCAACAAAATGTACTGTTAATTATACTAAACAATATTCTTCTCTAAATAATTTTAAAATTCTGTAAATCATATTAATATTCAGCATAAATTTTTGGTGAAATGCAACATTCTGCCATTTTGAAGCAACGCCCTTTTTAATTTTAAATTATAATATTTTTCTCACCTCTGCATTTTCCATCAAACGCCACGAAACCCTGTCCGCAGTCACATTGTTTGTCTCCATAATAACCAAATGAACACGCAGAATTCTGTCCACAGTTACATTCTGCAAATAAAAATAACCAACATTACTGGAAAGAAAAATCCTCCAAAGTTAATGCAAAATCAATTAAGCAGCAAAATCTCAGATCAGAATTACTGGATATTTAATAATGGGGCTTTTAAGTTTATTCCTTACCGTGGCATTCTCCTTCAAATTTTGCGAAGCCTGTTTTACAAGCACAACGCTTGCGTCCATACTTGTCAAAGGCACATATTGAATTCGGTCCACAGATGCATTCTGTACAAGGAACAAGGCATTACGTAAATATATGCTCTAATTATGCTCACAGGAAGATAGTACAAGTAGATATGAGAAGTTTTTGAAATTTTACCTTTACACAATCCCTTAAATTCTACATAATCATCTTGGCAAATGCATTCTTTGTTTCCAAAATTATTGAACACGCAGGATGAATTGCTTCCACAATAACATTCTATAAAATATGATAAAATATCAAAGTAAGGTTTTTATAATAAAATTAATAATATATAACACAAATTAAAACGAATCATGGGAAAATATTAAAAATATCACTTATTCTCCTTTATTTTGTCATATGGCATGTAGAATCATATGCATCAATATGCATATGTATGTTGATGAATTAACGTGAATATTATTTAAAATTAGATTAGTGAAAATTTCCTTTTTTTCTAAACGCAAATTTAGAAGTTCATTAGTTGGGATTTATCACTAAAAATTTATTTAATTCTCTTGAGCCTTTCGATAGCATGCGATAAACAATAGGACACTATACCTTAAATAGTTTGCTCTACTTTCTAAATTTATATTTAGTAGTTACTTCACATATGCACTGAAAGACAACACATTGAAATAATTAACTGATTAATTAAATGAACATTTTAGTTCACGATTTATATGGAGTTTAAATATGATACAAGGAATTGAATTTGCCAAGACGCCTAGACGGCATAACGGTTAGGGGATCCTACTGCGATACTGAAGGACCCGGGTTCGAATCCTGGAGAAGGCATGGATGTCTATAAATGTATAGTGTCTATGCGGTGTGAAGACAGTATAAATATGCTGGGAGCCGAAAGTCCTCTCGTGAGGTCGGGGGTAGGGAAAGAGGGTTGGGATACCCTCAGACCCGTTCCTCCGGATCGCTTTCCTTCAAAATTGGGGGAGTAGCTGAGTGATGTCGAACTGACACCTGTATGTCAACGCTACTGTCAACGACAGGCGCAATTTTGCTCTTTTCGCCACGATGAATTTTGTGGCTTGTTTTGGTGTTACCGTCAGACAAGTGAGATAAGTCACACACCAACAATAACACAAATTTTTCAAAGCACACCAGTGATATCTGGCTGAAGGGGGAGGAAGCTTTCGATGAGGCTTCGATATTTACATTTGAAGAACATAACAAAATCTCGGTTTAATCCTAGTATCCGGTGCACACGGGATTTGGCTACTTTTGGCGACTTTTATGATGAGCAGTAAAAACGGGACATATACGATGAGTAGTAAACGGATATTCAAAGAATATATATAGTTATACATAGTATATACCATGTATATAGTGATAGTATATAGTGTATAGTACACTATCACTATATATACATAGACGTTCTTTGGGTAATTTTTGTTGTTGGCGATAATTTCAAAATCGCGCCAAGGCTGCACCGTATACTAGGATTTTACCAAAATCTCCAATGGAATCAGCATCTTAGCTGGTTATTATGTACTTAAATACGATTTTATGCCATTAGTTAAATTACATTTTTGATAACAAACCTGACTTACGAAAAGCCTCACGTTTTTAATGTAAGTGGCAAGTAAATAATGAAGTATTTCCTAGAAATATCCTCCTATGCTTTTTAATGTGTTAAAAATGACTAGCTTAGACATACTTATTCTTTCCGAGTGAGAGAATTCTTTTTTTGGAGTGATATTTCCTTTGACTGGAATTTCTTTAAGGAGAATATAATAGAGGGCGTGGTAATTTTCTTGGAATGTGTTGTTTAATTCAGACAATACACACGATGGCTATTTACTTAAGATTTACTCCAGTTTTGATTAAGAACAACCCAGGCTGGAATTCGAGCGTACAGTATCTTTTCACCAAAGTCTGGAAGTGCTTTCCTGTCATTATATCGAGAAGACTTTCCGAAATGATGTTATAAACAAAAATATGACTGCTTTCTTCTGAGATTTAAAGCTGGGCTTTCATCCTCTGATATCTATTATATATTTAATAATAGTTTAATTTATCTGTTTTTACAGTATATAAAGCGCCTGATTTACGCTCTGCTGTAATATAAATACATCCTCATTTAAATACCGCTACAACATGTCCACTGCAAAAAAAGGAAGGGACAATTCTGGTGTGGTGTATTTAATTATGGCAAAGCACACTAGGGCTATCTGCCTAAGGGGAGGGATGCCTTTCGTGGAGGACTTTCTAAGGGAAACTGGCACGTATACACGTTACACATGGGGAAAACCACGAAAACGCCCAGGCAGCCAGCCCGTTCGCGGGATTCGAACCTCGGACCGAACTACCAGTGTTCAGCGACTTTACCGCTCGGCCGCTGGTGGGGGGGGGGACAGTTCTGTATTTTGTCAATCGGCCCAGCAGAACGCGAGCGTTCTACTAGGCCGACCACAAAATTCAAATTGCGTTTTTTCATGTCTCAAAAGCGCGACTTAGGATATATATTAGATTTATATATAGCGTTGTTCTAACATAGGTATTTTGACACAAAATCGGGCTTTTCCTGAGATAACATACCAATTTGTTTTTCAATATTTCGATTCTACGACTCAAATTATGTCTAGATATTGAATTTTGTAAAATTTGGTGCGAAATGTACGGAGAAATTCAAAAATTTATCTTGGCACAATTATTTCAGTTTGCGCCAAGAATAATTCACTTGGCGCACTTCTTAATATACGACAACCAATTTTCCTTTCCTTTCCTTTCCGAAGCGGAAAAAAAGGTACCTCGTTCCTACCTTTTTTCATTGTGTGAGTGGAAAAAAATACTTTTAAATAATTTTAGCAAAATGTCTAAACCACATTCGATGTTTTATCGCTTTCAACAAATATGCCAAATTTCAAAACGCGCCAATATATAATTTCACGTATATCTTCGGAAATTTTAAGTAAAAAAAAACTGTAATTTTTTGTAGGTATGCTTCAAAATACATCTATTGATGGTAAAAATTTCATAAATTGTAATTGAAATTTTTTTTTGAAAAAATTATAAAAATAACAAATTTTAAAAATAAATTATAAAAAACTGGCGAACTTTATTTGGAATGAACCTGAATTTCGAAATGTGAAAGGTAAAATCAAACAAGTTTAATTACAAAAAGAGAGATTAATAAATATATATCAAACTCACTTAATATTGAGGAGCTAAAATTTTGACAGCTAATTTTTTACAAACTACTTTTGCGATTTTTACAAAACTTGGTAGTTTGGCGGAATTTGAGTCTTAGAATTGAAATATAGAAAAAATAATATATGTTTAGACAAAGTCCGATTTTATGTCAAAATACCTATATTAGAACAATACTATATATAAATCTGATACATATCCTAAGTCGTGCTTTCGAGACATGAAAAACGCAAGTTGAATTTCGTCAATCGACCCAGTAGAACGGGAGATATAGAACTGTCTAATTGTTTTGTGAAGAGTACATAAGGCATTATTTATAGATTATTGAAAAGCATTTTTTACAAATATTTTCAAACAACAACGTTTCCTTACGCATCTGTTGATAAACCGAATGTGATGCATAAGTGTATGAATCTTGAGCAGTCTTACATTGCGAAAACAGAAAAATGGTAAAATTCTTGACATGGACCATTTGCTGCCAAACAAGATTTGATATTTTTTTTAGCCTTGAATATGATTACTATTTGATCTTACCTCGGCATATTCCACTGTGCTCTTTGAAGCCGTTACCACACATGCAGAGTTTGTATCCAGACCTATCGAAGGAGCAGGCACCGTTCTCCCCACAAGAGCATTCTACAAACAGATAAATAAGCAAATAAAATCGCAAAATAAAACGCGATTCCAAAGTGACTAAGAGTGTCAAAAAAAAAAAATTCATTTAAGTGGAAATGTAAACTCGATGACGATTTTTAGCTACTAACAAATGAATGAATTATAGATCTTAAAAATAAAGGACTAACACGAAATTTCATATATGAAAATGCAACGACAATATCCGTTTCAGTTAAAGAAAAGAAATATGTAATTTTGCCAAACGATGGAAGAAGTAAGCTGAAACAAAGCAAGGAAAATTAAATCAATAAGCAAATTGTTTGAATTTTTTTTTTTTAGAATTCCTTCATTCAGTTTAGACACCAAAGGAAAGGACACAATGAAATGATAGTAACAAGTCTTACTTAAATTTTCATTTAATAAGTTTGTTACATCTAAACTCTGGACTATCATCGCCGTTACATCTAAACTCTAGAATAATAAAAACAAAAACGTAAAAAGAACTCTGATTTACATCGAACTAGAACCAGAACAAGAACTAGGAAGATTGTATGAAGGGAAGCGCATGATGTTCATGTAAACGTAATCTAATAGGTGTATATAAATGTATATAAATGTAATATGTTTATATTTCACAGAAGTGTCATTATTTTGGAGAATATTTGAATGTAGATATGTCAGCGATCAGAATGGATGTATCCTCGGCCATCCGGAAGATAGAAAAGGTAAGATAATTTTCCTTGCCTTTATAAAGAATTTATAAATGTTAATTTTTACTGACAATCTACAAGTCAATTGTTTTTGGAAAAAATTGTTGTTGAAAATAGCTTCTCTTCCAAATTTGCCAAGTACGACCTACTAATGTCAAGAAATGGTGCTGAAATAACTTTCAGGTGTCATAAAATAATAATTTAGGGTTGTTATTTAGTTGAAAGTTATATTTCCCTTTCCTTACCTTTGCACTTTCCATTTAATTCTCGATATCCTTCTGAACAGGAGCACATCTTTTTACCATGGGCATTTAAGGAGCAGTTGGAATAAGGTCCGCAGTCGCATTCTGTAAATATGTAAAAGCATGACTTTACTATTAATGTAAATATTATTAACATTATTTGGTTTTTACATACTTATGTTGCCACAATTTAAGAGCTTGCATACTTGCATCGCAAAATCTCAAGAACTTTCTGCATTACATAATATAAACGCTTACGTATTTTCTCTGTTTGATTAATTATTAACATGTCGAAGTAGTTCCTATTTAGGAAAATCATTATTCATATGTTTATATATGGAACATAAATAAAGGCCTCTCTTTATGTTCATTTTATCATAATCATTTTTCGTTGAGAAGTTGATGTTAAAACGTAAAGCGTGAGATTAAAGAAAGTAAAGTGCTAGACAGGATAAAAATCTAGTGCATGAAGCGCAAGATGTTTTCAGTATTTCTGCTCCTACTGCTCAGTATTTCTCGTTACAAGGAGCGAAAGTTTAAAGTAAGGAAGAGATAGAGAATTTGGTAACTCAAACAGTAAACGCTACTTCTTTGCTCTTTTCGCTCCGTAGGTAAACACGTTGTAATACGTGTTAGATTCGGTGACTGTTTTCTGTCTTTTGCTAGTACTGACTCTGAAGGACAGTGCGTAATTAAATTGACGGTATTGCCAGATCCAGCAAGTAACGGTGATTTAAGTTCTGCAGTGGAAGTGTTTATCATACTTGCTTTAAAGGAAGATGAAGAGTTTGTTCCTTGTTTTGTGAAAAGTTTTGTAATGGATGCACATTTAGATGTTGAAATTTTAGAATAAGTATACAAATAGTATACCAAATTCTAGCGGTTTTTAAAATTTCGCATTCAAATTAAAAATTTGATATTTTATATTGCTAAATTGTAATGACAATTAGAAATGACATTAAAAATTTGTACATTATGTTCATAATTAGAAATGACGTTAAAAATTTGAAATTTCGTTCAAAAGATTTTATCTGATTTATCCGATTGAGAAACAGTAGATCTCTGAGATTTTTAGTACGTTTTTTAAACAAAGATTTGTGCGAAAAACAATTTAAATATTAACTTGATATAATAAAAATTGAACTTGCAAAAATTTGTTTCATTAAGTTACATTATCATCTACAAACAATGTGTGGGTTACCAGAGAGTAGATTAAAAATCGTTCACGAATTTTTGACCATATTGGCAATAAAAGCTTTTAATAATAAAAAAAGAAATGATTGAAGTATCACATTTAGAATTAAGAAAGAATATTTTATTGAAACTATACATTAAAAATAACACACTAAATTTTAAACTTCCCAGGATATTTGAAACAAAACAACGGGTAATAAAAAATTAAAAAAACTTAATTTTGTATTATCATTTATTTTAATAAAAGAGTGTTATTTAATAAAGTCGTGTTCATAAAAAATTGCTTACGTTTTAAAGGATTAAGGTCAGAATATGTATCTTTAGCGGACGTTATTTTTTCATTGAAATTAAGGTAATGCCATTCCTTAGAACTGATGAATTTGTGAAAAGAAACTTAAATGACTTTTTCTCAAATGCACCGAATTTCTTTTACTGAAATTTAATTTTAAATAAAGGTTTATTTTTCCTATGTATTGAAGTGAATAAGTGAAGTATTGAAGTGAATAAGTGAATTTCTATCATCTATTACAAAATGCCTTATTTAAATATTGTAGAAAACGTTGAGTAAATTTTTAATGGAAAACGAAACTATTCAAAGTTGAATTCATATGCCAGTTCTACGTTCTTTATTTTGGGAATACAGCCTGCACTTTTTCATTAAGATTGTTTTGAAATTCTACTTTGTATTTTACATTTATACTGTTTCAGTTCTATTTAGCCAGTTTGAATCCAGGTTATTTGGTTCACCTTGAATACTCACTTAGATATGTTACTAAATTAGAAATCTATAACGAAAATCTTGAAAATAAAAGGCAAATTTCTAAAAGCTTTCATTTTACAGTTAATTTATTTAAAAACATTTTGATAAGTAACCGTTAATTTACTTAATGATATTAAATACAATGATTTTTAGCTTTCCCTTACCGATGCACTTCTCGTTAAATTCTTCATATCCGACATTACATAAGCAATACTTCCCACCATACTGATTGAAGTAACATGTTGCTCCAAGTCCACAGTCACATTCTGTAAATTCAGAGACATATAACTTAACAATATTGTAAATATATCTTTAAACAAATATTTAGGAAAAATTATTTGGATTCCTACATTCAATATAAATTATAGGAACGGTTAATAAAGATTATACCTTTGCACTTTCCTAGATATTCTTTGAATCCATCTTCGCATTTGCATTGTCTTCGTCCTTCAAGATCAAAGAAGCATGCTCCATTTTGTCCGCAGTCACATTCTATAAATTCAGATACATTTGATATAAGAAAATTTACGAAGTGCACTCTATAAAATAGTTTTAACATGCATTCTATTCTGAACAGCAAAATAACAATTTATTTCCGTATCCGGATTGTCCGGTGTCAAGAAATAATTAGCATATTTCATTCAATCTAAATTTTAACTGAACTAGCGAGATTTATAAGAAATCTTCAAAACTTACGAATTATATAATAAACTTTAAACAAATCTATAATAAATACACAAAATCTACAACAAACTTTCGTCAGATACATTAAGAGAGAAAAAACATATCTTGGCAGCTGTTGCCCAATTCACAGGTAGCATCTTCTTTAGGGTTAGGTGTTTCTCCGCTCTCTAAGATGCACTATTTTACTTCTTTATTATATTCCATCTTTCTGCGGTAATTTGAGTATACGCATGCATAGTAATTTTATTTATTTCATAGATTTGACGTTCAGACACTGTTGGCAAATTGATAATGCCAAGTAACTGCAAGTTCACGTTCGATGATATCTTCTAAATAATTCAGATTCAGCAAAACAGGATAAATTACATAACTGTGAGAGAATAAGTCCTAATTTTAAACTGAGTATATCCCCTTTTAAGGAATACTTACTGCATTATTTTATTTCACTCTTTTCCTGCATAGATCCGCACTGCTGAGAGCTTTTATCCAATTCTCATTTAGAACTAAATGAATGTATTTCCGAGTATCAACGCTCCAGTTACTTTTTACGCATCAGTTTTCTCCCCTGCTGTCACTTGCACAATCCGCGTTAGCTGCTCTGCAGTATTTTCTGTTGTTAAAAAAATGTAACTGAGTAGCTTAATTAAGAAGTGTAGGTTTCTTTTATTGTGCCAAAAGATATTTTAATCAAAATCGACAAGTAATAAAGGGATGATCGGATTTTCAAGTGATTTTGTTATTCTTCAAGAGTTCCAGTTAGTTATCAACTATGCCAGAGAGTTAAGCTATCTGATGTCACTGCCTCCACCACTCCAGCCATAATATTTAGTCAATAATTCTATATATATATATATATATATATATATTAAATTCTATAATAAACATATACTAAATTCTCTCTCTCTATATATATATTCAAGAGATAATAAGTAAATCAAGAAAATAGATACATATATGTAATAAGTTTATTGGTATGTCTATTGAATTGAGTAGAGAAGATAAAACCAATCACATTTAGTCATGATCGAGGAAAAGTGCGACGTGGATTATGACTGAAAGATAAGAAATCTGGATTGATGGTTAAAACGCCCTTTTTATTTTGAACAGGAGCAGTTTTCAGAAATACATTTTTGCTTAATTGGTACAACATTAGGGGTGGTAAACGCGCTCCACAGTTTCGATACAAGAAGCTTACATTTTAGATAATGTAAAAAGAAGCTTAGTGGGCAGATGTGACTTCCTAGGGAGAGCAACCAGCAAAAATGCGACGTAGGTAAGTAGTTAGCATTATTTAGAAACTCGGAACGCTTTGTTTAAATCTTGAGCAGCGATTGGGCAAAAGTCTACAACAATGCGATTACTACTGGGAAGGTGCAGATGCCTTGAATGGTTTTGTGATTTAATTGAAAATTAGAAACTTAAATGTCTATTGTCTGTTTGTTCCAATTAAGTTTAATGTGTTAATAAACTTTAAAGTTTAATGTGCGTGTTTAGGTTATACTTTATTTTTTACATAGATACGTATACATTAAATAAAAAGGAAAATGTGTTATGCTATCACTCGCGGATTTCTCTCTAGCATACTTCTAGTTTTATAGCTACCAAGAGTATATTTAAAAATGTTTTTCCATGTGTTACGTGCAATAACGAAATGATAAATGAAAAATATGTATAAATAAACTATTTGTAATTATCAAGCTAGGAGGGAAAATATGTGAATAAATGCGAATTAATATGCTAGTAAGGCGAAAGAGAGCTGAAGATTGAGCAAGTTTTAATTTAACTTCCCTCCATTGGTTGCGCCCAAATTGCAGCAATATACAATATTCGTTTTCCTATTACTGCTGTCCTTTTATAGGTAAGAATTTTGTCCCTAGTTATTTCCTTGAAATTTCGTACAAAATTTGACAGTCATGCTTTTTTTGATAAGTACTTGTTGAATGTGTAGGATCCAGGTTAGTTTTTGATGCCACGTTAATCTGAGGTATTTTAAGGTAAGAAATATTTTGATGTTTTTACCTTGAAGTTTGATAATGCAGATATACCAATGTCTAGAAAAATATGCATATCGTGTATTTTTAAAGTTCATAGCATTTATTTCTTTGCTTTCTATCCTAGAAACAGAAGCGAAATAAATAGCTCATGTATGTTCCATGTGCCATTAGGTATTGTGTCAACTGGAAAGCATTATTTCCGTAATTTATATCTGATCTTGAGACGGTAATTATATACTCTCCTACTAGTCAGTGCGAAAAGCGAAGGCAATTGTTTTAGTTTCAATGAGAGTGACGTCTCTTCTTTTCAGAATGACGTTGAACAAAGAATATATATCAGCCAAGCAGAATATACTTTTTTTTGAATTTTATTGTATCACTATAGGATTTTCATCGTCAAGAAAATTTTTTATCACGGTTTTAAAGATGTCTATAAAACGTTGCGAACATATATTTTTGGAGGAATAGCGTACCTAGCGTGAAGAAGCAAATTGTTGCAGTTTTATCACTGTGATAAACAATTGATAAAAATATGGCGGTTCTGAGCTTTGGCTTTGATAGTATTTCTCGCTTTGATTAACAGTTATTACTTTTCGAACTACTGGTAATAATAATTTTTTAACAACTGCATGCGGGTTGCTTCTTTTGCAATTAAATAGGAAATGTTTATATGGAGCTTCTAGTCATCCTTAATAGTTCTTAGATGCCGATTGTGTCAAAAAATGAAGCACTTCTCTTTGAGGGCATTAAATATTTTTTTTAAAAAATTTTTAAGTACTCATAGTTGTTTTCTTTTTTGCAATTCAATCTTATTAAACGGTTTTTCATTTTTGACGATTTCATTGCATCGTTATGAAAGGTGGTTTTCGCAAATGAGACGTAAAGATGATGCTGCGTTTCCCTTAGAAGAATTAAAGCCAAACTTTAAATATGCTTTACTATATTGCCAGTATTTTACTTTTTCATGTGACACCTCTTTAATTTCTGAAAACCCATACATTTAAATGGCGACATTTTAAAATGAAAATAATAAAACTGCCTTATCATTTTTATAATAGCGTGAACAACATTCGTAAAACAATTCGTTTTATAACAACGTTCGTAAAGCAATTCCATGAGCTGCAAATATATCTTGAATATGATCACTGGTAACTTTGTGATTGTATTTTTGTTTTCAGAAGCATCAGTATCTGTAACGGATATGTTAACATGGCGCAAAGATTCGCTGTGTTATGGCTGGGTGGAATGAAAGCAGCAGTTAGCTTGTAAGGTTGTTGTCAAATGTAACGGATACACTTACTTATTGATAACCTAACTGCCCTTTGAGCATAATTTCTGTTAACAAGTTCCAACGGCTTGTATGAGTAAAAGAATAGGCGCAAATTTTGATATGGTTATTTAGGTTTTCTCTCTTCGTATATTTTTGATGGTATTTTTCTGAGTTTTACTTTTTTTATACTGCAGTTATCACTAAGAAATTATATGTTTAAAAAATATTGTTCATTAAGTCTATTAAACACTTTTTGTGTATTATTCAGCTGTCGATCTCTTAATACATCATCATCGATCTACTATTAAACTACATCTACTGGCTACGATTTGTACCTAGGCAGTCTCGGCCACGGGAGTATAAAATTTATGAAATTGGTGGTTCTGAAGGCTCTGGGAAAAGTTACTCATTGGCCGACCTCGGAGTTTGGCATGTCCTGAGCGGTTGGATCCGTAGCCGGGGTGTTATGCCCCGGTTTGCTGGGTAACGGCCTTCTGCGACGGGCTTGCCCATGCGACTGACAGGAGCAATTGACGACCAGTGCTGCCTGGTGTCTTATCCAGGTGGTGCGCTGCTCCCCTGGAAGGGTAATAGTGGAGGTTGAACCGCCACGAAGTGCCCAAAAGGGGAGTAGACCTGTAGTGTGCTTAGTTCATGGGACATTGCATCCAAGATTTATCTTATCTTATTAAACTCCATCGATCCCCAGGGGGTATATTTCAAGCCCGTTGTAAACCCCTCGTGTAGATGAAATTAGATAATTGATTTGAAAATGAAAATCTCACTAAAAATGAAAATTTTAATGAAGAAGCTTAAGTCTGCCCTTTAGTAAATGGAGAAAAATAACTCTCTAAATGTTGAAAATATTGGAAAGTTCAAACGAAGGAGAATAATATGTGTTAATAGACAGAAAAAAGTTCTGAGGATATGGGTAATGTAGGATCTTAATGCGTAATCTACTAAAATTTAGCAGTTTAAATATTTAAAAAGTTGGCAGTGTTCGGGCCGTTAAAAATTTGAATAAAATTCTTGAAATATTCACTTACAGTTTACATAGAATACCCATGAATATTATTATTACGGAAAACCACTGGGCGTTACAGACGATACGTAAGGTCTAATTCTGAAGGATCTGATAACGATTTATATTGTTGTTAGAAACAGTGGCTAGAACTACGCTGGAGCAGTTATAGATTTATTTGTCTTCTGCTTAGGACATCCAACTGAGACTTACGTCTTAGCAAAGGAAGAAGCTTGACTTAGCTCCCTTGGCGCTGTTCTCAACTGTTCAAGCATGGCGGTATTCTGAACTATTCAACCTCCCAAATACGATGCTGGTTTGATGTGCAAGGAGTAAAGTTCTAATGACAAATTTCATACTTTCAAAAACCTGTAATTTTCCCATTTATCCCTTTAAGTTTTTAATAAGTAACGAATGCATATCAGTTCCCAAGTTATTTATCAGATCAGGCTTTTGAGATATTAAGCATAGCTTTTGTGAATTAAATAGTATTGCATTTTGAAGAAGACATCCTTACACGGCTTTTATTTTTTCAACCGTTTGTTTCAGGAATGCAATTCCAGGGATAAAAATGCTTTAAATGATGCAAATACTCATGTTACGTTTTTTCATATTTAAAATATTAATTTTGTTAAAACTAGGTTTTCCCCATAGTTATATTTAGTTTATATTCATTATTAAAAATGTATTATTTTTTTATTAAAACATCCATTATTATGACTATTATTAAACCAATTTTTTTATAATGTATATGTTAAGTTTGATTACCGTGCGATATAATTGACGGAGATATTTAAATTCAAAATTTTATAATTTTGCTTTTTTACTTTAATTTGAATGAACGTTAAAAATTAAATTATAATAATTCGAGGTTGACATCATCACTTTAGAATCATTCAGGAACATTGTTTTGTATTTACTAGCGCCTAACATTCTTTAATTTATATGTTTTACTTATAAAATCACGAAAGAATTTTCACACAAGGAATTTATAAGTTTTTAAATGCTAAAATACGTTATTAATATTTCCATGCAAATTTATTGCATTATAATGAAACCCTTAATCATACAAAAAATTCGTTACTGAAGCCTGCTACTATTTTCTACAAATGAATTTAATAAAATTAAAAATTCCTTAAAAATGGCAGCTAGGCGGAACTTGGAACCTGGATCCAGTTTTTTTCTTCTTTTTAAATCAAAGGGTTGTTGGACAGTCTGTTTAGAAATTTTCATTACTTTATCTGTTAACAGATTATTGATATTTCATCTTTCATTAGCTTAGGTAATGTTTGATTTTTAGTTACACAAGAATGCAAATACTTCGCTCTTGAATATGTGTAAGACTTTTAAACATAGTATCGGTATAAGTATAGTATTAGTATAAGTTTAAAATAATCTCAATTAATTTCTATTAATCAATTAATTAAATAATATTCTATTTAATTTTTAGAATGAACATGAATGTTTATTAAATAGAAATAGGATCAGAGGCCGTATGCAAAGTTAGATGCTGTAATTTTATAAAATTGATTTTTGAAGTGTAAAACTTCCACAACAATAATTTTTTCGTCGCATAAAGCACTTATTAACTGCAAGTACATATCTAAGATCTGTTCTTGCAAAAATAAATGCCGTGTAAGAATGATTGGATATATTTCTTTTGTACCCAAATAAACTGCGGCTTACTTTAAAACATTGAAAATTTAAACTTTCATGCGTAACTTTAAGTGCATCTGACATTATATTTACATGCGGATACACAGAATCCATCTAAATCAGGACAAAGTTTGTTTTGCTATGATATCTGTGAAGAATCTCTCAAAACACTTAAGCATGAAAAATTCTTTTAATGACATAATCTTTGTGAAATCATCACAATTCTTATTTTTATTTTGTTTTGTGCTTGGGCTAAAAGTGCTTGGGCTACATATCTAAGATCTGCGCTTGAAAAAATAAATGCCGTGTAAGAATGATTGGATATATTTCTTTTGTACCCAAATAAACTGCGGCTTACTTTAAAACATTGAAAATTTAAACTTTCATGCGTAACTTTAAGTGCATCTGACATTATATTTACATGCGGATACACAGAATCCATCTAAATCATGACAAAGTTTGTTTTGCTATGATATCTGTGAAGAATCTCTCAAAACACTTAAGCATGAAAAATTCTTTTAATGACGAACTTAATCAACAAACGAACGAACGAACTTAAATCAACAAAAAATTTTCGAAATTTTAGAATGAAATTTTTTGTAATAAATACAATAAAATAACAAATTCCTACAAAATCTAAATTTATTCTTACCTCTGCATTCTCCTTCATAGTCCCTAAATCCCTTACTACAGTTACAATGCTTTTCTCCATCCCAGCCGAAGGAACAGGTTCCATCAACCCCACAGTCGCATTCTTTAAATTCAAAAGTATAGAAGAATGTTATAATTATATACTTAAATTCAGCTGAGTAATATTCGAATTTTTAGAATTAAATATTAATGGTTTATTTTGTTAATTGCTAAGTCATTTTTGATATATTAACTATACCTTTGCACCGCCCATCAAATTCCTTGAATCCTTCGTTGCACGTACACTGCTTTCCTCCATTCGAAGTGAACGTACAAGTTCCATATGCTCCACAGTAGCATTCTACATGTTCCAGAATAAAAGAAATTCTTGTAAAGGTAATTATAAAAATCTTAATTATAAATTAATTATAAAAAGCTTAATTATAAATTAATTATAAAAAGCTTAATTATTAAAGCTTAATTATTATTATTATGCTTTAATTATAAATTCTTAAAGCAAATTTATGAATTCTCGGGCTGATTTCATTCAGTGCATGAACAACTATATTTTGCAACTATTTTAAAAGGCAGACTAAATCGTCGTTGCTAATGTAATGCACAGCAGGGCAGAAAAAGTAAATTTTTCGAAAGACTCATGGAAGACATTTGAGAACGTCTAATGTTTCTGCATTTTACTTAATAGAACTTTGTAAGATGTTAATTATTGTTTTTATTCCTTGTTACATGTTACAATGTGAATAAGACAATTTTTTTAGCTATGGCTTGTAACAATAACAACGACGATATGTTACATGTTACTGCCATTTTAACCAAATACGATATACGACTTACCTAAACATTCGCCCTCAAATTCTTTAAATCTTGAATAGCAATCGCATTTCTTCTGTTTATAGGCATCAAAAGAGCAAGTTCCGCTTTGTCCACAGTTACATTCTGTTCATTTAAATAAAATGCGTATGTAAGTATACTCAATGTAATCAATATATTAATAAAACTGTGTTAATAAAAATCGTATATTATCACTGATACCAGTACAGAATAATAAGAATGCATCCTATGGAAATTGTGAAATTATAAAACTTAGTTTAATTGAGAATAATTTTGAACTGATCTAACCTTCACACTGTCCTTGGTATTCTACATATCCTTGATCGCAATTACACTGTTTCTGACCATCTTCATCAAAATAGCATGTTCCATTGGATCCGCAGCTACACTCTAAAAAATCAAAATGTATTATTTGAAAAGTGAATTAAATACGTAACGCAAATTTCATGGAATCAGCTTTAAATGTATTTCCACATCATACTGAAAAGAGTATTTTGCAGTTTTTATTTAATTAACCATTAGATATCTCACAGAAGTAACATAAAAATCTTGTTTAGTCATTACGTCCTCAGATACATGCTCAATTATTTAGAAAAATTAAGAAAGATTGTTTAAATTGATTTTCGTAGAAGGGGTTATATCTTCTTTAACTTGCATTTATTTGAAAAATAATTTCAGCATCACTCGAAAGTAAATTTATCAGAAAAGTAACTTATATTTTAATAAAATTTGGTTGTAGAAGACACTTAGTTTGGAATAGAATTCTTACTGATAAAAGATGATGCGTTTATTTGCAATACAAATTTTGTTCATGATGTCTTCATTTGAATCTGATGTTTGAAGTTAATCTTACGTTGTTATTTTGTAGGTCGTTTTATTTTGTCTGTCTCCAGCAAGAAATTTCACAATTAAATTCACTCAAATATCATTTTGCTATAGAAGTGAGTACAAAGCTGTCGTAAAGTTTTACGAAATTTAGATACCAAAAATATATAGCAATATCCTTACCTAAGCATTTTCCTTCAAATACCGAGTATCCTTCGTCACAACTACACTTTTTCTCTCCTTCAAAGCCGAAATAACACATTCCGTGAGGTCCACAATTGCATTCTGTAATAACAAAATATAAATAGCAGAAATATTTTTAAAAATACCAACCATTATGATAAAGAATTGAAAAACATCAATATATCTATTTATTGGAAACAATTAACCAAATTAGTTAAAGCCGTGGAAATGATATTAATTCGTTTTTACCTTTGCATTTCTTTTCCCAATCCATGTATCCTTCATGGCAACTGCATTGCTTAACTCCATCCCAGCCAAAAACACACATTCCATAGGGTCCACAGTCACACTCTGTGAATGAATTAAATTATAGTTTCGATGTTTCTAAACTCACAAAAATATAGTACTAAATACATATATGATAGTTTGGGCAAATATAAGTATAAGCTATAATATAAATTGCAGGTATCAGAATGGTGCCTAAAACAATTCAACATCTGTTAACAGATAGTCCTCGTTCGTTGACATTTCCTGAACACATGGACCATTGAAATAGAAGGCTAATACACGCCATTTTAAGCAATATTCATCCATAATAGAGAAAGTCTCGGTCGCGAATACCAGCTAATGAGAAATTTTATTTGTTTAGATATAGAAATATTAAGTATAAATATTCTTGCGTTTCTGTACGGGTTCGTGGATTTAAAGTGATTAACCACGACTCTTGATGAAGAATCGCAACACAATTTATTAGGCAGTATTATTCAGGATAGCTCCAAAGCTTTCCGTCGTAGCTTTTCGTAAGTCCTAGCTTTTAGACGTTTACAGTCGTCGAAAAGCTACGACAAACACGCTGACAGAATCAGAACTCAGCTTTCAGACTATAACGGTGAAAACAGCTTCACAGCAACGAACCAGAGTACAGCTTCCGACTCGGTTAGCTTGTTCTAGGAACTCAACGTACTCTCGAGACTCTCACTCTGTAACTCGAGATGCACTCGATGGACTAGCGATCGACTCAATGGACTACGAGACATTACTCTACTCCGCGTACCAGCAGGGTTTATATAGCTTTTGGGCTGCCTTCGAGAACGTTCTGAGCCAAAGCTGTAAGAATTCGTTTTGGAAGGTTCTCCATCCGTCCACGGCATATCGCCAATTTTGTCGTTAAATGTCACCAACTGGGCTATTCCGCGCCAAATCTGGAAAGCCTGCCTTGCCTTGCCATTTTCCAGCATCTCTCAAACCGCCTTGTGGTGAAGCTATGTAAAAGCGGCTGGGCATTTCCTAAAAATAGAGTAGAAATATTTCTTACCTTTGCACTCTCCTTCGAAGTTTTTAAATCCTTTAATACATCTACAAAACGGTTCTCCATTTCTGTCAAAGAAGCATTTTGCGTTTCTCCCGCATCTGCAATCTATAATTCAGATTTAGGTTAAAAATAATACTTAAAATATTTAGTTCAAAATAATAACATAAATATTTATTGCAATTAAACATAGATCAGAAGGAATGGACCAGTTAGAACTTTCCAGTTAACTTTATTGCAAATACGCGTAATGAATGAGCTTTGAATGAAACTTCATCACAAGTCATATTTCAAAAGGTTTAAGAAGTCCCCTGATATATCACTCCAGTACAGTGTCCATGTTTACCATCAAGTCAAATATTTCCTAAATTGATTTAGTACGGTTTTACAGGACTGGTTTATAGCAAATCAGACTTATTTTTTAAGATTTGTTTAATGCGATACATCACACTTATTTTCATACTTCTAAAGGTTTTACTAATTTTGTAGCAAGAAAACCAAGAAAGATATATTAAACGAAGGATATCTTTTATTTATGATATGGTACTTATTTACACCGTGTAATCACTTACTAGTTTAACAGTCTTCGACGTTTATTGTTTGTTCTCCTTCTCGTTGGAAAAAAAAAAAAAAAGAAAACATCAGAAATGCATCGAATGTTTCATTTAATTTATTCTGTCTCCATTAAAATGTTCAAGTAACGATACATAATAAAATTGTAGCAAAGAAATAACAAATAAAAATCAAAATTTGACACATATAAAAGGTAAAAAATTATAAAGAAATAAGGAAGGAAAGAAAAAGAAATATAATTTTTATATAAAATTCACTGTGTTTAAAATTTAGTGCATACGAACTTTAATTTACGTATTTATTAATCATAATGTTATTCTTACCTCTGCATTTTCTAGTTACACTATCGAATGATTTTCCTTCTTCACACTCACAAAATGCTTTTTCTTCTTCGATATCATAGCTGCATATTGCATTGCCTTGTTCACATATTTGCTTTAGCGTCTGGCAATCATCTATGTCCTCACACCTACCGCCACTGGTCCCTTTTCGGCAATGACAGACATTGCCTACGCATTTTCCTCCATTATGGCAATTATTATCATTCTTACATCTTGGTTTTATCAAATCTGAAAATTAATGCACAGCTAATATGAAACACAGCAAAATTGTAATTTGAATTTTATTTATTTATTTAAACAATTTGAGTTAAAACAGATGGAGTTTGTTTAAGATTCCAAACATGCCCTTTGCGAGCAGTAAAATGATAAATAATTGTTTTTCAAATCAATACGAAGAGTACTGATCAAGCTGGATATTGGTAGCAATGTTCATTATATGAAGAATAATTCATAATGATTAAAATATTGAGCATTTAGTGCTATTTGTTTATTAAGTAAAAAGAATACACGGGCAAGGAAGCCGAGTTTATGTATTAAACGTATTAATAAGTATTGCTTTGAAGACTATTGAGTATTGAGACTTAAGAATGTTTTAATTTTCATTTCATTTAATCCTACATTTTGCTTAATATTTTGATACCTTTTTGTTATCAGGTTGTAAGACTTTCACTGTGTAAATCTAAATTACTGTAGAAAGTGACGAATCTTAAGAACTAGATAGCGAGTAATCGCTTAAGTTCGTGTGACAAGAAACAACAAGATAGCCCTTATTATTCCAATAAGATTTAACAAAGCTCCGCCTTGGAGTGTACAATCAAAACCGACTCTTGGGCTTGAACTTAAGAGACTAAGAAATAAACTAAAATTAAGATTAACTAAAGAAATATAGCCGAAGCTATCAAGTTTCTAATGCAGTTGGCCCCTTAAAAACCAGTTGACTGCGAAGCTTATCAAAGGCCTGAATACGGCCGAGCGTAATAACAGCTTTAAGAGAGAGTGGCCAAAAGGCAGACGAGCGTAAATCAGAAACTCTGATTCTCTCTCTCTAGGACCAAAGAACTTCGGGGTTAAATACCGCTCTTCCTCATTATGTATTCAGACGTGATTCTAAACTACGTTCTGGCCGGAAGTAGTAAGTTGAAGTTAAGAATTTGACAGGAAAGGAACTTGAAATTTAACTGTTAATAAAATTAACATAATCCTTACATAGTGCCCTGTAAAAAATTATGTGACAAACCCAGCATTCACTTCACGCCATAGTTTACTTATTCCATTCTGCCTGATTGAGAAACAATTGATTGATATCTAAAATATTTTTGGCGGATAGTTATAAATAAACATCATACCAACAGGACAAGCAAAAGCTTCATGAACTGAAACAAAGTATCAGTAGTTTCAATAACATCCATTATAAGGAACTAAAAGGATCTGCTTCTCAATGAAACTTTCTACGTACGCGTAAGAAATATGACTACGAGTTTGACCACACTGTACGATGACTGTATTACGACCACAGGAAAATGTGCTGTTGGACAGCCAACTGTTCAAACTGAAGAACAACAACATCCATGTCACTGAAACCGTGGGATGTCGCGGTTTTTTTCCCAACAGGCTATAAGCCTGGGAGCTACAGTCATTATCGAAATGGTTGCATATGTGTTGCTGTGATATCATTTAAGGAAAATTTCTTTTCGTTATTTTTTCCAATTATAAACAACTACTTTCTGTACTTTCTCTCACTTTATGACAACAATGTTGTATTGGAACCCATCTCGCCTACTGATAGCTTCATAACTTTTTTGGTACGCTGCAACTATAAATAGTTCCTGCATATTTAGTAACATCTTGCATATGTTACAAGCTCGGAAACATAAATCTTATTTATTGTGAACAAAATGGCATGTCATATTTAATATAACATTCATTGCTTTAGCGCAAAATTCCAGATTATGGCTTAAAGCATATTTAAGTTATAGGCGCAATGAACCGTTATGGGAATTATAATAACAATCACTTGCATCTGCAATATAATAAACTACAACTAATACCCTGCATTTATTTCAAGCTTGAAAGCCTTCTTCATTTAATATGAAATGAACGTTTACTAACCCAAATTCAGTTTATTCAGTTAGCATAGTACTGTTAGTAAATTAAGTGAGAAAAAATGTCATACCAATATAATAAACACCATGACCCTGAAAGCCGTAATTTAACCTTTATTTTTGCAATCATTGATCATAAACATATACGTCGAATTACAAAAAATGTTTTAACTAGGGCAAACATTTATGCTATGGTCATTTTTTAATTCCAAAATCAATTTTTTTTAAAAATCGAAATATTATTATTTGTAAAGTCCTTTGGCATCTATACTTACATTTAGTAAAGTATATATCCGGTCGCTATAGATGCATTTATCGGAAGCTATACATACAAAGTTAATGCTCTTTCTAAGACTTTTTTAATTAAAAAATGAAAATACAAAAATTCCACTCTCGTGTGACAAAAAATATTTTTTTTAGTTTAAAAAAAGATCAGCTTAAAATTTATGGTCGTACAAAATTAAAATGCAAAAAGTAAATCTGTGAAATAAAAATGAACCCTTCAACTTAGAAAACGGTTTCTAATGTCGATAGATGAAGTGCATAACTGTCCTGACAATTTTGATAAATGCAAATGTTTTCAAAAGGTTCTTATTCTTATAAGCCTACAGAATCCCTGTTCTATCACAGTAGCATGCTTCAATTATTGGCATGTTGCCAGCTCGCAGCATTATTTGCATAAATTTAAAATGAAAAATATTTGTAGTCAAACAAATGCTTTTGTTCAACTATTAATTGATTATTCTAATGTATTATTACTTTAGAGATCCTCTACTTTAGGATTACTTTAAAGTATTATTACTGCATGGGGATATTATTAAAACTTTTTTCGCATTTGGAAAATGCATAAATTATTTGTGTGAAAATTCTTTCGTCGTATCAAATGTAACAAAATTACAAATTAAGAAACGTTATATATTATTGAACAACAGAGGAATATCATTGAATGATATTAAATGGAAACAAAAATTCAACTTCGAACTTTGAAATGTAATTTATAACCAACTCCTTAAGGAAAGCGATTAAATTGCTTTCTTTCAGTTGAAAGTCTTCAAAAATCCCAAATTGTTTCATTAAAAATATCTCAGTTAGCCTTTTTTTTTATAAATAGCTGAAATATTTTGGGTTTTATGTTTTTCAGATGAGTATGAACATTTGATAATTATGAATACGAAGACAGTAGAAAATGTTAAAATAATTTCTGCTCGTAATTAAAAAAAAATTTTTTTTCTTTTCGTAAAATTTAGAAACTATGATAACAAGAATATTTGCTCTATTTAAAATAGTTTGTATTTATAAGTATATATAGGCATATCTCTTCATTTGTAGGAAAGGTATATTTCAGATTGTTGAAGAAAACTTAGTTCGAATAATCCTTATTTTCTAAAATAATCCTATTGAAAGAAACTCAAGTTAGCAGTTTACTTTTGTACATTGAAAACAGTTTTGTTACGTCAGAGAAGACTAAAGCTAATTTCTTAAAAAAAAAAAAAAAACATTATGCAGGATAAAAATAATGAAGGAAATTAAGATTAACAATGATGTATATCTTTTTATATTATCAATTTTTATATCACTAGATAAACCACAATATGGGTCAAATTGCACTTATCTATTCTTACGGCTAACGTTTTCTTATATATGTCTAAAAATAATTTTTTAACATATCTAAAAAATCTGTTTAAAAAGCCCACATTTTTTAAGTTGGTATCTAAATAAATATGAGAACGTCTTATTCCAGTCCAGAAAAGTCCACGTCCAGAAAGATTACATTTTATTTTTTGCATTTAAACTTACCTATGCATTTTTCTCCATTAAATCGCATTGATTTTTTTCTGCACATACAGATAGCTTTTTCTTCTGATGTTTCATCATATTTACAGTCTGCATCAGCAAAAGTGCATTTCCTCTTGAGTTCATCAGTGCATCCTGTTACGATTTCACACTTGTCTCCTTCTGTACCATCTTTGCATTTGCAGAAACCGTTTCTGCATTGTCCATTATTCTCGCAGTCAGCATCTTCCCCGCATCGCTCTAGAAAATAAAGTAATTTGAAGGAATTATGGAGCGTATAAGCTTATTGGAACATCTACAAAACTCAAAAATTATATAAGTTTTAAATTTCTTCTTTCGAGATTAAAAACCCATGAACCATACCTTTAATGAGTAAGGCACTTCTGTCAAACTTATATCAACTTAGTGTTATATTTATACGTATTTAAAATCGATACGAATTGTATTGCAGTTCAGTTTATTTGCTTAATATGATATATAAATGATATACAAATGTTCTTTTAAAACTCTGGATTTCGACTTCTGAGCCAACACACAGAAAAGCTTAAATTTCTTCTTTCACAGACTATGTAAAATTCGTTTAAGCGTTTTGCGTTTAAATTTGCGTTTAAAGTATAATTTCCATTCAACGATAAAGAAGTAGTTTTAGGTAACCTAAATTATCAAACAGAATTTAATGCTAATTTTCTAACTACAGCAACCATGTCATGCCAGATGTATTAGAATTCACATGAGTGCAAACAAAGTTATCAAAACTAATTTTCGGAATTTCTAATTTTCCTTACTAGTAATTCTGTATTCTTTTTTAATAATGGCAGTTATCATCAGTGTTAATAAAGCTAAATATTTAAGTTTTTATGCTCCAATTATTTAAATAATTTTTAAGTTCTGTGTTTGCATTTTGATAATTAAAAATTTATTTTTCGTGCATATTTCATAACACAAGGATTTATGCAAACAGATGAGCTATATTATATATTTCGTACGAAACATGCTTTATGACAAAACTTAAACCATATTTATGAAGACTTATCAAAATGCTTGCATCTATTTAGTTTTTGCTTGAATTAAAATTTAACTCGAAGAAAGATTTAGTAGGGAAAAAACTATTATGTTAGAAACATAAACTTACAATTGCTTATTGTCTTGAGAAAATAATTTTTTGAAAGCTTCTAATTACAATAAAATGCATAGAAAGGGTATATCCCAGCAGCGGATGAGCGGTAAAGACTCTGAACACTGGTGCTTCGGTCGGGGTTCGAATCTAAACAAACGGGTTAGCTTTGTGATTTTCTGCATGCGTAATGTCTATACAATACAGCTTAACATAGGAAGTTATCCACGAAGCGATTCCTTCTCTTAGACAGAAAGCCCATGTGTGCTGTGCTGTAATTAAGTAAATCAAACCAAACCATAGAAATGGAAGGATCAAGGAAAAAACAGACCAATTTGAGTGTTGCCAATTATCTTTCCAGAATGTTAATATTAAAAAGAATGAACTTAATAATTTACTGATGATCATGTTATAAGCATGAAGATTTGGCATAAAATTGTTAATTACAAACTTTATTAATATAATAATTCTGCTTAAATATTTGTTTTCGCGTATATACTTGCACGCAACGCTGTTTTATACTTGTTTAAAAATTGGCGTTCTTTTAAAGAAATGGCAAATTTGTGAGACAATGTAATGTTTAAAAAAATTTCTGTACCTGCACATTTTTTACCATTGAAGGATAAATTTGGGTTTCTGCATACACAAGAAGCCTTGTTTACTGCCGTTTCGTCATATACGCATGTTGCATCAGTAGCGGTGCATTTTGATATCATTTCATCTGTGCATCCTGTAACAGTTGTGCATTTGTCTCCTTCTGTGCCATCTTTGCACTTGCAAAACCTGTTCACACATTCTCCTCCATTTGCGCAATCAGAATTGTCTCTGCAGAGTTCTAAAAATAATATGCATAGTCAAAGAAAAATGTAAGGAAAATAATTTTGCTCCCGAGGTAATTCATGTTGAAGTTGATAATATAAGAAGTTAAATGTTTGAAATATACATAATATTACATTTTATGTGGAATGGTATTCTAATCTTAAACATCTGTAATAAGCTTTATGAAACATATCTAACAAAAGAAATAAATGCTTGTTCCAGAAAGATTGCTGTATGCTTTATGTTTCTAGACCATAAATTATGTATTGATGTAAATAACGCACCAAAGTTTTTAAAATAAAATATGAATCTTTATGCAATTAATTTCAGCATTATCGATTAGAGACTTCTTGTATGTATATAATTGTTCATAAATCCATGTAGTATTCTGAAAAGTCTTGTAAAATAAATTATGCAACTGATACTAAATTTTATTTCATTCAAATAGTGGTACGCTCATTACGATATTTGACTTTTTACTTTATTGTTCGAAGTAAAGGAAGTACTGTAATCCCGAAACATTTCACGTATCACATTTAAACTAAAATATCCATTTTGTCTGCTCTCGAATCCATTTGAACTATGTTTTTGCATGACATCTGTACGCACAGATAGAATAAAAAACTTTTTTTTCCCCAAACGGAATATAAATTGGATTTAAATTGATTCAGAAGGGATTTTTTCGTGACATCTGTTCGTATATATGTACCTCACTTAACTCAAAAACATGTAGCCTCAGAACGTTGAAATTTTATATATGGGACTGCTATAAATTGCATTTGCGCAAGTCCCTTTTAGGTTGCAATCAACCGCACCAAACGTATATATATATATTGGTGTTTTGTAGCCGGGGCAACATGAATAAGACAAATTTTGGAATACGTTTATTTTAGCATCCATCTCCCAAGCGTTCCTCCTGTACATCGAGGGAGAAGCCCAATTTATACAGTCAAAAGTCGTTAATCCGGACTCGTCGGGACTTCGGCGATTCCGGATTATCGATTTTTCCGGATTATAGATCATCAGTTTAAATCTGGTAAAATGGCATGAAGAAATTCTAAAATTAAAAATATGAAACCGTAATTTACGAAATAAAGAACAATTATGATCTAAAGTGTATCAAAATTTACAAAAAAAAAAAGCTTAATATTTATTTGTTTACTTTATTAAACATTTCTTTCAATGTAAGTTGTTTAAGTTGCTTCTTTTTTTATGTGATAATACATTCTCTTTAATTCTATAAACATACATAATTTCTTGTTCAGTTACAAAGTTCCGCTGTTCAAGTCCTATAATTGCTGCGTCGAGAATACCGACTAATTTGTCAATCGAAATTTTTGCGTTTTCAATAAACTCTGTTACTTTCTTCGCTATCGGAAGCGAATTATAATGACGAGGCATTTGATTTAAATCATATCAAAGACGGAGTATATCGACATGAAATACTACATTTAGTAAGCGATTATAAGCCAAATAAAATAAAAACATCTGCCTTGAAGATAAGGATAGTGCTGACAGATCAACTTCCAATTCATTGCGCGCCCGCCGCGGCGTTAAAGATAAACAAACGTTAAAGTTTAGATAAACAAAGGATATGCCTTTATCCATTTTTTGCAGCAATTCCACTTTTTGTTTAATGGACTCCGAAACATACTTTCGCTTTGTAGATCCGTTACATATTAGTAAATATAAATCGGAAATTCTATTTGACACAATCGAAAGTTCAAGCTTACTTTTATAAAACTGCTCTAACAGTCTGCAAAAAATAATAAGCCGGATCCAAATCGAAGATTAAGGAACAACGCAATCTGCAACATTAACTGAAATAGATAATTAGATAATTTTAGCTCAGCTTATACCATAATAATTATAATAACCAGATAATTACAGCTTAGCTTATACAGTCCGTTAAACATTAAACGCGCATTCGTAAACGTATTTTGCGCACGCGCACACGCAAATTCGCAGCCGTAAAGGTCTTACGTGCATGCGTCAACGCGACGCATGCGCAGAAAGTTTGTAGCTTTGAGGTCCGGATTATAGATCATTCTGGATTATGGGTGTCCGAATTAACGACTTTTGACTGTAGATATGTGTGCATAATGGTGCTCATCCAATCAGCGGTATTAATTGAGATTACGAGGTGACGCTATCTTCTCATCAGGAGTATTCTTAAGGACTTTATGTAGTATGATAGATTTATGAGTTTGGTGATTTGGCGGGCGCCAACAGGTTAATATAATTTATAAGAAAGAAAGGATTTCGCCAAAATTTAGGAACAGGGGTGCAATTTAGGTAGAGAATCGCCACACATTATTTAGGAATATGATTAGAATTTAATTTAATTAATTGAATTAAAATATCATTACATATATATATATATATTATATATATGCATATATATGATTAATTATGATTAACTTAAAAAGCCGAAAAGTTGCTAAGTAATAAATCAATAATTTATTATTAGAAAAGGTTTTTATATATCATCTCCAAGGAAACAGAATTTAATCAAAGCTACGAATTATTAGAAAAATTTTAGAAGGTATTTTAAGGCAGTAGTAGGATAGCAGAAAGGTATACCCGTCTTCCGGAGAGCTCAGTGTTTTATTCTTATATGTTGGTAAATTGCGCATTTTTAGTTTAAAAATGATCGAATTATGTTGTTCTTATATTACGGTTAGTTTTTTTATGCCTTCATTTCATCGGCAAGCAATATTTGTAAAATTATCAACAATTTGAAAGTTGTTTAAGGGGTGCTAAGCCTAATGTGGAGGTCATTTGAAACTCTTAGTAGAAAAGTGGATTAAGTGTGTCTGTGCACAAACTTTACCGTCTTTTTGCCTAGTGTGAGCCAAAGTAAACTTTCAGTTTTGTGCACCGAAAAGATCTGTCTTCCAATCCGCTGGTCGAATTACTTGTTTTTGCATTCAAACTTTAATTTTAATTGTAAAAGTTCTTTTTTATATTGTTTTTAACTGTATTCTTTTTATGTTTTTCTGTATTTTACAATTTTTAATGAAAATGCTTTGAGTTTTTATATATTTTTGCCTTTCCGCGTAGGGAGAACTGAATTAATTGAATGAGAATTATATCTCTAATGAGATTCGAAGAAATAAATGTAAGTGAAATGGAGCAAAAATATGAGTATAATAGACCGAACAAAGAAATCATGTGGTAGCTACATGAGATATTTAATAAATTGGAATATGTTTATCTTTGCTGATACTGTAGACATCTATTTTTTTATGAAAGTAAATCCATAACATTAAGAAGTACACTTTTCTTCATTATAACAGAAGAAGTGGTGATGTAAGTATTACTGCTTTTAAGACCACTCAGTGCTTTACTGAAAACGAAAGATTCCTTAACGGAAAAAGTAGAATATTTGGAAAGCATGAAGATTTGGCATAAAATTATTTGGACTTTTAATTTTAATTTATTCCAGTTTTTTCCAAATAATTTAAAATTATTTGTAAATTAATTATTTAGATTATATTTAAAGCATAAATACTCATTTAAATTACTCATATTTAAGAACTAACTTCAGTCAAAATGTTATGTTTGTATGGAGCTATAAACAAATAGAAAATTTCAAAATGCAATAGGGAGGTACAAAATTTAATGTTTGCAACTTGTATGTATGGACAGTTAGCAAAAGCAAAACTACATTATATACCGAAGGTTTATAAAATTATTTAAAACATTTTGAAATTTCCAGCTCTCGGAACGTTTTACAAATTTTACTGTTTTATAATGAATAATAGCTTTATTTTAGCACAGTTCAGGTTTTGCCTTCGGACCATTATCTACTTCATTATTGGTATTCACGACATCTACCATCTGCTAATCTGAAACATTTAAGCTGAACTTGTATATGATTTTGACCAGGTTTTGATTAATTTACAAAACGTTTTGTATCAAATCTATGAGTAATGCATCATTAACATATGATCTCGTGTATACGGGTGTAAGAGTAATAGATTTTCAATAAAATAACTGAATGCTTGTTTTGACTGAAACATTTAAGGAAAAGTAACAAAATGAAAAGAACGTGTAAACTAAAAATTTAGGATAAGTAGAAAATAAAAATCAGCATTGAACTAGTGTGATAATTGTTTGAAAGTTTTGTAAAAAGGGAGTAAAAAAGGAGAAAAATGTATCTTAATTTCATAGAATTTATGCAAAAGAAAAAGACGTTACCCACAAGGCAAATGAAGAGCAGGCACGATTGGAAAGATTGAAAACACAATCAACAGGAAATACTACTGTTTGTGTAAATTATATATCATCAAACGTTTAAGAAATGTGCTGAAAAAAGGTGTTTTATCACTACTTTATTTGTTATTACTACGAGGAAACGATTCCAATGCTGAGTTATTAAATCAACAAAGTTGCTATTCAAACTAATCATCAAATTCTCTGATTAGTTAAAGCGCCTGAGTTAAAAAGAATAACGAATTAAGTCGATATGCAATAATTAGTTTCAGAATAATTGTAAATTCTTTTACAGATATAGCTAATTATAAAAATAAAGAAAAATAAATTTTGAGGTATAAAAGTAAAATAAATTTTGAGGTATTTTGTCTCCCTTATATAAACACAAAATAATTTTAATTCCCAATTTGCAGAGACGTAGATGCATTACGCAGATGCACTGTGCCTGCAAATGTTTTAAAATCAACATGAAATTTTAAAAAAAAAAAAAAAAAAAAAAAAAAAAAAGAAATAACAAGTCCCTAATCAGGCATCAAATTCTCTGACTGATGAACTCTCTGCTGATTCTCTGATTGATTCAGAGATCAATTCCCTGATCTCTGAATTATAATTGATGAATATTTTAAGAAGTCGACGCAGAAACTTTTAATACAGTAATTCCAGATGATCAACACTCGCGGTTTAAGACAGACTTTAGAAGCGAAAACTGCATGTCGCAATATTAGAAAGGACTTGTTGCCAATCTTTGCACAAGAGTACTTTCGGAAATGAAGGAATAGAGTTTTCCACTTTGTTGTAAATTCATGTGGCACTAAATGCTTACCTGAAGCAGTCTTGGCTTCTAAAAACTATTCCTGCCACTTCGTCCCTTTGTGGCACAATACTAAATGAGCTTCAAAAATGCATTTTCGCGGTTACAATTATTTTTGATTTATCTAAGCACTTTTGGTAGGAAATTTTATATAATTTTGATATTATATATGAAGTTAGGGGTGTATAGAAAACTTTAAAATAAAATCTTTAAAAATTATCATTGAATTCAGTTATTTATCATTATGCATCGATAATTATTTAAATTATAAAAATCGGAAATCTGATTGATTTTTTCGGTGTTGTCTTGCATATTATTCTTTAAAGATCAGTGACCTTAGCATATATAGTGACAGTGCAAAAACTTTTCCGAGAAACGTATTTCTCTCAATACTATTTTGAAGAATAAGTTCTTAGCCGAAACAGTTGCCCTCAGTGATCTGTTATGCGTGCGTCCCCTCAATAGTTTGACCGGAATGGAGAAATATTTCCCGGCAGTTTTGTCTCGTGGAGCAGAGGAGTATCTAACAGGACTTCCTTTGTTCCGCGTAGATCAACCAATAAGATTTCTGGAAGCAAGGATTACTGGAAACGACGAGCAGTTGAGAGTAGCTGGTAGTTCTGATAGCGGCTTTACATTACATAAAAGATAACAGTAAACTCCTTTCTCTGTTCAGAATATTATTTTGGTATCAGAAACAAGGTTGAGAAAGTAATTAGGAAAAACAAAGAAATAAATAATGGGTAAATCGATGTTCAACTTACTATAACCCAAACTATATTGTATCTCAAATTTTACATTAGGAGTAATTTATGTTTATGTAAACCTTAATTAAAAATAAACAATTAAAAAAATGTATATCCATTTTGTATGGATTACATGTTTAGAATATAATGTTTAGAATATAAAAAAGTATTTACATGTTTAGAATATAAAAAAGTATACATAATTTTACCATAATTTAAACATACCTACGCACTTCTCTCCATTAAATCGCTGCAAATCATTTATGCACGTGCATGTCGCTTTGTTCGGCGATGTTTCATCAAATGTGCATATTGCACCAGCTGTGGCACATTTTTCCTCGAGCTCGTCTTTGCATCCTGTTACAATTTCACATTTATCTCCTTCTGTACCATCTTTGCATTTGCAGAAACCATTTCTACACTCTCCATCATTCTTACAGTCAGTTCTGTCCCTGCAAGGCTCTGAAGAACAGCAAAATTTTAAGAAACTCTATAACAATACATATAAGCTGATCACAGTTATACTGTCAATTAGGCCTGGAAATTAAGAGATGAAATATTCTTTCACAAAGAGCAGAGAAATGTATTTGATACTAGAAATGACTACAATAACGTTTCAGATATGATGCCAATCTATGTGATAACTGAAACCTCATGCTTTGTTACATAATAGAAATTATATAAGGGCGAGTCAAATGAAAGTGAGCCAACCCCTCCTCAGCAAGAATGGTTCGGTCCATCATCTGCGGCGCATGCGCGTAGCACAGAGACAGCCTTCATTTACGAAAGTGGCGCGAAAGTGTGAGGTTAAAGTTCTTTAAGGCGCTCTTACACTGGGTTTGAAGACGGTAGCGTGACATAATGGACGCTCCAAAAGAGGAACAGCGTGGTGTGGTCAGGTTTTTGACAGCTGAAGGTGTTTCCCAACATGAAATTAGTCGCCGTATGACTGCTGTGTACGGTGAACATTGCATCGCATTGGCCACTGTGAAGCGTTGGAGCAAACGGTTCAGAGAAGGACATGAAAGTTGCAAAGACGATCCAAGACCCGGGCCAAAGCCACCTTGCAATCACCTCCCCCCGACACAATTGCACAGATTGATGAGCTGATTAGACAAACGGAGGATAAGCATCGATGAACTGGCAGAGCGTGTGAACATCAGTCACGGTTCGGTTCACACCATAATTCATGATCATCATCTCGGTTATCGGCTTTTGTGTGCTCAATGGATGCCCAAGATTTTGAACGACCGCCAGAAGACGGAGAGGTTCGGCGCTGCTTTGACTCATCTCATCCGGTATCACAATGAGGATGACGACTTCTTGTCTGCAATTATGACCGGAGACGAATCATGGTACCACCACTACGAACCTGAAACACGCCGGCAAAGCTTACAGTGGAAACATTTGAATTCACCACCCCCGAAGAAAGCAAAGGCTGTCATTTCCTCGGGAAAGGTGCTATTGACTTTTTTTTCGATCGTCAAGGGCCATTACTGATTGAATTTGCTAAACGTGGAGAGACTATCAATAGTTCGCGATACTGTGCAACGCTGGATCGGCTGCGTGCAGCAATCAAGAACAAACGACCTGGAAGATTGACGAATGGTGTGATTTTGCTACACAATAATGCTCGTCCCCACGTCACTGATGTGGTTAAGACACAACTGGCAAAGTTGAAGTGGGACACGCTGCACCATCCTTCATATAGCCCAGATTTGTCGCCATGCGACTTTCACATTTTCGGGAAACAGAAAAAACATCTCAAGGGTACCAGATTCGTGTCGGACGACGCCGTGAAGGAGTCGGTTACAGACGTTTTGAATCGACAGCCCAAGGAGTTTTATGAGACGGGGATCACGCGGCTCATTTGTCAATGGGATAAATGTCTCAATGTTCATTGAGACTACTTTTAAATAAAGTACTCTGTTTGTCATATATTCGCATTGTCTCACTTTCATTTGACTCGCCCTTGTATATTATCCTTAAATTAGAGACTAGTCAGCATTATTCAAGTTTTAAACAGGCTACGGGAAATGAATCATATATTTTTAAAAAATGTTGCTTCTAAACAAATATCTGATAGGATATGTTTATAAACTTATGTTTTATGACACACAAACCAACTCTTAATACGGAAATTACAGAAACATTCTTTCAAATATTTCAGTGAGTATCTATTTCCACAATAACAATAAGAAACATTCTCACATTTTTTATTCAGGCGCATAGTAATTTAATATAACTGATATTAGCTGCTTAGAAACTTTCTTCTTATGTTAATAATAGATGCACACTGTAATCTGATAATTTTTAAAACATCTGTATGGTATAGATACAAAATCACGGATAGCAGGGAATGACTGGCGTCTATTATCTGTAAAATATAGGACAACACAATATATAAGTACCCTGAGTTTGTTGAGTAACTCTTAAAATGCAAAGAAGTAAGAAGTACATTGGGTACTTATTACTGCACAAGTTGCTAAAGTCATTACTGTAGTCGCAGTTTCTCGTAGCGTTTGAGAGGTGTATGAAAGCATGCAGTTGAAAAACACATATCCAATAGCAACTGTCGCCATTGGTTTCAGAAATTTTGCAGTGGGGACAATTGATATAGAGATAAGTCATATTCTGGACGCCGATCAGCGGTTTCAAGGTTTGCTGAAATCCGAAAAAAAGGCAATATAAAGCAGCAGAAACATTGCCGGTATACAAAACAGCTGTCTGAAAACGGATGAAGGCACTTAGGCTGATTATGAAGTTCAAACGGTTGGCTCCAGATACGTTCTGCGAAAAAAGAGGACAAAAGATTTGCTATTACGAATGTTAACCATTTTTCGAATGCATTTTAAAGGCACTTGATTAATGAATACCTAAAACGAAGTACTTAAGAACTGTGTCAGCATTCTTAATAGGAGAGCTAGATTCCGAAAACAGTTTCCTCAGTCTGTTGTGGAATGTTAAGAGAATGTTAGTGAATACAGTGAAACGAATAAATCTGCGCACCTGGCTGTCACTAGCTGAAGAAACGGAAAACGAAACTAGTATCTAAACGGTGAACAATCCTTAAACAAAAAAGACATCATTTTCCATCATTATAATGCTAGATCTTATGCTATTTTAATAATCAGGCAGAGATTCGTTTTAGAATGTATTACTTCAAACAGTGTTCCTCTGGCTTTGTTTTACAAATTATTATCTCATTCTATCGTTGGAGAAAATTTGTCTCACTAAATCTTCAACAACGAACAGAACATGAAAGCTAAATAACAAAGGATTTCTGATGCTACAAGAGAGGCATTTTAGAAACTTGAGATACACTTACTGTGAGATAAATGATGCTGAAATTTATATAAAATCATACATATTTTATTTTTATGTTATCCTTTTTTCTCTTTCGGCTAAAAACAGGAAGGAATTCGGTATGCATCTGATACCTGATTATCGACAGCATTTATCTAGACGTTTAATGTTTGAAGATACATACAACAAAATCTGCTTAGCCTAATGTCAAAACTAAATATATAAATGTAAATTTGCTTACACATTGTGTTATTCATCAACATCATTTGGTTGAAAGAAAAGAACGGAATGAACGCCTGCATACTCCTCTTCATTACTTTATTAGGGAACTAAATAAGATTAGAAGCAATTCATTGCATGACAGATTATTTGGCCAACGTTTCAATGAAAATCATGAAGTGAAAAGGATTAGAATCGCTTGCTACTGTACATAAAAGTTCATTGGCTTTCAAGAGGTATTTGTCTGAATCTTGTATTTGCAATCCATTTGACTTAATATTGCACTTCCTTGAAAACAGAAGACAAAAACTACATCCAAAAATGATATCGCCAATTTTACAGACCTGTTAAAATATTTAATAAAATCAATTTGCAAGGGAATTTGTTGAATTTAATTAACACCGAAAACATCACAGATACGTATATGGGAAAGCTTTTGTTTAGCAGGTGATTACAGCTACTTTATTACAATATCAATAATCCTCGAAAACAGGAAAATTTACTTGCTTACTGCCAACACTTGGATGTTCTTCATGCTGACTTTACAGAACGATTCTAGGTTATTTTAGATATGAATATACCAATTTGGGTTTCAGATATCTTCATGAAGATACAGCAAAATTATGACAATTAGTAATTCGCAGATCCCATAACTAACGAAGAACTAAAAGTAAAATTCAGAAATAGATACCAAGAGTTCTGGCTTCAAAAATCAGTACTAATTCTCTAGCCAGGATTATCAGGAAGAACACATAAATTTTTAATTGTTTGTCGTATTTGTTTGTTAGGATCTGTACCTAGGCATTCTCAACCCCAGGGGTATAAAAACAGACTTCACAGAAGGCCTGAGGGCTCTCGGGACAGAGTAAGGCTCGGCAGGGAGACTAGGGTACTGCCTTGTATGCCCTTGCTCTGTAGGGTCGCAACATGGTAGATTGTAAGTTCGGTGGGGCGGCACTTAATTCCGTTTGACACAAGCCTCAGGTCGGAAGTAGCCCTATCCGCTAGCGTTGTCGTATTTTTCTGAGCATCTGTTCAATGCGTTATCTAATTTACTGTCTAAGAGAAGGAACAGACTGCATATCACTGAACGAGGCAATACTCGACTGACCATAATGAAACTAGAACATGACATAAACACATTGTTGGAAGTCTACCAGCTTCAGCCATCTCAATAGCCTTTTTATTTCTATTTGAGAATATATTAAAATTTTTAATAAACAGTTTTTCAGTTACTCTCGTTTTAGTTAATTTCTACTTAGGTATACTTGACGGATAAATAGACAGATAAACGAAATGTAGATAATATGCAGAAATATTATAGTATTTGGTAAAATTAACTGTTGTGGTAGAGGGGGTTGGAATTTTTTTTTATGTAAATGAGTCGGGGGTAGTTTGAGAATCGTTTGAGAACCTCAGTTTAGACCAAAGCCTCCAACAATGAATAGATTTCTCCAAATTTCAGTACCTTATGCAAGTCAAATTTCAGTTTCCAGATTTCAATACGAGCGTAACATAACGTCACAGCTATTCATATAATTTCCATTTTATGTAAACCTTAATGGAAAAATGTAAACATTTATAATTTATGTATTTAAAATGGGAACACATATTATATAGAAAAGGTTATCATAATTTGGACATACCTATGCATTTTTCGCCATCAAATCGCAGTAAATCATTCCTGCACGTGCATGTCACTTTATTCACGGATGTTTCATCATATGTGCATACTGCATCAGCTCTAGCACATTTTTTCTTCAGCTCAACCGTGCACCCGGTTACTATTTCACATTTATCTCCTTTTGTACCATCTTTGCATTTGCAGAAGCCGTTTACACATTCTCCTTGATTCTCGCAATCAGTTCTGTCTGTACAAGTCTCTAAAAATAACAAAATTTTAACAGATTCAGTAAGAATGTATACGTTAGCCTTCACAACATCTGGAAAAAATAGGAACTAAAGTTAACAGAATATTCTTTCAAATTTCTTCCTCAATGAACGGGGTCTTGTGTCAGATTTTCCGAGAATAAAACTAACAATTTTACGAGCTTATGGCATTAAGCCAATCTGCGTGTTAAGTGAAATTTATTGCTTTAATTCCTGATGGAAACTGAAGAATACATTTACATTTGAGACTAGGCCATATTATTAAAATGCTTTAAAAGTCTAGAACATCACAAAATATTAACACATGCGGATACTGGGATCTGTTGAATCTGGGTATTCCTGCAGATGCTTTAGGCTTTTGCAGGAATTAAGTTATTCATAATATAATTAATTTACATCTTGTTTATTATTCATTTACAAGAAAACCCGTTGGCCTTTTATTTTACTACATTAGGATTCTTTTTTCCTCTATGATACATAAAGTTTAATTTAACCTGTTTAAAGATTTAAAAAAATAATAAAAATATAACAATTATAAACGATACATAAAATGTTATTAAGTTTTATTTATGCAACGCATTTCTTATTTTGTAATAGAGCAAAACTGTAGACGCAAAGCATTACTTTGGTTCTGTGTCATTGATAGGTTTGTAAAAAATAAGAAAAAATGGTACTTTTCCGTTTCGCCGGCGCAAATCTCACCAAGCAAATTTAATTGGCGACAACATACAGTATACACATAAAAAATGTTAACAAATGTTAGTTCTAATATTTTTTTTTATTTTGAAGGCATAAACATTTTAATATCGTTTAAAATTTTATAAAAAGCCAACAAAATAAAGACAATAAATTTGTAAAAAGACATTAATTTAAGAATTTAATATGCTTTCATGGTTCAACATCCTGATTCGCCGGTTCATATCATGTGATCTCATCTTACGTAAATTAGCCAGCACTCAGGAGGTGCGATTTTTCCCATTATTTTTTATATGGGTACGATCCCTGTTTAGGGTACGAAATTTATTTGAGTAAAGACCTTACAATAAGATCGAATGCTCAATACTAGGATTAAGATACGGATTCGCAAACTACGCTACAAAAATCTAATTCTGTCAGTAATTATCTACATTAATTTCAAGTTAAATCTAGATTTGAAACGCAAGTTTAAATGCAAGAATTATTTCAATTCATACGAATAGCTTACTCAGAAATCATGTAAAACCGCAGTGCTTTACTTCGTTAGTGCATTCTCATTAGAATTGATGAAATTAATCCTTGACTTTGCCTTTTCTATATTTAAGCCTTCAGGTGAGCGGTGTAATTGACTCAATTATCGCAAATGGCCTTAGGCATATAATTGAACTATCTGTTAAAAATTCTATCTAATTGTATGCAAGTATTGAACGAAACAATCAATCCGATAAGAAACGGCTGGGACTTGTTTTGAAAATGAGGCGTAAAAGGTTACCAGCGAGGATATTCCGCTTGGCGTCATTTGTATCTTTATTGGCGACTTTATCACCTGCCCCGGCAAAACGGAAGAGTACCGAAAAAATAAATAAAAAAAGAAAGGGACTTAAAGATTACATGTTTTTTTGTAATTTGACAAGAAACAAATACGGATAATTTTAATTTTAAATACACTGAACATACCTACACACGTTTCGCCGTTATATCGTAGTAAATTATTTCTGCAGACGCAAGTAGCTTTGTTCACTGATGTTTCATCAAAAATACAATCTGCATCAGCATTAGCGCATTTCCTTTTGAGCTCATCTGTACAACCAGTAACAATTTCGCACTTATCTCCATTTGTGCCATCTTTACATTTACAAAAGCCACTTATGCATTCCCCTTGATTCTTGCAATCAGTTCTTTTCTCGCAGCGTTCTAAATGTGATAAATATTTTAAAAATATGCAAGAATACTGTATTACTGTAAGATGTCATATCAAACAGCTATAATAAAATAAGGCATATACACTGAAGTGACAAAAGTCATGGGATACCTCCTAATATTTTGTCGGTCCTCCTTTTGCCCGGCGAAGTGCAGCAACTCGACGTGGCATGGACTCAACAAGTCGTTGGAAATTCCCTGCAGGAATATTGAGCCATGCTACCTCTATAGACGTCCATAATTGTGAAAGTGTTGACGTTGAAGGTTTTGGGCACAAACTGACCTCTCGATGATGTCCCATAAATGTTCGATGGGATTCATGTCGGGTGATCTAGGTGGCCACATCGTCGCTGGAATTGTCCTGAATGTTCTTCTAATCAATTGCGAACAATTGTGGCCCGGTGACATGGCGCATTATCATCCATAAAAATTCCATCGTTGTTTGAGTACGTGAAGTCCATGAATGGCTGTAAGTGATCTCCAAGTAGCTGAAGGTATCCATTTCCAGTCAATGATCGGTTCAGTTGCACCAGAGGACCGAGTCATGCCATGTAAAAACAGCCCAGACCATTATGGAACACAACCAGCTTGAACAGTGCCTTGTTGACAATTGGGTCCATGGCTTCGTGGGGTCTGCGCCACACTCGAACCCTACCATCAGCTCTTACCAACTGAAATCGTGACTATCTTACCAAGCCACGGGTTTCCATTCGTTTAGGGACCAACCGATATGCTCACGAGCCCACAAGAGTCGCTGCAGGCGATGTCGTGCTGTCAGTAAAGGCACTCGAGTCGGTCTTCTGCTGGCATAGCCGAAGGAAGACAAATTTCGCCGCACTGTCCTATCGGACACGTCCCTCGTACGTCCCAGATTGATTTCTGCGGCTATTAGACGCAGTGTTGCTTGTCTGTGAACACTGACAACTCTACGCAGACATCGCTGGTCTCGGTCGTTAAGTGCAGCTGGTCGGCCACTGCGCTGTCCATGGTGGGATGTTATGCCTGAAATTAGTTACTCTCGGCACACTCTTGACACTGTGGATCTCGGATTGTTAAATTCCCTAACGATATCCGAAATGGAATGAATGACCCATGCGTCTAGCTCCAACTACCATTCCGCGTTCAAAGTCTGTTAATTCTCATCGTGCGGCCATAATCACGTCAAAGCCTTTTCACATGAATAACTTGAACACAAATGAAAGCCCTGCCAAAACACTTCGCATTTATACATTTTCTATGCGATACTACTGCCATTTGTATATTTGCATATTGCTATCCCATGACTTTTGTCACTTCAGTGTAAACTAACTATATTAAGACAGCATATAAGATAACGGTATTAGAATATCATGTTATACAATCTAACTGTATTCAGGCACAATGCTAAACGTGCTAAAATATATAAAATTTTAAGTATATTTCTTAAACAGAAGGAAACATATGTCAAATTCTCTCTTAACAAATTAATATTTTTTTTTGGAATAAATATCGTTCTTGTGTGGTATTTATACCTCATTAAAATTCTTATTCAAAATGTGTATTTTGATGAACTTAGCTGTTTCAAATCATAATTTCCGTTCGGAAATAAAAGAGGAAGCTGTACTATCCAGTAATCACGGAATATAATTTGTAACTGATTTTCGAACAGAAGGATATAACACACAATAGGATATTAGAGAAAAGATGACTATTTGACATCAATCGTGTTCAAAACTCACAATAAAGATTCTCTAAATTTATAATGCTTCATTTATTCTTCCTACAGCGACTGTAGGAAGAATAAATGAAGTAATGATGAATAAATGAATAATGAAAAAATGAATAAATAAATGCCATAAACTCTATTTAAATTTAGAGAAATGTACCTGTATATTTATAGTCTGTGATGATTTTGAAAATTCTTAAGTTCTTTGATCTAAAATGAAATAGAGTTTCGTACGCAAATTTTGGTAGTAAAAGCCTTTATGTATGGTTTATGCTGCCCATTTCAACGAAATATAAATTAACCAAATATTTTATCAATTTCTCAGTCATTAGAAAAAAAATCTTCTACGTAAATCTTTACTGTGGTTCAAACTGTGTTATATAGAACGGGGAGTTACGTAAGTTAATAAAGAAATTTTCTTAAAAAAATCCGAAAGCTTTCACATTTTATATTACCCCCAAAGGGGCGTTGTCTAACGTTTTCTGTGTTACATTTACCTATTAAATATCATGTTATTCGCACGTAAACCATAAAATTCATTGCAACAGCCATATCACAAAATATTTTAAAAAGCATTTCTTTAGAATTTCAGATACACAGTTTCGCGTTCTCAAGATAAAAATGTTTCTTTTTTCTTCGCACTGTCTTGCCATTGCTCTCTTTGAAATTGTCGAGTTTGTTAATAAAAAATTCTTTAATGTTTGACAAAATATGAAATCGATAATAAAACAAATTCCAAATTAGGGCTTCCAGATGCCCATATTCAGTGGAGGATTACGCTATTCAAAATCTGATGGCTCTAGGTATCGTTGTTTTATCACAATGCGAGAAATACACATACATTTATTACATTAATGCAGAATCTTCATTACTTAATTTCCTTAAATATAACACAGAGGCGATAATATTTGGTGGCAACGATTTGAAAAATGAAACGGAAATTTAAAATTTTCGACGCAAAATGCCAAAACGAAATTAATAGCCATTCTGGTCTAACGTGTTTTGGTCTAATAACATATGCTTGGATTTAAAAAGGAACAGACATATTTTCAGTCAATATATAATTACGAATTTCGTGCACAGATAGATAATTTGAGTGAAATTATATGTAAATTTGTTCTATTCCTTTTTCTGGAAATCCTACAGAATACAGGAGCAAGACTATTTTAATACTGTATATGGCTATCTCGCTAAATTGGCTAGCCTTCGCTGAGTTGGCAACGGTATTGGTGACTAATTTTTGTCCCTAAACTTCGCGAGCATTTGGCGACATTTTGTTTTGGCTCCTGTATCACAGCAGTAGGTATTGTAATTAAATAAATGTAATTGACTGTGTAGCTGTAGCCGTAATTCGGCTCTCATTTGTCTTAGAGGAATTTCGAGAAGCAGAGGGTATTAGAAATATGGCCGTCCCATACACAGATAGTAGCCTTTGCGGATGACGCGACCTTTGTGGTGGGCGGCAAGAGTAGAGATGAACTGCAGAAAAACTGCAATGATGCAATTGATACCTTCTATCGGCTATGTCAGGAGAAAAAGCTAATAATTCTGAGGCAAAATCGAAATATATAATTTATCATAAGCCAGGCCAAACTTTAATAAGAAACCCAACCATCCAGCTTAATGGGAAGACCATCAAAAGGGTCAGAGAACTAAAACTCCTGGGTATTATATTGGATGAAAAGTTCACCTGGCTGCCTCACTTTAAAGCCCAAAGAGAAAAGGCTCGCCGAATCGCAAACAATCTGCAAAAAATGCAAGGCCCGCACTGGGGGCCTTCGGCCCAATATCTACAAGATACTTTACTCCACTGTCGTGGAGAGGGTCCTAACCTACGGAGTAGCCATCTGGGCAGCCCCGATGACAGTCAGAAAGGCAAAATTGCTAAGTAGTGCACAGCGGACCATTTGTCCTGGCCATAACGAAGACCTACAGGACAACGTCGACTGCGGCCGCTTCGGTATTAGCAGGGCTTATGTCGCTCCCAATCAAAGCGCAGCCAAGAAGCCTCAATTGCAAAGGTGACGCAACTCCAACAGCCATGCACATATGGGGATACATGCTATCTGCCAGGAGTCTACGAAACACGCAGGTTCCAAACTAAGCACACATCCGTGGAATATGGACTGGGCATAAGGACTTTCCACTCACCAGCGTTAAACCAACCCCGCGCTTAGACGGACCAGGGGCCGTGCTTTATACAGACGGGTCAAAAATTGATAACGCTGTAGGCAGTGCCTATATAGCCTATATAAATGGAAACATAGCAAAGGAATGGAAGGGCCGTCTGGGAGCACAGAACTCAGTGTTCCAAGCGGAAGTAATTGCCCTCACAAAGGCAGTGAAATGGGCAATTGACACACACGGCAGAGTCGAGCTACGATATTTACTGACAGCCTGTCAAGCATTTAGCTATCAACAACCCTCTCCAGCGCTCCGCACTAATCTCGCACCTGCAAGAAGTCCTCCGTCTACAAGAAAAGTCAATGAGAATCCAAACTTCCTGGGTGAAGGCGCACAGCCGGAATCCAGGGAAATGAAGCAGCAGGCGCTCTTGCCAAGAAGGCTGCCCAAAATGAGGAAACGGAGCAGATTCAGGTGCCCCTGCCCCGGTCATGCCTAAAGAGGCAAATAGAGGAGTCCGCCATTGGAAACTGCCAGAATGAATGGGACCAAATCCCGCAAGGGCCAGAGCATATGAGTTCCTGCCCAAGGTAGAGGTGGACCGGCTCATCTCATCGATAAACCTCACGCGATATATACCTACCTCACGCGATATATAACAGGCCACGGCCCCTTTCCGACGTACTTTGCAGAAAGGGGTCTAGCAACAACTGATATGTGTGTTTGTGACAACGTGGTGCTCACCAGACCATTATGTCACGGAGTGCCCTTAACAGCAGAATGGCACATCAAATTCCCAACTACCAATGTTCTGCCTTTCAAACGCCTTCTCATAAAACATCGAGGCACGCGGCAAAAGCTTAAAAGCATAATGGCCAAACTAGAAAAAATGGGCATAGACCTCTGCAGGCCAGAATAGGGCACATGCAATAAACACAATTGGCATAAAATCATCTTACAACTGAAGTCTCTAGATGGTTGCAGGGCCAGGGTAATACCCGAGTAGTCATAGAAAGCCGTCCGGGTGCCCTGTCCTGCTGTCACCTGTCACCTGTTTAGCTTCGCTCTTTAGCTACTCTTTGCATTGCGGTTGTGTTTAACGTTCCTAGTAGTCTGAAGTGCCACTACTGATTGTACTTTGCGATAATCTGAAGTATTATATTAGTATTCTTGATGAAAGTTCCAAAAATCTGAAGTGTTTCTTTTGATAAAATAAAATTTATCACTATATCATTGGACCTGTGTACATTCAATCTATTACGAACCAGTTCACCCGCAACAAAATTACGTAATGCATTTTTTTATGATACCAAGAAATGGCGTGGCTTAAAGTTTATAATAATGGTGATCAGTGTTCATATGGAGTTGCAAGAATTAGTATGCATCAAACTTTAAACTATAATAAGAACTGACTGGTATCACTCTTTTCAAATAATAAGATTTCGTTGATTTAAATTACATTGGATTTAAATTAAAAAAATTACAGTACTTGAAAAGAGGGTGACTTATTACACGCTTATTCAAAATGAATAATCCAATATGATGGTTCTATTGTTCTTAACAGGGAAATTTTCTAAACAAGTGAAAGTGTTACACTGATAATGAAATTTTATTTCCTGTCCAAGTATTCAAGTGGATTTGAGTGATCCTAAGCTCCTTAATAGCTTGAATTTTGGACTTCCGTGAGCAAGCACATTTACAAATGTCTCTATTTTCCTTTCAGATTCTGTGGCATTCCAATACTCACTGTCTGCCATTGGCAATCACTTTCTTGACGTTTTTGTTGAATAGCCTTCGAAAATCACACTGCCCCTTTATAACCGAACCTGTTTTAAGCGCACTCGAAAATTCAGGATGTCTTTTGTGGAAGTATCGCCATCCTGCATGTTAAACAGGCAACTGAGCTTTGAAGGCGAGCTTATGTACCCAAAACGGACCAGACACCCTGCTGGTGACTGTTCAAAACAAAGACACCTTTACTTTCAAACTTTAGTTAATTCGTCCGGTTAAACTGCTTGATTAAAAGCTAGAAATTCCAAATTGTTTCCTTTATTTTGAATAACCCTATATATCGGATATTATACAGTAGAAAAAATTTGCTTGCATAACATATCTCTGATGGATCACATTTGCAATAAAGAGGGGAATTTAAGAAGGATGAGAATAATTCGGAAGCTTTACATACCTGCACATTTTTCTCCATTATAGAATAGCTTTGGGTTTTTGCAAACACAAGAAGCCTTGTTTTCAGCTTTGTCGTCATATACACACATTGCGTCAACTGCAGAACATTTTGCTGCGAGTTCATCTGTACATCCTGTTACAATAGTACACTTATCGCCTGCTGTACCATCTCTGCATTTGCAAAACTTGTTCACACATTCTCCGCCATTGGCACAATCAGAACTGTCGCTGCAGGGTTCTAAATACGTCATGTGCATTTTAGAAGCAAAGTAGGAAAAGGTTTGTAGATAAAGTTAATTTACGAAGTTAAAATACATGTCATTTTAACTTAAACTAACTTAACTAAATGGCAGGCAAAATCCAAGCATTAATTGAATTCTATGGAAAATAATAATAATGAAAAGATAATAGACTTTTTGCTTTTTTAGTCAAAATTCTGTACCCATTTTTTTTCTTCAAGAACATTTTATTTATCACACTTTTATTGCTAATAAATGAAATTTTTCCTCTATAAATTCTGTTTTAATATGTAAAGATAAAAGACTTTCATATAACACAGAAAAATTCACATCGTTTACAATGACTCATACAATACAGACATACATGACTCATACATACGCAGATTTCAGATAATCATCATTTCAATGAAAAATACACTTGAGTTAGGATTTTGCGTACGTGGGTGTAGGAATGAATTGCTTGTTTTTCGAATGCAATGTTCTCAACTTGATAGTTAGTACTACTAAACTGAAGCGTGTTTAGCGTTAAAAGAGTGTTGTAGTGTTAGATTAAAATACTTTAGACGCTGGATATGAATTCATGCAATTGAAGCAAGCACTGAAAGAAAAAGAAATTATTTTGTGGTAAATGGAGAACATTTGTGCCTATTTTATTTTTTTATTGAATTTTAACGAACGCTGAGCCGGCTTTCGACTTAAGGTAGTGATATAAACGCAACAACGTCCGATCAACGTTAGGAAATCAATATTATTTTCGCTATCAGAAAGAAATAGTTTAAGTAGAAAGGTTTGTTGTTGCATTGACAACTTTGCACGTAGTGCTACAAGTTATTCATGTATGCTATCATAATCTAGTAAGATAGATATAGTAGCAGGATTAATCACACGGACAGCTTTCACATAGTCCTACAAATAATTCACATATACATAATATCACTACCTAATAAGAATGTTCTTATTACTGCTATTGAGTTGACTGCTTTCAGCCTTATGAGTCTCATGAGAAATGCAAATAAATAATATAAAATGATATAGTACAACAATAATGTTTACCAGCAGATTGTCTGTAAAAAGTCCACAAACAGATTGTCTATAATGGGTAAATAACATGTCATAAATTCCAATTGCTCGAAATGATTATCAATACTGAATTAATTATATTAAATTTCGGTAATACTAAGTCAAGAAACAAAACGCATTCAGTATGAGCCCGCAATAGATGCATAATGAAGTCAATCAATGAAAATAATGCAAAATGCAATGTGTTCATAATAAAATTCGTTACAGAATCCAGTACAAATTTGCCACGGTTGGATAAAAAATAAGTATCCGTGATATTAGTAAATCACATTACATTGATTACAAATTCACAATCATTTTATTAAATCAAAGCGGAAACAAACAGCAATATTATTACTAAGCTTAATAATAACGAAACAATTCAAGAGAAATAACCCGGGCAGCAAATTTTGTATCCGAGATTATAGTTCTGACTTATTAACCGGGTATTGTGTAAAACTAGCAAAACGATCAGCAACAGAGTTCGTGCCTCAAATATGATTTAACCTAATATAGTTAATACATGAGGGTCGAGCGTGACATTCTGTACCCAAACTGTCGTGCAAGTAGTAATGTGGACAAACATGAGCCAAGCTACAATTACGTGAGACACGGAAAGAAAGCCTGTCAGCAACAGCATCTAAGCTCTTGTACGAAATTGCGAAAATAACTAGACGTAAGGCTTATAAAATTTTACCACGCATTCCGAGTTTTACCAGATAGTCTCTATTTCTATTCATTATCCAAGTTGAATCCTGATCAGATCGTCTATTATTGTTCTAACAGAGATGAGACCTGCAACCTTTTGTGGAGACACTGCTAAGATGGCTGTAATTACGTCTTCAATGGTAGAATCCTGTGGGATTCCAAAGAATATGATTGTGTCACTTTGAGGGATGTGTTTATTTACCTAGTTAAAGTTATGCGCATTCTGAAAAATCATACGAAATACAGAAACGCTAATATTCGTAATTCTAATAAGTAAAATAACTTTCCTCAGCAATGAAGGAAACTGGCAAATTTTCTGTGAATGCTTCCCATCCCATACAGTAACGAAACAGATTTTCGAATCTGCAACTAACACCAAAATATAGGTATTAATAGTAAGCTTTATATTCTGAAAACTGGTGATAACGTCGTGGTTATGATGAAAACACACTACAACAGTTAAGTAGAAAGGAACAATAAAAATTTTTACAAGTTAAATATCTAGCTATTAAAACTTTTGGAAAGCACGTAATTCAACCATCGAATTTTTGAAAAAAGAAAAAAACTGATTTTCCTACTTTTACCGACTAGATACCCATAGTTTCACCTAATTTTACTGTCATTTCTATACTGCGTAATATACATACGATGAAATTGGAAAGCTATTTCCTGAGCTTTAGACGTTCACAATTAAAAGAAGGATGTTTATAAACTCCTTAGATGGTATTTGGTACTAACGAGTGTTTGAAATACCTAGTGAAGAGATGACGGGTGACCATTACAGCAAAATACTCTAGGAGTCAAAATAACAAAATGCAGAAATATACAGATAAATATAACAATTAATTTCACCACATTTATAAACTATTATGTAAAGACTAAAAGCATATATCAATTTCATGATGAAATACATGATATTCTAAAAGACTATTTAGTTTACTTCATAATGTAAGGAGTGAAATTTCAAACACTTTTTTACACTATGCGTAATTTCACATTTATATACAACCTCATCATAAATATTAAAAAATGTATATGAATATGTATAAAAATATATTTTTGTATATGAACGAATATGTATAAAAATATACATATTCATCCATATAGAAAATATATATGTATAAAAATTTGTTGTAATCTTTCAATTGCTTATATAATGTTTGAATAATTGTAAATGTATAAATATATTTTGTATATGAAAAGGAAACAAATACATAAAAACGCATTTTTGACATACCTACGCACTTTTCACCATCGTATAGAAGGAAGGAATTTTTGCACACACATGTAGCTTTGTTTGCAGATGTTTCATCAAATGTGCATACTGCATCAATTCCATTGCATTTTTTCCTCAGTTCATCTGTACAGCCCGTTACAATTTCACACTTGTCTCCTTGTGTCCCATCTTTGCATTTGCAAAAGCCTTTTACGCATTCCCCCTGATTTTTACAATCAGTTCTTTTTTCGCAGCGTTCTAAAAATAATAAACATTTGAAGAACATGCAAGAATACTGCATTACTGTATGATGTCATATCAGACAGCCATATTAATATAAGTCATATAAAAGAATCAATATACCAATATATTGTGAATGTATATATATAAAATTATGGTTAAAGATACCATATAAGCTAATGGTATCCAGATATAATGATATCTAATGTAATTATAGTAAGGCACAATATTAGCATTAAAAAGAATGTGTGGAAAATATATCAGTTTCTAAGTATGTATTTTAAATAGGAAGAAACATATTCCCACTTCTCTCACAATAAATAAATAATTTCTCTGGAATAAATATCGTTCAAGTGTGGTATTTAAATCTTATTTGAAATTCTTATTCAAAATGCGTATTTTAATAAACTTAGTTCTTTAAACTTATATATATATATATATATATGTAAGATAAAAATATATGAATCAGAATTATAATATAACTATAAACATTAAATCTTCCTCTCTAATCTAAAATCGTAATAACTTATCTGCATTGCGTCATTCAAATTAATCATGCGATCTTAGGTAACCGTTAATACCAGATGCTTCTTGACGACCAATCACCGAATTGTAAACCAAAACTTTTCTCTTCGCGTGCTTCCATCTTTCATAACGACGCACTTCAGCTTTTGCTCTCTACTGTGCCAAGATGTAATTTCGCTGGCTTGCTTTCTATCCCAACAATATCAAAAATGTAAATCTTTGGTGGAAAGGCACGACTAGAGTGCCAAGTGATTGTGGCCACAAATATCAATTGGAAATAAAAATGGAATTAAAACTGCTTCGACTGCCAAGTTCTTTAGATATTACCAAGTTAGCATTACTAGAATACTACGCAATCAAATTCTTCTTCAGTATGGGTCTAATCACGCATCTACAGTGTTCCGTCTTTTCCTTGTGCTTTTATTATGACATATATATATATATATATAACATAAAAATGCTGTATAAATATTTAGAGTTTTGAAATTTTGAGATGATATTATTCTGCAGAGTATTTTAACTCAGATGTCCAAGACTAGTCTCAGATGTGCTTTCAAATCATAACTTTAATCAGGACATAAAAGAGGAAACAGTACTATTCAGTTATCATGAAATATTCTTTGTAACTGACTTTAGAACGGTAGAATATTACACATAATAGGATGTTAAAGAAAATATGACTATCTGACATCGATCTATAATCATTCACATGCTCATGAAAACTCATGTAAAAGATTCACTACATTTATAATGTCTCAGTCATTCTTCGTACTGCGACACTTGCCATAAACTCTATTTAAATTCATAGAACTGTACATGGACATTTCTAGTGTGTCATGATTATGGAAATTCCAAAGTTCTTTAATCGCAAATGAAACTGAGATTTTTAAGCACATTTTTGGTAGTAAAAGTGTTTATATATCGAAATTATCTATGGTTTATGCTGCCAATTTCAACAAATTTAAATTAACTTAGAAGCCAAACAACAAAACATCAGCGTTATATTTTCAAATTTTCACAGGACTAGTTTCGATGGTTTTACGGAACCATCAGCCTCAGCTGCAAAAGCGTAAATGAACGAGGTAAGATATAATGATTAGATATGATAAGATGAGAAGGCCTGGACAGGAGATAAGCTACTGGCGCCATCTGTTGATGAAACAAGAACTAAAACATAATTTCTTTAAAGGCTGAAGGCAAAGATGGATTGAAAAATGGATTTTCATCAACAGATGATGCCAGTAGTAAAAGCTTTCTTATCTTATCTTATCTAATCATTATATCTTACCTCGTTCATTTACGCTTTTGCAGCTGAGAAGGCTGATAAAACCATCGAAACTAGACCTGTGAAAATTTGAAAATATAACGCTGATTTTTTTGTTCTTTGGCTTCTAAGTTAATATTTGTTTGGCGTGTTATTGTATCTTAAAATGTAAATTAGTTAAGTAATTTGTTAATTAGAAAAGTCGTTAGAAACACTAGACAGTTATTAGAAAAACGTCTTCTGCGTAAATCTTTACTGTGGTTCAAACGATATTACATAGAGCGTGGCTTTATTTAAGTATAATATAAAGAAAATTTCTAAATAGCGTACGTCTGAATTTAAAAAAAAAACAGACATATTTTCAATGAATGTAATATTCGTAACAATATATTGTTACGAATTTATTTTTTACACTGAGTAAACGGCTACCTCTCTAAACGGCTATCTCGCTATCTATTTTAACATTGAGTAAACGGCTATCTAAGTGGTCAGATATCGCCAAAGTGGCAAAGGTTTTTGGCGCTATTTTTTTTTTTGTCGCGAAACTAGGCAAGAATTTGGAACCATTTTGTTTCGGCCTTTGTATTACTGGAATAGTTAGTGTAATTGAATAAACGTAATTGATGTTCTGTGCAGCTATAACTGTAATTCGGCCCTCATTTGTCTTACAGAAATTTCGAAAAGCAGAAACTGCTAGAAATATCTTGGCGGCCAGGTGGAAACTATATATGACTGGAGTGAGTATCTGCTCTCAATTGCTGTTGCTAACCGTTAGCTCAACGTCTTGCCATTGTTCTCTTTGAAATTGTCGAGTTTGTTAATAAAAAATTCTTTAATGTTTGACAAAATATGAAATCGATAATAAAACAAATTCCAAATTAGGGCTTCCAGATGCTCATAATTCGAGTGGAGATTACAGAATTATTCAAAATCTTGATGGCTCAGTAGGTATCGTTGTCTTTTTATCACAGTGCGAGAAATATACATACATTTATTACATTAATGCAGATTCTTCATTACTTCAATTTCCTTAAAATAACACAGAGGCGATAATATTTGGTGGCAACGATTTGAGAAATGAAACGGAAATTTAAAATTTTCGACGCAAAATGCCAAACGAAATTAATAGCCATTCTGGTCTAACGCGTTTTGGTCTAATAACATATGCTTGGATTTAAAAAGGAACAGACATATTTTCAGTCAATATATAATTACGATTTTCGTGCACAGATAGATAATTTGAGTGAAATTATATGTAAATTTGTTCTATTCCTTTTTCTGGAAATCATACAGAATACAGGAGCAAGACTATTTTAATACTGCAAATGGCTATCTCGCTAAATTGGCTAGCCTTCGCTGAGTTGGCAACGGTATTGGTGACTAATTTTTGTCCCTAAACTTCCCGAGCATTTGGCGACATTTTGTTTTGGCTCCTGTATCACAGCAGTAGGTATTGTAATTAAATAAATGTAATTGACTGTGTAGCTGTAGCCGTAATTCGGCTCTCATTTGTCTTAGAGGAATTTCTAGAAGCAGAGGGTATTAGAAATATCTCGGCAGCCGGTTGAAAACTATATAACGACGGAGAGATTTACTCTCAGTTGTCATTCTCTGCTAGCTCAGAGTGAGATCCGAGTACAATCTCCTGTTTAGCTTCGCTCTTTAGCTACTCTTTGCTTTGCGGTTGTGTTTAACGTTCTTAGTAGTCTGAAGTGCCACTACTGATTGTACTTTGCGATAATCTGAAGTATTATATTAGTATTCTTGATGAAAGTTCCAAAAATCTGAAGTGTTTCTTTTGATAAAATAAAACTAGCGGGCAAGCCCGCCAGCTGAGCGGGCTGAAGCCCGCTTATCATTGTTCGTTTTTAAAAGATATCCTATGTTAAATTTGGCCGGTATTGAAAAGTTGAACCGAAACTACCATTTTTTAGCGGCATTCCGCGGGCTTCCCCCGCTTTTTTCACCTATGCATCCAGAAGTTACCGCATACACTATACATATGCGGAAAATCACGAAAACACCCATGCTTCCAGCCCTTTCGCGGGTATTCGAAATTTGGACCGAAATACCAGTGTTCAGCGCTTTGGGCGGGAGCCCGCCCAAAACAGTGTTCACGTGTGCATGCAAAAGATACTGCGTACACCGTACACATGCGTAAAAATCACGAAAACACCCCTCCAGCCAGCCCGCTGCCGATTCGAAAGTTGGACCGAAATACAATTTTTCAGCGATTTTTGCGCGTGCTGTGCCCGCTTTATTCACGTATGCATGCTGAAGATGGTGCATAAACGATACACATGCGTAAAATCACGAAAACAAAACATGGAGCCTGCCTGTTCGCCGGTATTCGAAAGTTGGACCGAATTACCATTGTTATGTGGCTTTGCGTGGGCTCTGCCCGCTTTATTCACATATACACCCAGAAGATACTCCATACACTATACACATGCGTAAAATCACGAAAACACCCATGGAGCCAGCCAGTTCGTCGGGATTCGAAATTACCGCATTACCAGAACCGCATTACCAGTATTCTGTGCCCGCTTTATTCACGTATGCATCCATGAGATACTTTATAAACGATACACATGCGAACAATCACGAAAAACACCCATGCAGCCAGCCCGCTCGCCGAGATTCGAAAGTTTGAGCGAACTACCAGTGTTCAGCGGTTTTACCCGGTATCCGCGCGCTGTATTCACGTATGCATCCAAATTTTATAAGGTACCCCGGAATTCGAAAGTAGGACCGAAAAACCAGTGTTCAGCGATTTTGTGGACCGGGCTGCGCCCGCGTTTATACACATAAGCATGGAGAGAGGATACTGCATAAACGATACACATGAGTTTAAAGCAAGAAAACAAACCCGGGGAGCCAGCTCGTTCGCCGACACCGAAAGTTGGATCGAACTACCAGCGTTAAGAGGTTTTGAGCAGGCTGCGCCCACTTTTATCACATATGCATCCAGAAATCACTTTATACACTATACACTGCGGAAAATCAGGAAAACACCCATGCAGCCAGCCCGCTCGCAGAGATTCGAATGTTTGACCGAACTACCAGTGTTCAGCGGTTTTACCCGGTATCCGCGCGCTGTATTCACGTATGCGACCAAACCAAATTTTATGTACAGTACCCCGGAATTCGAAAGTTGGACCGAACTACCAGTGTTCTGTAGTTTTGCGCGGGCTGCTCCCGCTTTATTCAAGTATGCATGCAGAAGATACCGCATACACGTTACACATGCGAAAAATCCCGAAAACACACATTGAGCCAACACGGTCGCTTGGATTCGAAAGTTGGACCGAACTACCAGTAATCAGAGGTTTTGAGCGAATTTCGGCCGCTTTATTCACTTATGCATCCAGAAGATGCTGCGTACACGAGGCACATGCGTAAAATCACGCAAACACCCATGGACCCAGCCCGTTCGCCGGGATTCGAAATTAGGACCGAACTACCCAGAGTTCAGCTTTATTCATTTATGCATCCAGAAGACACTGCATACACAAACAGATATGCGTAAAATCACAAAAAACATGAGTGTAGCCTGCCTGCTCACCGGGATTCGAAAGTTACCGTATACCATCTCAAAGGAGCAAAGAAAAATCTTTAATCTAAAAAAAAAAAAAAAAAAGTGTGTGAATTTAATTTTTATTGGTGCGAACTTATTTAAAATATCATTTGCATTAAAAGATAATATCTAAATTAAGTGCACGTATCTAATAACATAAAAAATATATTATTCCAAAAAATCAAATTTATTATTAAAAAAATAACAACATATTTTTAAAAAATAGCTTTTTCAGATTTTTTAATTAATATCCCAGCTGATTAAAGTTGTACAACTTCAAGAACGTCATCATTTAAATTTAATGTAATATAATAACTTTTATTCAATATCAATAAAAGAATTAACGTGACAATCATCCTAACCTGAAATTAAAAAAAAATTGTGAAAAGCAGCTGTTTATTTAAAATGCCTACATTAACGAAATATTTTTAAAATACAGTTAGGTAACATGCAATCGCGTGCTTTATTCAACTTTAGAATATAACCTTGATTTGTATCTGCGGCGATTCAAGAAACTGTTGCAATCGGAAAAATGAGCCCGAAAATTAGCGTTTTTCACAGTTTTTAATTAATATCTCAGCTGATTAACGTCCTACGAAGATGAGAATGGTATCATTGGATTCGTAGAATTTTTTGGAATCCGCAGACACCTGCCTCGAATTCCAACTCAGCGCCGTTTCCATAGATATTTAAGAAAAAGAAATTGACACGTGACCTTTCGCCAGCACAAATCTCGAGCGGAAGCAATTGTCATCCCCCCGGCGCTTTCGAAAAAGCAATTTTTATCTCAGCTAATTCCGAGACGGTTTGCCACTCCGAAAATGAAATAACGTTTTCGCAGTTTTTAATTAATAACTCCGCCGATTATTGTCGTACGAAGATCGGACCGGTATCGATGAATTCGTTGATTTTTTTCGTAATACGCGGATATGCGTTTCGAAATCGCAACTCTCGGAGCCGTTCCCGCAGATATTCGAGAAAAACGAATTTGGCACTCGGCCAAATCCCTAAAATAAAGGAAAACCCGTGAAAGAAAGTGCAAAACGTAGGGAAAATGTAGGGAGAAATCTAGTTTTTAAATTAATATCTCGGCTAATTATAAGTCGCACGAAGATGCCGATGGTCAAAATCCGGCGAGCCACGGGCATTCCTGCATCCAACGGTACCTTCCGCTAAGCTCTACACCCAGCCGTTCCCGAGGAGATGATGTTACAAACACACAAACAGACAGAGGCACACAGATTTTAATAGTATAGATTTATCACTCTATCATTGGACCTGTGTACATTCAATCTATTACGAACCAGTTCACCCGCAACAAAATTAAGTAATGCATTTTTTTATGATGCCAAGAAATGGCGTGGCTTAAAGTTTTTAATAATGGTGATCAGTGTTCATATGGAGTTGCAAGAATTAGTATGCATCAAACTTTAAACTATAATAAGAACTGACTGGTATCACTCTTTTCAAATAATAAGATTTCGTTGATTTAAATTACATTGGATTTAAATTTAAAAAAATTTACAGTACTTGAAACAGAGGGTGACTTATTACACGCTTATTCAAAATGAATAATCCAATATGATGGTGCTATATTTCTTAACAGGGAAATTTTCTAAACAAGTGAAAGTGTTACACTGATAATGAAATTTTATTTCCTGTCCAAGTATTCAAGTGGATTTGAGAGATCCTAAGCTCCTTAATAGCTTGAATTTTGGACTTCCGTGAGCAAGCACATTTACAAATGTCTCTATTTTCCTTTCAGATTCTGTGGCATTCCAATACTCACTGTCTGCCATTGGCAATCACTTTCTTGACGTTTTTGTTGAATAGCCTTCGAAAATCACACTGCCCCTTTATAACCGAACCTGTTTTAAGCGCACTCGAAAATTCAGGATGTCTTTTGTGGAAGTATCGCCATCCTGCATGTTAAACAGGCAACTGAGCTTTGAAGGCGAGCTTATGTACCCAAAACGGACCAGACACCCTGCTGGTGACTGTTCAAAACAAAGACACCTTTACTTTCAAACTTTAGTTAATTCGTCCGGTTAAACTGCTTGATTAAAAGCTAGAAATTCCAAATTGTTTCCTTTATTTTGAATAACCCTATATATCGGATATTATACAGTAGAAAAAATTTGCTTGCATAACATATCTCTGATGGATCACATTTGCAATAAAGAGGGGAATTTAAGAAGGATGAGAATAATTCGGAAGCTTTACATACCTGCACATTTTTCTCCATTATAAAATAGCTTTGGGTTTTTGCAAACACATGAAGCCTTGTTTTCAGCTTTGTCGTCATATACACACATTGCGTCAACTGCAGAACATTTTGTTGCGAGTTCATCTGTACATCCTGTTACAATAGTACACTTATCGCCTGCTGTACCATCTCTGCATTTGCAAAACTTGTTCATACATTCTCCGCCATTGGCACAATCAGAACTGTCGCTGCAGGGTTCTAAATACGTCATGTGCATTTTAGAAGCAAAGTAGGAAAAGGTTTGTAGATAAAGTTAATTTACGAAGTTAAAATACATGTCATTTTAACTTAAACTAACTTAACTAAATGGCATGCAAAATCCAAGCATTAATTGAATTCTATGGAAAATAATAATAATGAAAAGATAATAGGCTTTTTGTTTTTTTAGTCAAAATTCTGTACCCATTTTTTTTCTTCAAGAACATTTTATTTATCACACTTTTATTGCTAATAAACGAAATTTTTCCTCTAAAAATTCTGTTTTAATATGTAAAGATAAAAGACTTTCATATAACACAGAAAAATTCACATTAACAATGACTCATACAATACAGACATACATGACTCATACATACTCAGATTTCAGGTAATCATCATTTCAATGAAAAATACACTTGAGTTAGGATTTTGCGTACGTGGGTGTAGGAATGAATTGCTTGTTTTTCGAATGCAATGTTCTCAACTTGATAGTTAGTACTACTAAACTGAAGCGTTTAAAAGAGTGTTGTAGTGTTTAGATTAAAATACTTTAGACGCTGGATATGAATTCATGCAATTGAAGCAAGCACTGAAAGAAAAAGAAAATTATTTGTGGTAAATGGAGAACATTTGTGCCTATTTATTTTTTTATTGAATTTTAACCGCTGAGCCGGCTTTCGACTTAAGGTAGTGAATAAACGCAACAACGTCCGATCAACGTTAGGAAAATCAATATTATTTTCGCTATCAGAAAGAAATAGTTTAAGTAGAAAGGTTTGTTGTTGCATTGACAACTTTGCACGTAGTGCTACAAGTTATTCATGTATGCTATCATAATCTAGTAAGATAGATATAGTAGCAGGATTAATCACACGGACAGCTTTCACATAGTCCTACAAATAATTCACATATACATAATATCACTACCTAATAAGAATGTTCTTATTACTGCTATTGAGTTGACTGCTTTCAGCCTTATGAGTCTCATGAGAAATGCAAATAAATAATATAAAATGATATAGTACAACAATAATGTTTACCAGCAGATTGTCTGTAAAAAGTCCACAAACAGATTGTCTATAATGGGTAAATAACATGTCATAAATTCCAATTGCTCGAAATGATTATCAATACTGAATTAATTATATTAAATTTCGGTAATACTAAGTCAAGAAACAAAACGCATTCAGTATGAGCCCGCAATAGATGCATAATGAAGTCAATCAATGAAAATAATGCAAAATGCAATGTGTTCATAATAAAATTCGTTACAGAATCCAGTACAAATTTGCCACGGTTGGATAATAAATAAGTATCCGTGATATTAGTAAATCACATTACATAGATTACAATTCACAATCATTTTATTAAATCAAAACGGAAACAAAGAGCAATATTATTATTAATCTGAACAATAACAGTTGAAACAATTCAAAAGAAATAACCCTGGCAGCAAATTTTGTAACTTAGATTATAGTTCTGACTTATCAACCGGGTATTGTCTAGAACTAGCAATATGATCAGCAACAAAGTTCATGCCTGGAATATGATTTAGCCTAGAATAGTTAAAACATGAGGGTCCAGCGTGACATTCTGTACCCAAACTGTCATGCAAGTCCAAAGACTATGATTGTGTCAATTTGAGAGATGAGTTTATTTACTTAGTTAAAGTTATGTGCATTATGAAAACTCATACGAAATACACAAACACTAATATTCGTAATTATAATAAGTAAAATAACTTTCCTCAGCAATGAAAGAAACTGGAAAATTTTCTGTGAATGCTTCCCATCCATACAGTAACGAAACAGATTTTCGAATCTGCAACTAACACCAAAATATAGGTATTCGTAGTAAGCTTTATATTCTGAAAACTGGTGATAACGACGTGGTTATGATGAAAACACGCTACAACAGTTATGTAGAAAGGAACAATAAAAATCTTTAAAAGTTAAATATCTAGCTATTAAAACTTTTGGAAAGCACGTAATTCAACCATCGAATTTTTGAAAAAAGAAAAAAAACTCATTTTCCTACTTTTACCGGCTAGATACCATACTTTCACCTAATTTTACTGTCATTTCTATACAGCGTAATATACATACGATGAAATTGGAAAGCTATTTTCTGAGCTTTAGACGTTCACAATTAAAAGAATGATGTTTATAAACTCCTTAGATGGTATTTGTTACTAACGAGTGTTTGAAATACCTAGTGAAGAGATGACGGGTGACCATTACAGCAAAATACTCTAGGAGTCAAAATAACAAAATGCAGAAATATACAGATAAATATAACAATTAATTTCACCACATTTATAAACTATTCTGTAAAGACTAAAAGCATATATCAATTTCATGATGAAATACATGATATTCTAAAAGACTATTTAGTTTACTTTATAATGTAAGGAGTGAAATTTCAAACAGTTTTTTACACTATGCGTAATTTCATATTTATATACAACCTCATCATAAATATTAAAAAATGTATATGAATATGTATAAAAATATATTTTGTATATGAACGAATATGTCTAAAAATATACATATTCATCCATATAGAAAATATATATGTATAAAAATTTGTTGTATAATCTTTCAATTGCTTATATAATGTTTGAATAATTGTAAATGTATAAAATATATTTTGTATATGAAAAGGAAACAAATACATAAAACGCATTTTTGACATACCTACGCACTTTTCACCATTGTATAGAAGGAAGGAATTTTTGCACACACATGTAGCTTTGTTTGCAGATGTTTCATCAAATGTGCATACTGCATCAATTCCATTGCATTTTTTCCTCAGTTCATCTGTACAGCCCGTTACAATTTCACACTTGTCTCCTTGTGTCCCATCTTTGCATTTGCAAAAGCCTTTTACGCATTCTCCCTGATTTTTACAATCAGTTCTTTTTTCGCAGCGTTCTAAAAATAATAAACATTTGAAGACCATGCAAGAATACTGCATTACTGTATGATGTCATATCAGACAGCCATATTAATATAAGTCATATAAAAGAGCCAATATACCAATATACTGTGAATGTATATGTATAAAATTATGGTTAAAGATACCATATAAGCTAATGGTATCCAGATATAATGATATCTAATGTAATTATAGTAAGGATTAAAAAGCATTAAAAAGAATGTGTGGAAAATATATCAGTTTCTAAGTATGTATTTTAAATAGGAAGAAACATATTTCCACTCCTCTCACAATAAATAAATAATTTCTCTGGAATAAATATCGTTCAAGTGTGGTATTTAAATCTTATTTGAAATTCTTATTCAAAATGCGTATTTTAATAAAATTAGCTCTTTAAAACTTATATATATATATATATATATATATATATATCTAACATAAAAATGCTTGTATAAATATTTAGAGTTTGAAATTTTGAGATGATATTTTCTGCAGAGTATTTTAACTCAGATGTCCAAGACTAGTCTCAGATGTGCTTTCAAATCATAACTTTAGTCAGGACATAAAAGAGGAAACAGTACTATTCAGTTATCATGAAATATTCTTTGTAACTGACTTTAGAACGGTATAGAATATTACACATAATAGGATGTTAAAGAAATATGACTATCTGACATCGATCTATAATCATTAACATGCTCATGAAAACTCATGTAAAAGATTCACTACATTTATAATGTCTCAGTCATTCTTCGTACTGCGACACTTGCCATAAACTCTATTTAAATTCATAGAACTGTACATGGACATTTCTAGTGTGTCATGATTATGGAAATTCCAAAGTTCTTTAATCGCAAATGAAACTGAGATTTTTAAGCATATTTTTGTAGTAAAAGTGTTTATATATCGAAATTATCTATGGTTTATGCTGGCCAATTTTCAACAAATTTAAATTAACTAGAAGCCAAACAACAAAACATCAGCGTTATATTTTCAAATTTTCACAGGACTAGTTTCGATGGTTTTACGGAACCATCAGCCTCAGCTGCAAAAGCGTAAATGAACGAGGTAAGATATAATGATTAGATAAGATAAGATAAGAAAGCTTTTACTACTGGCATCATCTGTTGATGAAAATCCATTTTTCAATCCATCTTTGCCTTCAGCCTTTAAAGAAATTATGTTTTAGTTCTTGTTTCATCAACAGATGGCGCCAGTAGCTTATCTCCTATCCAGGCTTTCTCATCTTATCTTATCTAATCATTATATCTGTCCTCGTTCATTTACGCTTTTGCAGCTGAGGATGATGATTCGGCAAAACCATCGAAACTAGACCTGTGAAAATTTGAAAATATAACGCTGATTTTTTTGTTCTTTGGCTTCTAAGTTAATATTTGTTTGGCGTGTTATTGTATCTTAAAATGTAAATTAGTTAAGTAATTTGTTAATTAGAAAAGTCGTTAGAAACACTAAACAGTCATTAGAAAAACATCTTCTACGTAAATCTTTACTGTGGTTCAAACGATATTACATAGAGCGTGGCTTTATTTAAGTATAATATAAAGAAAATTTCTAAATAGCGTACGTCTGAATTTAAAAAAGAACAGACATATTTTCAATGAATGTAATATTCGTAACAATATATTGTTACGAGTTTATTTTTTACACTGAGTAAACGGCTATCTCTCTAAAGGGCTATCTTGCTATCTATTTTAACATTAAGTAAACGGCTATCTCGCTAATTGGTCAGATATCGCCAAAGTGGCAAAGGTTTTTGGCGACTATTTTTTTTTGTCGCGAAACTAGGCAAGAATTTTGAACCATTTTGTTTCGGCCTTCGTATTACTGGAATAGGTAGTGTAATTGAATAAACGTAATTGATGTTCTGTGCAGCTATAACTGTAATTCGGCCCTCATTTGTCTTACAGAAATTTCGAGAAGCAGAAACTGCTAGAAATATCTCGGCGGCCAGGTGGAAACTATATATGGCTGGAGTGAGCATCTGCTCTCAATTGCTGTTACGTTAGCTCAACATAAGCTCTCAACTACCTCTGGTTTAGCTTCGCTCTTTCTTTAGCTAGGCTTTGCATTGCGTTGTGTTTAACGTTCTTAGTAGTTTCATGTGTTACTACTGATTATACTTTGTGATACTCTGATGATTTACTGGAGAATTTTTGTGGAAAGTTCCAGAACTGTGAAGTGTTTGTTTTGATAAAATATATTTTATCATACTTTAAGTGGACCTGTGTACATTCAATTGTGTTACCAACCCGTACGCAACAATATTAAATACTGCACATTTTTATTTTGCTAAGAAATGGTGTAGCTGAAGGTTTGATGATGAGCAGTGTAAATTAATGATGAGCAATGTAAACATTGGAGTTTTAATAATTAATAAGCATAACACTTTAAACTATAATAAGAATACACAAGACTGGTGTCATTATTTTGAAATGAACAGATTTTGTTGATTTAAATTCCGTTAGATTTAAATAACAAAAATTCACGATACCTAAAAGCAATAGAGACTTATTATATATTACACGATTATTCAAAAAGAAAGAAAAAATCAATGTGAAAGAATTATATTTCTTAACAGAAAGAGTTTCTAATCAGGTTAAAGTGTACCTCTGATATTGAAATTTTATTTCTTGCGCAAGTATTCAAGTTGACTGAGTGATCATAAGCTCATTAATGGCTTGACGTTTGGATTTTCGTGAGCTCCGCTGAAGCACCTTCAGGAATTTCTTCATTTTTCCTCCAAATCTTGTGGTCTTGTTGAATCGACTTCGAAAATCATACTGCCCCTTTAAAACCAAACCTGTTTTAGCGCACCCGGAAGTGCAGAGTAAGTTTTGTCGAAGTATCATCATAGCGTTTGTCAACAGACAACTGAGCTTCGAAGGCGAGCTTATGTATCCAGAAGGGACAGAAGCCCTACTGAACTGAGAAAACTTGTCCTTCAGACTGTAAGTGATTTGTTCCTTCAGAATAGTTAAGAGCTACGAAATAGAACTTGGAAATTGTTTAATTCGTTTTGAATAACCCTATACATTGGATTTTATGCAGTAGAATCTTTTTGGTCTTTGATATATCACACATGCTATAAAGAGGCAAATTTGAGAAGGAAAGAAATAATTTGGCAATTTTACATACCTGCGCATTTTTCGCCGTTATAGAATAGCTTTGGGTTTTTGCAGATACAAGAAGCCTTGTTTTCTGCTGTGTCATCATATACGCACGTTGCGTCAGCTTCAGAACATTTTGCTGCGAGTTCTTCTGTACATCCTGTTACAATAGTACACTTATCACCTGCTGTACCATCTCTGCATTTGCAAAACTTGTTCACACATTCTCCACCATTGGCACAGTCAGAACTGTCGCTGCAGGGTTCTAAATATATTATGTGTATTTTAGAAGGAAACTAGGAAAAATGACTATTGACTAAATTTACGCATACATTAATTGATTATTTACAAGGTCAAAAATTCTAAATACATATCGTTTTAAACTGCTATTAAATATCCTGCAAAATCCAAAGATTAATTGAAAACTATGGAAAAGAGGAAAAAAAAAAAAAAAAAAAAAAAGAGATGAAAGACGTAACGTAACATAGAAGTAATCAAAATCATTTGCCCTTTTTTATTGAAGAAATACTTGGTTATCGCTCCTTGATTTTAAGCCATTGATATTTTTATTGAAAAAATTATGTTTTTATATGTAAAGGAAAAAGACTTTCGCTGAAAAATGCACTTAATTTTTAGATTTTGGGTAGGTGGGTACAGGAATGAATCTCATGTTTTAAGAATGCAGTGCTCTCAACCTGATAATCAATACTTCTAAACCGAAGAGGTAAAATAATATTGAAAAGTTCAAATTAAAATACTTGAGGTACTAAATTTTAATTCATGCATATGAAGCAAGCGTTGAAATAAAAGTTAAATTATTTGATGCAAATGAAGAAAGATCATGCGTATGTTGGAAACTCATAAAGAGTATTCTTTATAACTTTTTTTAACATTCGCATAATCTTTCTTGGATTATGGTTCCTAGCCTTGGATTATGGCAATAAAGGTTGATATTTGTAATTATAGTAAACAAGAGTGCTTTACTCTGCAGTGAAAAATACTGGAATAGAGAGGCTGTTCGCACATTTTTTAGACGATGTATATCGTATTCACAAAACTAAATTACATGAAATTCTTGTGTTTTAAATGTTCTATTTAACATCCCTTATTCTGAACTATCTTTCGACCCTGCAATTTCCAGGATAATAATGCCTTTTGAAGTGGCAGAAGAGGTATTCTATCCCATTCCTCCTCCCGAACAGCTTTCCAGAGTCCTGTTAGGGTTTTTGGGACAACGTTTTGGATAATGCAGTTTTTAAAAGTCCGAAAAGCACAAAAATCCATAGGTGACACATCGGGAGATTTAGCAAGGATATCAGTGAAGGGTATGGCCTTGATACCAGTTTTTTGTTCCATTTCTATTAGGAAATTTACAGTGGATTTTGATGTGTGACTGCTAGCTTTGTCCTGCTGGAGTTTCACAGATGGATGGCACTGTGGGTAAAGCGATGGTATTTCATTCAAAAAAATTGGCGATAAAATATGTTCCTGATACTATTTGGAGTTAATCTTGACATTGTTTTGCGCTCTCTTTATTTTTAACTTGCCATTATAAGAAAAACCAGCAACAATCATGAATCCCTTAGAAAAACTTTCTTTCGATTCTTTGAACCATGTACTTAAATTTATTTCTTCCCGTTTATGATAATAAAGGTTACAGCCGAAAACATCGCGGACGAAAACGCCGCGGAGAAAACAACGCAAGGCGAAAACGTCGTGATACAAAACATCGCAGTTCTAAAACATCGTGATACAAAATATCGTCGTCCAAAATAAAGCGGTTCAAAAATTTCGCAGTTTAAAAACATCGTCGTCGAAAATATCGTTGTAAAAAATAAAGTATCTACAAATCATCGCATGACGATAATATCGCAGACATGCTTTTTGCAGGCTTTAATAATTGTAAATGGATATTTCCATAATGATTTGTGAGCGCAAGATGGAAAGAAGGATAATTTTTACTTTCATATTTTTTATTAACTAATAAATTTTTGCTGAAAATGTAAGAAGGAAATTTTAGCATAGAAAATTAAGTCAACTTAATAGAATTTTAAACTGACATAGTTTACTAACAAAGGTCATTAATAAATCATTTTTTATAAAGTTTTTACTTTTAATTTTCATTAAAAGTATAATCTAAAAATGTTGAGAAAAAGGAGCTACGTAACTGCGTGACCTATCTATAAAATTGCTAATTATGAGATTATTTTCTTCCCTTTTGTTATCTAATACTCTTATAATGAAAATTATTTCTTGTTTGCTTCAGTTTATTGTTAATTAAGCTTTCCTTCTTACTTTTTCAGCAAAAATTTATTAGTTAATAAAAATATGAAAGTAAAAATTATCTTTCTTTCCATCTCGCGCTCACAAATCATTATGGGAATATTCGTTTACAATTATTAAAGCCTGAAAAAGTAGGTCTGCGATGTTATCGTCCTGCGATGATTTGTCGATACTTTATTTTTTACCGCGATATTTTCGATCGCGATGTTTTTAAACTGCGAAGTTTTTGAACCGCTTTATTTTCGACGACGATATTTTGTACCACGATGTTTTAGAACTGCGATGTTTTCTCTTTGCGATGTTTTTCCTCCCACGATTTTGTAGCCGACGTTTTCGCCTTGCGTTGTTTTCTCCGCGACGTTTCGTCCGCGAGATTTTGCCGCGATGTTATCGGCGGACACCATAAATGGCTCTTTATTTGTTACAATTATTTAAATACACCCAGCTTCATCTAATGTGACATTGTTTTCCAATTTTCTTTGGAAAGTGTTTTCATATAGATTCTGCAGCGTGTCCTGCGTTGAGCGATATGCTTTGGAAGAAGACGAACACATTGCGGTTTTTCGCTTTCTTAAGATTTAAATCAACGTTATCATTTTGTTTACTGGACACCGAGTTTTTAATGATTTTGCAACTGTTCTTTGACTAGGGGGATTTTCTTTTAATTAAACAACGTACCTTTGCAGTAGTCGCAGATGTCCGTTTTTTTCCTTGGATACTTGTTTGGAATTTTTGGTCCCCATTGAGGCTCCAATTTGATTTTTTTTTCCCCTTTCTTGTTTGATGATATTACCTATGGACGCTTTAGATATCACAAAACCATGACTCTCACATCGTTTTTAGATAAAGGAGTATGCATATTTCTCTTCGGAAAGAGCGGAAATGTAGCCTTCAAACCACTGCTTTGTTAAATTCGCCATTTTGAATAAAAACAAAACTTTCAAGCCCTTTCAAGTTCAAAGAATCGAAAGACGATAATTTTGACTTTTAAAAATTTAGTACAATTGCAATTACTTCTTTTGCAGCAAACGATTTTTTATTACCGCTTACCAAAATCGTCTAAAAAATGTGAGAACAGCCTCTGTATTTTCTGTAAATACTTCTTAACATGAATAGAAGCGGAAAAGAATATTTTGTTTAATGGAACACAGATCATATGCCCATAAAGGCGAAATTAACAAGTCTTCCACAGCTAATCATAATTGGAAATTTAATCATAATTTGGATTAGCATCTTATTTGTCGCGAAATGCATCTTATTTTGCAAATTGAATTTTCTTGAAGCTTTTCATATTCACAAAAATTTACGTTTGTTTAGTTAAGGACTTGAAGTCCAATCCAATCCTTCCTAATGCTTTTAAAATACTATTAACGTTTCAATTTTCAGTATTTCTGCCGACAGATGACGCTTCGTTTTACCCCTGTTAAGGAATAAATGCAACCATGGCTTTTCTTTTAGTTTTAGATTACTTTGCTCCTGATGAAGTTGGAGCTGAATCTGTTCGCCCTCCAAATCGGTAGAGTTCTTGTATAAATCTACGACATACACCAGGTCTTTGCTTTGCTAATTTTATAAAATCATTATGTTCTCGAAACTGTTGCTAACGTGATTACGAGGAAAACAGTCTACAACAATTAAGTTGCAATATAAAATCTTTACAAGTTCAATATCTAATGACTAAGTAAAAAAGAAGGAATTCATTTTCCTGCTTCTACCGTCTGAATGCTACTATTTCGCCTAATTTTAGTATCATTTCAACACTGCGTAATATATAATGAAATTGGAAAGACAGTTCCTGAATTTTTAAGGAAACCCAAAAATGAGAGAGAAAATTGTTGTTTTGAAGCTCTTTAAATGCTCTTTAGTATTAGCCAGTGTTTGAAATGGCTAGTGGAGAAATATCGGGTAAATTGTACGAAGATGCTCAAGGAGTCACAAATCAAACCTTATGTGACAAACTGCACAAAGATATCAAATAAATATAACAATTAATTTTACCTGATTTATAAAGTATTCTTTAAGGATAATTAAGATTAAAAAATATTTTAAACCCATGAAGAAATACATGCTATTCAGAATGACTGTTAAAGTAACTGGTGAAATTTCAAACACTTTCCACGTATTTTTGATTGCATTTAATTTAAACTTATTGGATTGAATTAAATCTGCTTTGTCGAGAGCGCATAAACCACAATAGAATAAATGCACTCTTTAATATTCACTATATTTGTTTATCATAGCGACACTCTGTCGCTAGGTTCACTTAACAGCGTTATATTCCGTTCATATAATAACTCGGAATGCACAAAATTATATCATTTGAAGAATTATCTAATCATTGCCACATGTTCTATTCAAATACTATAATAAATCTAAAACGATGTATAAAAGAAATTAAGCAAACAAAGGGAAAAAAAAAACAGTTTTTCACAGACGATTGAGTATTTCTCATTCAATTAGTTCAGTTCTCACTTCCCGCCAAGGCAAAAATACATAAAATCTCAAAATATCTATATTAACAATTACGAAGTAAATCTTAAACACTTTTTTTCTCGAATAAATTCCAGAATGGATTAAGCATGATTTAATTCGCAGTAATAAAAGAAGGCATTATCTTTGTTGTTGCGAAGCTTAGTCTCTTTAGATTGGCAACAAATCTACTATTTTGCTGTTTCAAATGTACAGAAATATATTCGCCATGTTATTTAAAAATTAGGCTTAGCTACAATTAAACAGCTTTTAAATTGTTGATTAATTGTACAAATATTGCTTACAGATTTACTAAAGGTATAAAAACCTTAATCGAAAGACAAGAACAACATAATTCAATCATTTTTAAAGCAAAAAAGGCACAATTTACAAACATAAACTGAGACTGAGAAACTGAGATTACTGAGCCGGGTAACAGAGTGGATATATATATAAATATATTTATATACGTTTGGTGCAGCCAATTGCAACCAAAATACGAGCTGTACATCTCCTGTTATAGTAGTCCTACATACAAAATTTCAAAGTTCTGTTTTCGAGTTATGCGAGATACGTACATACGTATGTACAGACGCCACGAAAAATTCTCTTCAGAATTCATTTTAAAGTAATTTTATAATTTTTTTGGAAGAAACGAGTCTTTTATTCTGTCCTTACGTACAGATTTCACGCAAAAACATCGTTAAATTGCATTAGAAAGCGGTCAAAATGGATATTTTGGTTGAAATATGCTGCCTGAAAATTTTTGAGATTATAATACTTCCTTTTTACTTCGTACAAGGAAGTAAAAATGTATGCTTTTGTATTTGAAATGGAGGTATATGCGTAAAATGCATTTTTAACATCATTTAAACATACCTACGCACTTTTCACCATTGTAAAGAAGGAAGGAATCTTTGCACACACATGTAGCTTTGTTTGCAGATGTTTCATCAAATGTGCATACTGCATCAATTCCAGTGCATTTTTTCCTGAGTTCATCTGTGCAGCCCGTTACAATTTCACACTTGTCTCCTTCTGTCCCATCTTTGCATTTGCAAAAGCCGTTTACGCATTGTCCTTTATTCTCGCAATCAGAATCATCTCTGCAGCTCTCTAGAAATAATATATTTTAAAGCGATTATATAAAAATCTAAAGCAAGCTTACATATATATGTTGTTGTGCATTGTTTATGTAGGAAATTTAAAAACTGAAATATTTTGTAACTTTATAACTTTTTCTGTGAAGAACAAATATCTGTGTTGGAATACCTGGAAACATAAAAATAATTTCTGTGAGATTAATATCAGACTAACTTTACAGTTTTACCAGAATTTAAATTGATATTAACAAGTTTTAGAAAACCGAGTTTTTAAATTTTGAAGGTAAATGTAAATTGATAGTCGATTATAGTGACTTATTGAGACTTTTTGTGCTAAGGTAGAAATTTACTCGAAAGGCACATTTTTTGAATTTCTAAAATTGCACTTTTTAAGGTATCCAAAAAACGAATGTGCAATTTTTTATGGCTGGATGTTGGAAACTCAAATCATACAGACTTGTTTCATATTTAAAATAAAATTACAATTCGTTTCAAAAATTAAAGAAATAAATTTCATTTTTAATTCAGCTGAAAACATTAATTCTATCTTGAGACTGAAATTTTAAGCTCTTTTGAGAAAACCTATTTAATTAATGATGATCTTCAAACAGGAATGTAAGAAAGCACACATAAGTAAATTTCTTAATTCAGAGTGCAAGTTCATTCATCATAAAAGTATTTTATGTCAACTCCTTCAGTTTTCAGATTGAAGTAATTTTCAAATTACATTAAACCAAATTAAATAATTCATGTGTACAAGATTCATATTAAGTTTTCCTTATACTGAAATATTTTAGAAGATTAACATACCTGCACATCTTTCACCATTAAACGATAGTTTTGCATTTCTGCACTTACAGGAAGCTTTATTTTTCGCTGTTTCGTCAAATACGCAAGTTGCGTCAGCTGCAGTACATTTTGATACAAAGTCATCTGTGCAACCTGTTACAATTGTACACTTGTCGCCTTCTGTACCAGCTTTACATCTGCAGAAGCCTCTTGAGCATTTTCCTCCATTGGCACAATGAGAATCATCAATGCAGAATTCTGGAAAATAATATGGTATGGATTTAAATATGGCAAACAGTTTTATCACTTAAGTTTATACAGGTTCATTGGGATGATATACAGGGTTTATCCGGTAAGTAATGAGCCTCATTTTTTTCTGTTACAATTTATTGATCGCACACATACAAAAGCTTAATATTCCTCAAAGTGCATACCTCCCGCATCAATACACTTTTACCAGCGATATGTCCATGCTGTATATGCATTTTTAAAGTCCTCTGCCTGGATGTCCTTTAAAAGATCCGTCATGATTGCTTGAATGTTCTCCACAGTGCCCAGATGATGCCCTTTGAGCATCCGTTTCAATCGAGGGAACAAAAAGAAATCCACCTGGGCTAGGTCGGGACTGTTAGAGTTAGTGATAAACCGTTGCTATGCCGATCCGAGTTGGGTAGGACGTCACACCAGGCGAATTGAGAGCGCGAATTGTCATGATGCAGTTTCCACCCTTGGAGCTCCTTTCGAACTCTGGTGTACGTGCTCTAACGTTTGCTCTAACATTGCTAAATGTTGCACTAACGTTTCTTTCGTCGTAAGTCTGACAAGGTCACTAGACAGTGGTTCATGCCGCACCACTTTCTGACTTGCGGAGAACTCGAAGGCGACTAACTCTGGTACCGTTAGAACGTTTAAGGTCCCTCCCACTCCTGTACAGCACCCTTCGGCGCTGCACACTCGTTTCAGAGTTAACTGGGGCTCGTTACTTCCCGGACAAACCCAGAAGGAAAATGTTCAGGTAGAATAATATAGAAAGAAATTATCAATTTTCGAACAGGACATATTCCGTTTTCCTTCTAAGATGCTCTTGGTATGTTGATATTACACAAAACAGTTATTTGCTTAAGCTGAGTTGTATGATTGCTTTTATCCCGTCATAAGATGTTTTTCACTTGCTATGTATTAGCTGATAGTATTTAAATTTGATGGTTTATATAATGATGTAAATATGAATCTTAATGAATGAAAGTTTATGAAAATAGGCACTTAAGTAAACAATTATACAATTTTAGCTAATAAATGCTGTTTAAATGCAGTATTTGTTTAGCATATTCAAAGAGCCATGCCAGTCAGAGTGGTTGAAGCTTTGATCTGCTCAAAACGTCTTCCTCGAAGAAGAAAGTATGCATATTTTGAGATCAGAGCAATAGAAAATATAGCCAATGAAAGCAATGTGATTAGCAGTCTTTATATTCTAGTATAAATAATTTAAAAAGTTGTTTAAATTTGAGGCTGTAACAATAAAAAATAGAACATTTTTGCGTTGTGTTGTTTTCTTCGCGAAGTTTCCGTCCACGGTATTTTTACATGAATCCAATAACCTTAGGATGTTTTGAAGATGTATCGTCGTGAATAGAAATCATGATATATTTATTAATATAAAGATATACCTGAGTTACAAATACAGTGTAACAAATAAAGTATCGGAGGTAGGATATTAAAATAAGGAGCATTTAATCTGTTAGCCATTTTCATTTTGATGTAATTAATGCATCATTAATTACTTACCAATTACTTGTATCCGCCGAAAATATTGGGGAACTAAATGTTTTAGAAATTTAGAAAACATCCCAGTCCGAAAACGTCGTCGACCAAAATGTCGTGGGAGGAAAGAAAGCAAGAAAAAACATTGCAGTTCTAAAGCACCATGTTTCAACAATTTTGCAGTTAAAAAACAACATCGTCGAAAATATCATGGTAAAAAATAATAAAAAGAAACACCTATAAATCATCGCATAACATCGCAGGCATTCTATTTTCAAGCTTTTGTAATTACATATTCACATACTGATTTGTGACGGCAAGAAAGTATATAAGGAATATTTTAAAATTTGAGTCTTCCCAATTCCGTTATAATTTACAAACCAACATTCAAACGGTTTTAAATGTGAATTAGGTTCCCTGAATGCTCCCCTGTTGAACTGATCAGCAGCAGTGATCGAGGAGTAAAGTCGCTGAAGTTCGATGCGGCAACTGAGCATGCGAGTTTCATGGTTTTCGAAATCATAACTTCGATAAAAGCCACTTCCGAGAAAGTTCTTCGCAAAGTCATCCCTCCTGTTAAACCGATGATGCTAGTGGGCTTTGCATAGTTAAATAAACTCAAATCCCCTACTGAAATATTATGCAGCTGATACTTTTCATTATATTTACAAATCAACATTCAAACGGTAACCTCACTTTGTACTTGTATGTTAACGGCAGTTTGAAAACACGAATAACAATAACACGATTTAATTTTTGCTAAGAGAAGATCAAATTAGTAAAGGTGAAAGAGAATAATCTGATAATTTGCTAATTAACTAAGCAATTTAGGATAGAGGTAACCTCAAGCAGCTACTATTCTTCCTGTTCCTAATTATTTTTTTATATTATATTTTTCATGAGAAAATACAATAAAACCTTATAAAAAGACTAATTAATTAGTGACCTATATTAATTAACTACGTAAGCTTAAAATGTTAATTGTTGTAAGCAGATTTAATTTCCTACTCATTTTCAGTTTTTGAATGCTAAAATTTCATTTTTACCTTTTGAGAAAAAATTAATGACAGTTAATTAAACAGTTAATTAAAAAATATGAAATAAAAATTAAAACTACTCTTCGTTCCTTCTTGCACTCAAGAATCATTATTCGAATATGCATTTACAGCTTTTAAAGCCCGAAAAATGCATATCTGCGATGTTATCATCATGCGTTGATTTGTGGGTGCTTTACATTTTACCCAGATGTTTTCGACTACGATGTTCTTAAACTGCGAAGTATTTGAACAGCTTTATTCTCGAAGACGTTGTCTTGTACCATGACGTTTACAACTGCAATATTTTCTCCTTGCTTTCTTTTGTCCACGTTGTTTTGTCCGACGACATTTTTGCGTTGTGTTGTTTTCTTCGCGAAGTTTCCGTCCACGGTATTTTACATGAATCCAATAACCTTAGGATGTTTTGAAGATGTATCGTCGTATTTAAATTATTCTGAACTATACCAAGTAAACAAAATGAAACTTAATATTGAGAATCGAAGATTGTTGAACGTTGGATATCAGACCTAAATTGAGAATCAAAGATCTTTTTGTCGAATTTTGAAACTCTCGTTAAAATGGTGTACGGTGATGGTGATTAAAACTATAGCGCTGTAAATATTTAAAATAAAAAGTATTCATGAAGTATTATCTAACTTCGATATTATCTGCTTTCCTTCTAAGTCACCTTTGGCCTTCAAAACATTAGCAAATTTATATGCATTCAATGTTTCATGTTTAGCTACAACTCTGGCGTGGATAATGAGTAAGATTAACTAAGATAATTGTTTTATCACTATTTTTGTATTTTACCCACAATTTGTATAACCATTGGTCTTTAACGCGATAAGCCCAATTCCTCTGCTTAATGTAACAAACTGGATTTCAATAATTACTGATACTTTGTTTAACTGCGGTCATGTTACTGACTCTTACATAGAGCTTCAGGCTCACTTCTTCTTTTATTGTTATGTATCTTTTGGTTTCTTTATTGTATAACAGGAATGGCTCGTGGATACGAGCCAGTTTCTTTCGAGAGTCCTCCAAGAAGACATCCTTTCGTTTAAGCAAATAGTCTAAGCATGCTTTACCGTACAGATAAACAGAACCCTTCTCTATATAAACGGATTCATCCTATTCTATAAATAATGTATTGGTGGTTAAAGTAATGTTAACAGTGAACACCGGTACTCTTTTCAGAGTTTCACTTCCAGAAAAATAGTGGGCTGACTTCATGGAACTTCCACTATTTATTAACAATAAGCTTGCTTTCAATAAAATACCGCAAAGAATGTATTCGCCTTAGGCAGATACGAAAAGGAATGGATTGCTTAGACATAAATACCTCAACGAATGTATTGTTTCTAAGACAGGTAAACGTTTGCTCAGCCCTCAATAACGTAGCGTAAAAGGATAATAGATAGAGAAAGTATGACAAAGTATTATGTATAATTAGATCATTGATTTTTCTTAGCGCTAGAAAGAAGCTGATGGAAGACAAAGTAACAATCCACATCGAATTTTCCAAAACATTGTTTCTTGCTTTTCTTTTTTTTTTTCAATAACGCAGTCGCAAATTTGAATTTAAGTCTTTCGAAGAGAAGAGTTTCCTGATTGTAATCTACATAAAATATACAAAAGTTAAAAAAATTTAATACCTATGATAATGATATATATATCTGAATTGAATATTTGATATAAAAAGTTTTGCATTCATAATAGTTTATTTGTTTTTAAATCCTAGATTATTATAGAAGCATTTGCTTTTGTATGAACATAACTGCTCATCTTCCTTTGAAAACACATTTAAAGTGAGTTATTTTGTTTGAGAATGTGGTAAACATTTTGTACCTTTGTACAAATCATGAAAACACTGATAATTTGAATAATAAAAATTAATTCTCACACTTGTTATACATTTGTATTAACTTGCATAACTGATATCTGATACATAAAATGCATAAATATACATTTAAATTTTTTTGTCTTACCTCGGCATCTTTCAGTTAATATGTCATACGTCTTTCCCTCTTCTTTACATTTACAATACACTTCCTCTTCTTCAATATCGTATAAGCATATTGCATTGGCTTCTTCACATATGTGCCCTCTTCTCTCACATTCTTCGACGATCTCACATCTGCTGCCACTGGTACCATTCTTGCACAGGCAGACATTATCTATACACGTACCGCCATGAAGACAGTCAGAGCTCGTTTGACATTTTTCTGTAGTTGAATACAAATTGAATTTGATTATTATCTAACTAATTGTTCGTAGCCTTTACTGTCAACAAATACAAAGCTATATGACATTTAAAAATATTTTTTTATGAAAATATGTATGATATTATATTAGAAAAATGCAATCAAACTTCTGTTCACGAATGTAATTTTTTTCCCTAAATGCTATCCGCCACCCGAAACTAATTTAGCTTTGGGAAATAAATATAAATTAGATTAATTCGTTTCTTAAGCACAAATGATTGTTTATTTAAACTTTTTCTATATTAATTCGGAACATATTTATGTAGCAAATCAAATGGGAATCATTAAGTCTAATTCCCAATAAAAAAAAAATGCTTGCTAAAACAGAAGAATTCTTAACTTTTACCGTAGTTATACGAAGCAGAGTTGACGAAGCAGACATGATCGGAAGGTTGCGAGGAAGGGAAAGGGGAAAAAGGTTTTGTATAGAATAGCAGGTGGTAAGGTCTCTTCTATAAAAATATCAGGCAGGTGTCTCTCTACAGCTTCTTTTTTGTTTTATACACCTCTTAAGGCCATTCGAATCTGCTGAGATCCAGCGGAGCCTTCACAAGTACAATATAATTTCTCTGCTTATGTTTTAGAATTTATTTAAAGGGAAACACAGAATTCCCCAAGGTCAGTAGATGAATAAGGTTATGTTAATTCAGAGTTAAACTTTCCTCTTTTGGCTGCTTGAGACAATGACTTCTCTTTATCTATCTGCTGCGACTTACGAGTCGAGGACGTCAAAATCACCATCCTGGTTGAAACTTAGTCAAAGAGAGCAAATGTTATGGTACAGTAACCTCAGTATCTCTATGAAAACACTTATGCTGCAGCTTACTTCTATTTTACCAAGGTGACAAAATTCTATAAACCCCTGCACTTTACGCCATTTTGCAAAATTTTCGCAGCCTGGAGAATTATAATTATTTAAAATCAAGCAAAAAAGTGACCTTAGGTTGGAGTAAATTTTAAATAAAATTATCTCCCTTTTCTTCTTCTTCTTGCTGTAAAAACATTTCCTCTAGAATCGTCTTTCATTGCTCATTTTAGTAGTTTTTCCAGTTCTTCGCCGCTAAGCCTATAAAAATAGGCTTAGTATATACCATAACTTCTAGTATGCCTTCACTATTAATTTTTCAAACCCATGGTTTTGCTTAGAAACAGATCTCATAGATAACAAAATTCGCAGTATCAAATCTGTCAAAATCTTTACTTACAATACAATCCAGCCATAATTTCCTGTTGCCTGAATTCACGATCCTGTAATTCATTTGTAGCCAAATTTTGTCCATCCATGTTAAGTAATGGAGAATATTTGAAATCTTGTTTTCAGAATTTAATTTTTTTTTTTTTTTGTGTCAGATGTTACTTGAAATACCTTTGGATTTCATTTATTGCTAGCTTTCATGTTCATCGTTCGAGACACGGGTCCTTAATCCATACTATTCTTATTCAGAAAATGTTTTAGTGATGAGAGGTGTTCAGAATCCAAAGTTTATTAGCATTTATGTGACTTGAAGTTTATAAATTTAGTAATTCGTGAAAAAGTACTTTTAATTAGATTCTCTACACTACGGATTTAAAATTTTATTTTGTATAATTAAAATTTCAAGCTACAGATTTAAAATTTCGGCTGCTCTTCAAGGAAATTTTAAAAAAGTTAAAGAATACGTTAATTAATCGCAATTAAGTTTTAAATAACCAATAATATTGTACTTAAAAAGGGGACTGAAAATCAAAAAGCCCCTCTTTTTTAGTATAAATACATTACAGTAATGAGTCTTACAATATAACCAAAAAGTTAGGAATGTCATAATCTAGTGATATTTTCAATTTATTATTAACTTTGTGGACAATGAATTTCAGTTTCATTATTCCAGTAATTAATAGATACAAGTATTGATTCCAGCCTTTTAAAGAAAAAAATATACAGAGCGCAAATAATCAATTAGTCTGTAAAAATTTATTTTCTTAAAGAAGAAACGTATTAGTCAACACGTTTTATTCCAGTACTATACTATTATGTTAACCCTTTGAGTCTCAAGCAGTGCGATCGCGCTGTTTAGATTTTATGTCAAGAAAACCCAGTACATTTCAAGCAGTGCGATCGCGCTGTTTAGATTTTATGTCAAGAAAACCCAGTACATTTCAAACATTGCGAACAACTGACGGTGCACTTGATGTTGATGGCACTTCATTTAAATAACGTGCACATGGATGTAAAATAAACAAAGGGCCATCGCGCTGCTTGGGTCTTTTCGTACTTATTTTAGAGAAAGCGCGGTTGCGCTGTTTGGGATTCTTCGACAGTATTTTTTCAATATCCCCTGGGACTCAAACGGTTAAGCAATGAAGAGCAATCCTGTATTTCATGCTATTTAATGTAATATCTCTTGCCTTTTAGAATTAGGAAAAAAAAAAAAAAAAGAAGACTTATATTTGTGGAGATTTTGAATAAAACTATCGATGCCATTTTTGGAGGAAATAATAATGAAACATAACAAGATATAACTTAACTTTCGAAGCGATCGGAAGAATTGGATTCAAATTAGTGTTCAAAAAACTCTTCAAGTGATGAACTGGATTTGCTTAAAGCGTTTTTTTAATATTCAGAACAGTTAAACATTTTAAGAACGCAACAATTCCAAAAATTTGAAAGTTTCGGAAATTTCAGTCAACTTTCATCCAACATTTTCTGTTATCTTTCTTTTTATGTTTCATTACAAATTAGACGCTGTTATGTTCAGCTTCTCTGTGAACTCCCATTGATTGCTAAACAAATATGGTTGTTAATGTTCTTATCTTTGAAAAATTTATTTTCTGATGAAAGAAGGACTTTTGACTGAGCATTCTCAAAATCAATAAAACTTTATTTAAAATCCACGCCAGTTTAAGATTAATCAAACGTGTACTTAAATATAAAAGTACTCGGGCTTAATAAATAAATAATTGTTCTTAAGAAAATTAAAAGAAATTTAATTAATTAAAATGCTTGAGAAGATTAAATTACACTTAAAAATAAATAAAAATTATTACTGTCAACATGAAATAAATGATTATTTAATTTAACAGTATACGAAAAATGATATAACAGGCAAAAGTTAGAGACAATTTTATAATAATGAGTTTTTTCATCTTGAACACTTTCGGTTTAAAAGAGAAACAAGTATGAAACATGAATAAACTTACCTACGCATGTTTTACCATTATATACCTTTGCCTGATCAATGCATACACAAGACACTTTACTTGATGCTTTATCAAATATGCACTTAGCATTCGCTTTAGCGCATTCTCTGTTCAGTTCCTCTGTGCATCTAGTTAGGATTTCACATCTGTCTCCTTTTGTACCTTCTCTGCACTTACAAAAGCCATCTGTGCATTGTCCACCATTTTTGCAATAAGAATCATCAGAACAGCGTTCTAGAAAACGATAGATTTTTATGAAATTAAGAAATATATATTTCAAGTAATTCAAATCTCTAAATAAAAGTGGAGGACATAACAACGCTTATAAGCAAAATATAGTAAAAGTAATATATAGTAAAAGTAATATATACAGTAAGACCCCACTTAACGCTGTTTCGTTTAGCGCTGTTTCGGTTTAGCGCTCTTTTATTTCAACCCGGGGATTCTCCGAAATTGTGCGCACCGCTAGGTTTCCAAATAACATATATGGAACAGTGTTGTTCTTGTTTGGTGCAGTACAGACGCATTTTTAATCATTTGAAACAACATTTGTTGACATTATTGTAAGTATAAAATTTATATAATACTATAACGATTAATACAGTGACAAATATTATGATCTTTAGTTTTTATCATGGGTGATAATAAAAAACAAGAAAAGAAAGCAACCAGAAATAGCATTTCGCTGGAAACTAGAATGCAAGTGATTAGAAGATTAGATTCTGGTGAACGTCAATCTCAAATTGGTGCTGCATTTATTGATTTTGGCAACATCAACAATAAGGACTATTTCTTAAGAATAAAGAAAAACACGCTGTCATCAGCAACTGCAACTACGAATCAAGCTCTGAAACTAGAATTACCCGTTCTAGAAATCATACATTATAGAGGGAAATGGAAAAACGACTTGTCTATATGGATCGACGACGAAATTGAACGCAATATGCCATTTAAGCCAATCTATCATAATGCCTTCTTGACAAAAGGCAGAAAATTGGAAACCCAGAATAGACTGAATGATCTGACTGAGAATTTTATATTTGTTTTTAAAAGTATATGCGTTTATATTGTTTTTATTTTTGTAAGAAATAATGTTTGATTTTATTTTTATAAAAAAACATTATTAAATTTAATGCCTAACCATTTTTTATCCGTCTTCCCCTAACCCCATTATTTACATGTTAAGATAGCCTCGCTTAGCGCTGTTTCGCATTACGCTCTACTTCGATGGAACGTATCCCCCGCGTTAAGCGGGGTCTTACTGTAATATAAAGTAATATATAGCCTACATATAGTAAAAGAGGAAAAAAGAGTTATGTTAAAATTTTCCTTAGCATTTCAGGAATATCGCAGTTCACCTAAATCACTCACGGAGCAAAGTGAAACGTGGTAATTAGTTAAGGAGCAGGAGCTTAGCAGTGTAAGCACATTACATGTCTCAGTCCAATAGATTCAGGCTTATATCCTCAATCGTATTTACAGTGCTGCTCAAAGGGAAGTGAAAGCACGGTTGGAAGCTTCGTGGAAACTGCTAACTTGTCAAAAATGTGTTTTCTAGAAATTTCCAGAATATCGCGAAAGACTGGTGATTTATGTTTTCTGGTTTTATTTGAGCTATCCTTAAAACGGAAATATCTAAATCAATTGGGAACTAACCGATGTATACTATAATTCACGAAATAAACACATAAATAATTCGATCGCGAAATAGTGAAAGTATCGAAATTAAATGAAATGCTCAGTAAATTTGCTATTAAGAATAACTGAATAAATAAGAAAATAAATTAATAAAAAAAAATCTGAAACGTTTCAGATTTTAAATTACGTTCCAAAGGGGCGTTTTTTTAAAACATTTTGTGTGTGTTACCTTTTCTTTATTAAATATCATGTTCCTCGCACTTAAAAACCATAAGATCCAGTGCAACAGCAATATCGCAAAATAGTTTTAAAACGAGCATATCTTTTAGAATTTTTCCGATACAGAGACTCACGCCGCTGGAGATAAAAATGTTTTTTTTCTGCACAACGTTGCCATTGCTCGCTTTGAAATCCTTGATTTTGTTATCAAAAATTCGTCAAAGTTTTAAAAAATAGGAAATCGATCATAAAAACAAATTTCAAATTTCAAATTTGGTCTCCACATGCTCATATTCGTTGGAGGATTACGTTATTCAAAATTCGATGACTCTAGGTACCGTATTTTATGACAATGGGAGAAATATACATACATTTATGCAGATTTTTTCATTATTTAATTTTTTCTTCAATATAATGCAGGACTCTAACATTTTGTGGCAACAGTTTGAAAAGTGAACCGACATTTATGAGTCCGACGCAAAATGCCAAAACGAAACTAATAGTCCTTCGGGATTCAAATCCCTTTGGACTAAAAATACAATGATACAGAAATGCATGAAAACCAAATTATAAATAAGTAAATTCAGGTATTTAGAAAAGTGTATAGCAATATCGAATTTGATAATCGGACCTACGCTAATTTTCTTTACTGAGTGTTTCCGTTCAGATAGTATTAGTCACTCAATGCTTTTACTTACAATTGTTTATTTTTATTATCATACTAAGCGTGAATGAAAAAGAGTAAGTGACGTCGAACTGAACGTCTAAGAACGTCTAATTGAACGTCTATGTATGTCTAAGTAGGTGACGTCTAAGTAAAATTAACGTATAAGTAATAAAATATTTTGTCAAAAACAAGTATTCAAGCATTTTCTTCTGTATCATTCTAAAACAGCCCGGCGATTGAAAGGAATGTGCAAAACAAAATTTCTCTTAATATTGTGATCGAAGAGAAAAGTTTGACTCACTATAGAAGTTTCTGAAATTTGAATTAAGCACGAATTTTTTTTCATCGGTAAAGCTTTATTACCATGAACATAACATTGAATCAAAAACGTTTTGTTTACAGCGATGCTCCTAACTATAAAAAAATTTAGAATCTCTCGATATTTGTAGTCCAGTGAAATTCGTCTATATGCTTCAAAATATAGCATCAGTTATATCACGTATGTAACAAATTTAAAACATACTACTTGCGACAAAATTTTCAATATTTAAGTGACAAAATTAATTCTAATGAAATTACGGTAGTGGAAGTTTGGGTAAATTACAACATCGCATGTGCTTTCCGAAATATCAAGTAAGCTTAAAAAGGAGTGATGTCGATCTGTGTGGGTAAAACTTAGAAAGGCCTTTGGCCAGAAATTTGCGAAGATGTAGGAGAAACTGTAGAGAGAAATGAAATGATTACTCAAATTAATGCTGTAGCTATGGAGAAGAAATTAACGAATTTGATGAAAAGGACATTAAGATTTAGTTGAAATATGATAGAGAAAGACTATCAAATGAAGAAATGAAAGATTTTGCAGATAACACATATAGATAGCAAAGCAATTAAACCACTGAAAAGGCTTTAGGAATTACTTCTGAAAAAAAAATAAATAAACCCGAAAAATGTATCGATTAATTTTTTAATTGTTAAACTGTACCTAAGACATCAAAAAAGCAAGTTCCGCTTTACCCACAATGCTGCATTCTATTTATTTGAATAAAATATGTATGTAAGCCCCGATTTACTCACAGTGCTGCATTCTATTTATTTGAATAAAATATGTATGTAAGCCCCGCTTTACCCACAGTGTTGCAATCTATTTATTTGAATAAAATATGTATGTAAGCCCCGCTTTACCCACAGTGCTGCATTCTATTTATTTGAATAAAATATGTATGTAAGGCCCCCTTTACTCACAGTGCTGCATTCTATTTATTTGAATAAAATATGTATGTAAGCCCCGTTTTACCTACAATGCTGCATTCTATTTATTTGAATAAAATATTCCATGTAAGCCTCGATTTCCTTTTGATCAATTAGCGAGCACATGCCTTATCAGCATTGGCCACAGAAGTCGTGGCCAGTTTATTGTGCAGGCACCTAATAAGCGGCCACCGTTAGCTCCAATGAGGGGACAGACAATTTGCAAGCATGCCTTCCGCGGGATTCGATCCCGGGCCCTTCGGTATCGCAGTTGGCTCCCCCAACCACTCTACCGCCTGCACGGTTATATAAGCCTCTATGTAATCAGTACGTTAATGTAATCAATGTGTTAATATGAAACTCTATATTGAAATCAGTCTAGAATCTTAAAAATACATCCTCCGAAAATTATGAATTTATAACATGTAATTTAATTGAAAATAATTTTGAAATGTTCTAACCTCTACACTCTCCTTCGTATTCGACATATCCTTCCCCGCATATACATTGTCCTTCGTATTCTACATATCTTGGATCGCATTTACACTGTTTTCTACCATCTTCATCGAAATAGCACGTTCCATTGGTTCCGCAGCTACACTCTATAAAATCAAAATATATCATAAGAAAATTGAATGAAACACATTTCCTGAAATCAGCGTAAAATGTACTTTTCACATCATATTGAAAAAAGTAGCTTGTAATTTTTATTTTATTAACCATTACATACCTCACAGAAGTAACACCATAACCTTATTTAGACCCTAATTTATTACATTAGTCATAATTTATTAGCAAAAATTAAGAAAGGTCTGCTTAAAAATTACTTTTGTAGAAGGCTATCTGTTCTTTAACTTGTAGTTATTTGTAAAATACCTTCAGCATCGTTCAAGAAAACGTTCAGCATTCCAAATACACTCATGTCCATAAATTAAGGATAATGCAAAATCAGGCAAAGGAAGACTTAGAAGCAAAACAAATTTGACTTATTTGTAAAGCTTATTTATTAAACAAAAGGTAAAGAGCAAAAAAAAGATGCTATATGTTTGATATTATTAAAAAAAATTAGCGATTTTTTCTCCCTGAAGTAAATTACAAAAAAAAACCTATTTACAAAAAACCAATATTACATGGTTGGTATGATTGTTAATACAATGTATGTCTCCCAGACGATGCAATACAGACCGTACAACGCCTAGGCATGCTGAGTATCAAATTATCGATCTGATCTTGGGGGATATTACATCACTCAAAACTCAATGCTCTCCGAAGTTCCGGTAGACATGTAAGAGGAGGTCGACGGGGTGCAACTCGTCGGCCAAGCATATCCCACACGTGCTCTACTGGATTCAAGTCCGGTGAGAATGCTGGTCAGTCCATACGGGTGATATCTTCCAATTGAAGGCATTCGCTTACGATGTTTGCACGGTGAGGACGGGCGTTGTCATCCACAAACACAAATTGGGAGCCCATGGCGTCCTGAAACAAACGTACATGTTGTTCCAGAATGACGTCCCGATAGATTTGGCTTGTCATGGTTCCAATTTGAACATGCAGGTCAGTTCTGGAACCCAGAATAATTCCACCACAAAATGAGCACTCATGCACCACCGTAACGGTGTCGTTCAATGATGTTTTCTTGGTGGAATCTGGAGCTCTCCATATGAAGGTCCGGCGAGAATCAGACTGCAAGCTAAACCTGGACTCGTCGGAAAACATCACACAAGCCCATTGTTGCGGTGTCCACAATGCATGCTCTCTACTCCAGGCTAACCGCAGGCGACAGTGAGTTGCAGTAAGTGAAACGCATCTGATAGGTCAACGAGTATATACACTAATCTGCCCTAAGCGTCTGTTCTCGGTCGGCCTTGAAATTGTCGTACCAGTGGCTGAAGAGAGCTGACGAGACAGGTCTGAGGCTGTGCTTGGCCTGTTTCTTTTGGCAGTAACTGCCAAATACCGGCCCTCATTCGGCGTTGTAACTCTGGGGCGACCTCTGCTGTAACGTCTACTCACATTACCATCATCTTGGAATCGTTGCCAAAGCCTGGAGATGAAACTCTGGGCAATTCCAACGTCGTCTGATACTTTCAGTTGGGTACGCCCACATTCCAGACGGCCAATAATTCTACACGTAAAAAATCATCCAATGCGTCCTTTGTGTCATACTATTCGGTTTGCACTGAATGCTATAAAGCGCCTGCGAACAATTTTACTTTTTGCCTGCTATTCCTTATATATCACTCTCTTACACTCTTGTCATTGTGACGTACCATCGGTGTCATCTGGTTACTTCCTGAAATTTGCATATGATTCTTGAAGATGTGTGTAGTGATTTTACAGGTGATATATTTATTTTAGAGTTCGATTTTTGCGTGACTCCGAATTATCCTTAATTTATGGACATGAGTGTACTTTGAGGTTAAGGAAATAAATTTATCAGAAAATGTATAGTATAATAAAGTTTGGCTGCAGAAAACATTTAGTTTGTGAAGTATTTTTAACGAGAATGTTGATGTGTTTATTTGCAATGTAATTTTATTGCAACATCTGCATATTTTATTCAACATGTCTTCATTTGGATCTGAAGTTAATCTAACGTTGTTATTTTGAGGTTGTTGGTTGTTTTATTTTGCCCGTCTTCAGCAGGAAATTCAACAATTAAACTAATTTAAATATTATTTTGATGTAGAGGTATGAACAAAGCTGTCATAAAGATTTATGAAAATTGAATTGCAAAAATATATAGCACTATTCTTACCTAAGCACTTTCCTTTAAATACTGAGAACCCTTCGACACAGCCGCACTTTTGCTCTCCACCAATACCAAAATAACAACGCTCGTTAGGTCCACAAATGCACTCTGTAATAACAAAATATAAATAGCAGAAATATTTCTAAAAGTACCAAACATTATGATGAAAAGCTATAAAATATCAATATCTAAAGCCATAAAAATAGTGTTGACTCCTTTTTACCTTTACATTTCTTTTCAAAGTCCGCATAACCTCCATGGCATTTGCATAGCTTAACTCCATCCCAGCGAAAAGCACAAATTCCATGGGGTCCACAGTCACACTCTGTGAATGAACAAAATTATAGATTCGATGCTTCTAAACTCATAATTATATGATGCTAAGTGCATATGATAGTTTGAGAAAATATACTTATAAACCATTATATGTTGCTCGCATTCAATTCGGGCCTAAAATAATTCAACATCTGTTATCAGGTACTCTTCGTTCATTGACATTTCCTGAAAATCATGACCTTTGAAATAGGAGACTAATACATGAGCAATATTCACCCATTATATAAAAAACGTTGGCTCTGCGAATACCAGCTAATGGGAAATTTTATTAGTATAGATATAGATATTACTGTATACGTTGTATGACCAGTTGAAGTTCCTGTACCGCCATTAGAGGCTTAACAGGGCTTAGTCGAGCTATTTAATTAAAGAAATATTGAGATCTAGAACAAGGCCTAAATCAGGCCCATTAATCGTAGAACTACCACCTTACACCGGAAATAACTTAAAATCGATAAACAACTAAAATATGAGTCTAGAGCTGGTGAGATTTACCATCTATACCAAAAAGCATATTATTGATACTTGTAAATATAACACATGTTACTTGCATGCATAAAATATTTACTTATACAATAGAAAAAAATAACAATATTATAAACATTCAGTTTTCCTTTAAAGACAGGGGAATTTTAAAAAATCAATATATAAATTCATTTCATTTGCAATACATATTTATGAATTTGACAATTTCAATTTAGTCACTGTATTTTATATAACTTTAGAGTTTAAATTTAGAATATTTGGAATAAATCTTAGACAATATTTTTCATAGAAAGCTCTAAACAAAGTGTTCCATATCGACATACTCATGCCATGGACAGGCACAATTTTTAATCGAAACTATTATAATAAAGGGAAAGTCCATGATTAGTTAAAGCTTGGTTTAGATACTTGTCACTTAGGCATCTTTTCTATTTTTCATTTTTTTTTTCATTTTCTATCTTTTCATTTTTTAAATTATAAGTGAATCTTCCTTTAGACTCTGTTTTATGCGTTCTTTATATAGTTTATTGTAGATATAGATATTTATTAGTGTAGATATAGATGTATTAAGTATAAATATTATAGAAATCCTTCTTACCTTTGCACTGTCCTTCGAAGTATTTAAATCCCTTAATACATCTACAAAATGGTTCTCCGTTTCCGTCAAAAGTGCACTTCGCATTTTTCATGCATCTGCAATCTATAAGTTCAAATTTAGGTAAAAAGAATACTTGAAAATATTCAGTTCAAAATAATAACGTACATATATGGTGTAATTAAATATAGATCATAAGGAACGGACCAGTTAAAACTTTTCAGTTAATTTTATTGCAAATTCTCGTTGTGAGTAGGCTTTGAATGGAACTTCATTGCAAGTCATATTTCAAAGAGCTTAAAGAAGTCTCATATATCACTCCAGTACAGTGTCTTTGCAGTAAGTCTTACCATTAAGCATTTTAATATTTCCTAAACTGATTTAGTACAATTTTCCTGAAAAGGTTCATAGCGAATCAGATTTATTTTTTCAGATTTCTTTAATGCGATGAATCGTATTTACTTGCATACATCTAATGTTTTTACTAATTTTGTAGCAAAAAACGAAGAAAGAAATATTAAACGAAGAAAAACGTAGTGATTGTAACTTTGAAGGAGGGAGGAAGAATTTATTCGATTAAAATGACTATATTAAATAAAACTATTAATTATATCATCGCTTATTGTCTTCAATACTATAGTTCATATTAGCATTATTATTCTCCATTTTTATGATATCTCACAATTTAACACTTAAGAGGAATCTCCGAATACCTCCCAATGTGGAATTAAAGAAAGTACTCTGACGCTGAGTCCCTGGGAAACACATACATTTCCCTTAGGCCTGTCCTGGAATATGGTGTTCAGGTTTATCAGGTCGCTTCTGTCAGCAACATAGATAAACTGGAAAGGGTATAACTGTTGCCTGCCAGATTACTGGTCTCCTCAATTCCTGTATGAGGCCGACCTTCAACTCCTCAGACTCAGGAGTAGGTATCTATTGACCAAATGTTTTGCTAAGCTCAGTAGTTATGGTGATCAACACAGAACATCTAGATATGTACATAACTGCAACAAAACCGTCGTCTGAAGAGAAGAAGCCCGCTCAGGCTTGATGAAAATGAGGGATGGCTGCAAAGTCACGTTGAACACGTTTCTCTCGTTTGCTCTCCGGAGTTTGCTGTGGCATTTAGTGATGGATTTTTTTTAAGACCGAACTTTGCTCTTATACTAACAAAGCTAAGTAGCAGCCTGATTGCCTTAGACAGCTTGCTTTGGAGGCTATTCACAAATCCCTAGTGGTGTGTTAATAATTTATAGTGATGGTAGCAGGGGTGACGGCGGTATCTAGGGTAGCGGAATATTTATCAGACAGCGGAATGGAATTAAGATTTCTAAGATTCTGACTACTGCTCCGACTTTTGGGCAGAACTCATTTCTACTGTGCAGGCCTTGAGTTATTGTGTCAATGAGGGAGTCACTACTGACATCTGGATTCTGTGCAATAGCCGGAACTCTGCACTGTACTTGGGTGAGAGATGGAAACATGGTGACAGAACTACATTGTCCAGCATTTGGACTGCTTGAGTGCCCACAATAAGATATATTTTCAATGGTTGTCTTCCCATGTGGAGCTTTATGGTAATGAGATAGCATGTGGACTGGCCAGGGAGCGCAGCCGTAAAGATTCTCCTGATGGTGGCTGTCTCTCTTTCTCGGAACTTTCTTCTCGGGTCAAGTTAGAAATCAACACCTCTCACCTCCACACCTGAGTAATATGTTGGTAATTGGCCTGGCGCTGCACTCATAAGGGGAAGAAATAGATTAGAACAAATGACTTAAGCCAGGATGCGTACTGGTAATCTGTGAGATTTACATTTTGTGTTAGGCATTAAAGTCTATCCGTGGCTCCCGAAATGCAACTTGAACCACACCACTCTTGCCCAAATCTCGCCTTGCATTTTTTGCCTGAGCAGCCAACTGCTGTCTTGTCCTTGAGTCCTCTTCGGAGTTTTGAAATCCAAAGGTTCTTGGACCTGATTTGATGTTGTCATCGATTGGGTGGAATAAACCATACCAACAAACAAACAAACAAGAAAAATTGTCCTTTTTCAAATCTCGTTGATAATAATATATTTTGTTTCCTCTAATATGTAAACGCATTCACTTCCATTCCAAACTGTCTTAAAATGTGTTTACACCATTCATTATCTCTTATCTTCATGTCTGAAATTTTGATACTGCGGTGTAACGCGAAACCCTCGTGTAACATAACTCCAAAAATTTTGTTTCTACACTGATTCACTTGCATTGCAAAAAATACCTTCGACAAAGACTGACTAATTAACTTTGGATACCACAGCTGCCCAAATTTCTTTTGCGAAATCTAGACGCGGATACCGAGGTAAGTACAGAATGCATCATCAATTGTCATAGTATTGTAATGGTTGGCGATGAACACTAAGGAGAGAGGCAGAGAGAACGTAACTCTATCCTTGCCTGTTTTGCTGTTTCGAAAGAAGCAGATATCCACTCTGGTAGGAGAAACAAAACTTTTATACTTTTGTCTTCATGAACAGGCCGTCCAGACGGTATAATGGTTGGTAATGCTAACTGTCGCATCGGTGGCTGTGGGTTTGAATTCCGGCGATGTCATGGGTGTTTGTAAGTGTATAGCATCTGTACGCTTAGGGGATACTCAGAATACACGGTGAGCAGAAAATCTCGTTGACAGGTTGGAAGATAAGGAAAGAGGGGTAGATTTTCGTCCCGTTCTTCGCAGCGTTTTCTCTTGCAATTCTATCCTTTGAACCACCTATATCTTAGAAATATGAAGTAGGACTTCAGTATATCAATGATTTCAGTGATGTATGTGCAAAAGTTGAAATGTCTGGCAACGGATGCTTTTGAGTTTTACGCAAAAGTTAATCACATTTCTGCCGTACAGCTACAGAGGAGTCTTACTCACTCGCCACCTCAAAACGTGCTAGAGAAATTTAGTTGCTATAAATAAGTACTGAAGGCCATGTCTGTTCAAATGCAAATAAAAATATACAAATATATGAATTTACAAAATTAGGTACAAGGTTTGTGTGTCCAATATAGAGAAGGATAAACACAGACAGATTCAAAACTTTTCAAACCAGCACATATATTTGCATTTTAGATGAAAGTTTTCCAAAAAGCAAAGAACAATTCACAGCTTTTTTTTCATTAAAATTAGTTTAAGCTTATTACTTTAAAATCTGCTTATTTAAAAATTTAAAAAACAGAGGAGTCTTACTCACTCGCCACCTCAAAACGTGCTAGAGAAATTTAGTTGCTATGAATAAGTACTGAAGGCCATGTCTGTTCAAATGCAAATAAAAATATACAAATATATGAATTTACAAAATTAGGTACAAGGTTTGTGTGTCCAATATAGAGAAGGATAAACACAGACAGATTCAAAACTTTTCAAACCAGCACATATATTTGCATTTTAGATGAAAGTTTTCCAAAAAGCAAAGAACAATTCACAGCTTTTTTTTCATTAAAATTAGTTTAAGCTTATTACTTTAAAATCTGCTTATTTAAAAATTATTTTATTTATGTTATTGCCATTTTAAGCAAAATGGCTTATTCCAGTGCACTAAAGTAACTCTTACTCCATCTTAAAATAATAAACGTCGTTTATTTATGCTACATTACTTATTTACAACATGTAATAATTTACTAGTTAACTGGATTTTGACATTCATTGTTTGTTCTCCTCGTTGAAAAATAAAGCATCAGAAATGCATCGAATTTTGCATAGCCACCTTAAGGCTCCGGATACTTTTACTTGCTGTGAAAAAGTACTGAAGGTCATGTCTGTTGAACTGCAAGTTTAAATACATAAATATATGAATTTCCAAAAGTAGTACAATTTTATTTAGTACAAAAAAGTATGCGTCCGATATGAAGAAAGATAAACATAGACAGATTCAAAGCTCTTCAACCAGCATTTTCATCTCAGAAATATTTTACCTAAAACGCATAAGACAAAGACGATTTTTTTTAAAAATTGATATACTCAAGTTTAAATTAATAAACTCATTTATTTATGCTACATTACTTACTTACAATGTGTAACAATTTACAAGTTTAACAGTCTTCGACATTCATTGTTTGTTCTCCTTCTCACAGCACGTTGAAAAACAAAACATTCACGTTGAAAAACAAAACATCAGAAATGCATCGAATGTTGCATTTAATTTATTCTGTCACCATTAAAATATTTAAGTAAAGATACATAAGAAAATAGCGGAAAAGAAATAACTAATAAGAAACAAATTTTGATACAAATAAAACATAAAAATTATAAAAAATAAAGAAAAAAGAAATTTAATTCCTAAATTAAATTCACTGTTTTTAAAATTTAAAGGATATGGATTTTAATTAACGTATTTATTCCGTAAAAAATTTATTTGCGTATGAAATTGTAATTCTTACCTTTGCATTTTCCAGTCATACCATCGTATGACTTTCCTTCTTCACACTGACAAAAAGCTTTCTCTTCTTCGACATCGTAGCTGCATACCGCATTGCCTTTTTCACATATTTCCTTTAATGTCTGGCACTCATTGATCTCCTCACACTTACCGCCACTCATCCCTTTTCGGCAATGACAAACATTACCTACGCATTTTCCGCCATAGTGGCATTCATAATCATAGTTACATCTTGGTTTCAGCTTGTCTGAAAATTAATGCACAGATAACATAAAAAACAACAAAACTGTAATTTGAAATTTATTTAGTTACTTAAACAATTTGAGTTTGTTTAAGTTATTCGCCCAAAACATGCCTTTTACTAATAGCAAAATGTTAAATAATGGTTTTTAAAATCATTATGAAGAGTCTAACCAAGCCTGATATTAGTAGCAGTGTTCATTATGAACAGCAATTATTAATGATTAAAATTATTGAACATTTAGTGCTATTTATTATTAAATAAAATGAATATCTGGGCGAGAATGTTGAGTTTAAGTATTAAACGTATTAAGAAGTAATAGCTGTATTTGTTTTGAAAACTGTTGAGTATTAATACAGAGACTGAAGAATGCTGTAAGTTTGAATTTCACTTAATCCTGTATTTTTCTTAATATTTGAATACCGAATATATACTATATTCGGTTTTGCAGCTGAGGATGGTGGTTCGGTAAAACCATCGAACCTAGACATGTGAAAATTTTGTAAATATAACGCTGATTTTTGTTGTTTGACTTCTGAAATAGTATTTATTCGGCGTGTTATTGTGTCTTAATTTTAATACCTTTTGACTAAGTATCAGGTGCCTTGAAAAACGTTATGTGTGAAACCCAGCATTCAGTTCACGTCATCTTTTAATTATTCCGTTCTGCCTGATTAAAAGCAATCAGCTGATATCTATAATAATGTTACTTCGTTACGGGTTCGTGGATATGGAGTGATTGACGACAACACTTGATGAAGAACAAAAACACAATTTATTAGCCAGTATTACTCAGGACAGCTCCAAAAACACATTTACAGTCGTCGAGCAACTACGACAAACCCGCTGAAACAATTAGCAACATAGCCTTCAGGCTATCAGGCTACAACGGTAAAAAGCGCTTCACTGCAAAGCACTAGATTACAGCTCCAGACTCGGTTCGGTCGTTCTTGGAACTCAATGTACTTTCGAGACTCTCCACTCTACAGCTCGCTATGCACTCGACCGATACACTCGATAGCTTCAACGAAGCACACCCGCGATGCACCAACTCGCGGTACTGCGACACACTCGACACTAGACTACTCTGCATACAGGCAGGGTATATATAGCTTTTGGCTTGCCTTCGAAAACATTCTGGACCAAACTGGTAAGGATTCATTCCAGAATGTTTTCCTTCAGTCTATGGCATATCGCCAATTGTGTCGCCAAATGTCAGCAAATGGGCGATTGCGAACCAAATGGGGTAACCCTGTCTTCCCTTGCCATTTTCTGGCAACCCTAAACCTGCTTTGAGAGGAAGCTATCTTACCGCAGCTGGCCATTTCGTAGCAATATATTTGAGGGTTAGAAAATTAAAAATAAACGTCATACCAACACGACAAGCAAAAACCTCATGAACTGAAAACAAAGTGTCATTAATTTCAGTACAGTTATTTTCCACTGTAAAGAATTAAAAGGATCTATCCTTAAGTAAACTTTCTCCGTACAGGTTAGTAAGAAATAAGCTGCAAGTCTGATCACATTGTGCTATGACTGTATTACGGCTACAGGAAAATGTGCTATTGGAAAGCCAACTCTTCAAACTGAACAACAACGCACAATAATGTCAACAACATTCGTGTTAGTTTTTTTTCCAGCAGGCTATAAGCGAATGCTTTTACAGTCATTATCGAAGTGGTTGTATATGTGGTACTGTGATATCATTCAAGAAAAGATTGTTTTCTGTTTTTTTTTCCAATTACAAAGAATCGTTTTCTGAACTTTCCATCACTCTATGGTAACAATGCTGTATTGAAACCACATTTCGCTTGTCTCATAACCGCATAATTGTTTTGGCACGCAGGTCGTCAAGCTACAACTATAAATAGTTCTTGCATATTCCAGCCCAGTATGGGCTATGATATAAAGTCGGGCATATAAATCTTTGGGAGACTCTCGGACCCGTCTCTCCGGGGTGTTCTCCATTAAAATTGGGGGCGGATGTGAGCTAAATCGCACTGTCACTTGTAAGGTGCTGAAGGCTTTTGCCAAAGACAGGTATATTTTTGCGCCCCTTGTCACGAGGAATTTTGTGGGCTTGGCCTAATGTTACTGTCAGACAAGTGAGCATAAGTAACAATAGCAACAACATAAATCTTATTTGAAGTGAACAAGCTCTCATTTCATATTCATTGCCTTAGGGCATAATTCCTGTTTATGGTTTGAAGCGTATTTATGTTTATATGCGCATTGAATAACTACGGCCTACCCTATAATATAATGCTAATCATTTGCATCTACTATATAATACACTACGCATCTACAATAGAAGACACTAGGCATCTACAGTATAATGCACTGTAAAACATTGAATTTATTTCAAGCCTGAAAGCCTTCTTTATCTAAATTAAATTCAATATTTATTACTCGAAATTCAGTTTATTCAGACAGCATAGCGTTATTAGTAAGTTTAGTGAGGATACCACAAAATGTACTAACATTGTAACCATACCATTATAATAAGCACGGTATCCATAAAACTCTTATGTAGCCTTTAGTTTTGTAAACAAATCCGTCGAATTTAAAAAAATGTTTTAAATAAGGTAAATATTTGATAAATTTCTTAAAGATTCTTAAAAATTCCTTAGTGCTGTAATGTTCCTTGATACCTATACTTCATAAGAATTTTTTTTTAATTAAAAAAAAGTAAAAGCACAAAAATTCAACTCTCATATTGTTCATTCAACTCTCATGACCGACTTTTTAACTTGAAAAAAATTATCCAAAAAGCTGGGGTCGTAAAGAAATTAAAAATGCAAAAAATGTGAATTTGTAAAATAAAAATGGAACATCAACTTCGAAAACGATTTCTAATGTTCATAGATCTGTAGAAGCTTGTATTAAGGCCTGTAGGAGTTATCTTCTCGAACAAGTACTGGCAAAAAATAAATGATGCAGAAAATCCACAACATACCGTTCACTTTTGGTGAATGCAAATGGAGTCTTTAAAATTGGGCATGGATTTTTCTGGTTCCTTGCTCTGTCCAGAGGATATTCCAAGCCATATTGAATCGATTTCAAAGCGAGTAAGAAACTAAAGTATGAACAAGAGTCTAGCGTCAAATTCATACGGATTCATACTCTTCACTAGTAAAAATTTCTAAGGATAATATCAGAGGATATCCCGCAAGACCTTATGGACATTAGAACGTGGCCTAGGCAATGCCTCTGCCCCCTCTGCCAGTTTCAAGTTGTATCCTCTACTACCTGTACTGCTTCTGCAGAAACGGCTTTTCCTTTTTCTTCCAAGACTAACAGAAAAAAGAACCTTTTCTTGAAATTTAGTTATCATTTTACGAAGGTTTTTAACATTCATTGAATCTCTTCGAGTCCCCTTCGAAGTCGAAAATTTCCGTATAAGGGTTACTGCGAAATTACTGTTTTGGTAAAACAATTTTACTAACAAAGCGCGATCTCCTAAATTTATTTTCCTCATTATGAGCAGCAAGCGCCTAGAAAACAAAATCTCTGCGAATGTTTCTAGGTTTTTTACAATAGTTGCAGTGTAATATTGCAAAGATTTATTTTTTACGACAGGTTTTTCAAAATAAAACGCCAAAATCGTTATGTCATGTGTAACTAATTTTTTTTTGATGAAAGGAATTACCAATCCTTACTAAAGTCCGCCAGAAATGTTAAGGAATTTCTGCTGACTGGTTTCGTCTGTAGGCAAGACTAAAATGGTGTTCTTTAATTATGGACACACTCTGTTTTGAGTTTTACTTTTTCAGAATGTGTATAAAAATTGCTGATTTTAACTACAGAGGCAATAGATTGGTAGAAATATCACAGTTAGTAATTCTTAAAAGCAATTGTTTTTATTTAGAAACTGTGGTAATAAGAATATTTCTTCTGTTTAAAGTATTTTTGAAGTACATATCTATGCTTCTATGTAACTATCTATGTAGGCATATGTTTTCCTTTGTAGGAAAAGTACATATATTTCAGACTGTTTAAGAAAAATATGGATAAATAGAATAGCACATATATTTTAGATTGTTGAAGAAAAATATATTATGAATAGAACAGCACATATATTTTAGATTGATGAAAAACAATCTGGTATAATTCTAATGATTCATATATATAATATATATATGTGCAATTCAAATATGTATATAAGTATAATTCGAATGATTGTTGAAGAAAAATATAGTATAATACGAATGATTCACATATATAATATATATTTATAATTCGAAAATTTACATACACATAATTCGAGTGACTGTTGAAGAAAAATAGAGCATAATTCGAATGATACACATATACTATATATATGTGTGTTATTCGAATATATATATAAGCATTATTTGAAGGATTGTTGAAGAAAAATATGGTATAAGGCGAATGATACACATATATAATATGTGTAATTCAAATACTTATATAACTATAATTCAAATGATTATTGAAGAAAAACACAGTATAATGCGAATAATATATATATTTCATATTTTTGAAAAAATGCATTCTAATTCGAATAATCGTTACTATCCAAAATTATCACATTCAAAAGAACCCGAGTTAAGAGTTTATTTTTATGCCTTAAACCACTATTTTATTACGTCAGATAAGACTAAAGCTAATTTTTTCTTCTTCAAAAAATTATGAAGAATGATTGCTTCAGAAGATTAAATAATGCTTAAGAAATAAATAAAAATTGTTAACATGAACATGCAATAAAATGATTACTTAATCTAACGGTATACGGAAAGTAATATAACTGGCAAAAGTTCGAAACATTTTATATTATAATTAATTTTTTTATCTTTTAAACATTTTCATTACATGCTAAAAACTGAAACTTAATTATCACCGTATCTTTCTCATGTTTAAAAGAGAAATAAGTACGAAACATGATTAAACTTACCTACGCATGTTTTACCATTATATACCTTTGCTTGATCTTTGCACACACAAGATGCTTTACTTGAAGCTTTATCAAATACGCAATTTGCATTAGCTTTAGTGCATTCTCTGTTCATTTCATCTGTGCATTTTGTTAAAATTTCACACCTATCTCCTTTTGTACCTTCTCTGCAATTACAATAGCCACCTATGCATTGTCCACCATTTTTGCAATAAGAATGGTCATAACAGCGTTCTAGAAAGCAATAGATTTTTATGAAATAAAGAAATGCGTATTTCAAATAATTTAAATCTCTAAATAAAGCATATTTAAGCGGAGAAAATAACAGCTTTTGTAGTCAAAGTAAAACGTTATATACAGTTAGAAGAGAAAAATATTGTGAAGTTCTTATCATTTCAGTAACACCTTAGATTACCTAAATTACTCACAGAGCAAATTTCATCAACCATCAGCTTAACAGTGTAAACACACTACAATTCTCAGTCCAACCGCTTCAGGGCTACTTACAACCTCTATCTTATTTATAGGGTTGCTCAGAGGGAAAGGTAAACACATTTGGAAGGTTCGTGAAAACTCTCCTTATGTGTTAAAAATGTGTTTTCCGGAAATTTCCAGAATATCGCCAAGGACTGTTAATTTATGCATTCTAGTTTTAGTTGAGATATCCTTAAAATGCAAACATCAGTCATTTGGGAACTAAATGTTCTAAAGCATAATTCAGAAAATAAAAGCATAAAAATACTCGATCGCGAAGTAGGGGAAATTCCGATATTAAATAAAATACTTCGTAAATTTGCTATTCAAAATGCATTAATTAAATAAATAATTTATAAAATCAAAAACACAATGATACAAAAATATATGTAAACGAAATTATAAAGAAGTAAATTCAAGTATGTTCAAAAATGGTGCAACAGTTGCGAATCTAATAATCGAAGCTACCCTAATTTTCTGTTTGGACATTATTAGTCAATCCATTTGGCCATTATTACTCATTCAGTACTTTTGTGCGGAATTATTTATTTTTATTATCATGTGGAGTGTGAATGGGAAAGATAAAGCGATAAAATATTTCCTCACAAACAATTTTATGCAGTGACCATTACTCGATAAACTTTCTTCTTCATAATACTTGGCGAATAATTTAAATTAATGAACAAAGAAGCTTGTTAAGTTAAACAACAGTTTACTTTTAAAATTAGAAATTATTTCAGTATTTTCTCTTTTTTTAACTTCTCCTTTTTTCATACACAACTGGTTTTATATACAAAGCATGAAGTCCGGCAATGTAACACTTAATTTTTCTGACCAGTGTCAGCACTGCGGCCCCACCAGCGGCCAAACGGTAAAATGACTAAACACTGGTAGCTCCAACCTGGATTCGATTCTAGGAGAAAGGACTGGCTACATGGGCATTTTCGTGGTTTTTCCCATGTGTAACGTGTATACGAGCCAGTTTAGATTACAGTCTTACACAAAGCCATCCCTTCCCTTAGGCACATAACTCTTGCCTCCTTTGCCATAATCAACTAAATCAAACCAAGTCTTCGCAACCAAGTTTCACATATTGCCACTAATAGATTCAAATGACCACTAATAGTTGCTTTGTAATATACCAAATCTTTTGTAGAGTCATTAGGTTATATCGATGCAGGGATGCCAAAAATGCGGCATCCGACCCAAAGCCATCCAAATGAGCCCTTGTCGGAATTCGAATTCCGGACCTTCGGAATATGCTTTGGACGTGCTCTAAGGCGCGCGGAAGGAGAAAGTACCTTATACGTTAATTTAATATTTGGTTATGAACTCTTATATAAATAACGTTATTTATTCCCTCATTCATCATTCTTCGAATTATCGATTTATAATATTAAGCATTAAGCTTTAAAAACTACATTGTTGGCCCAGTATTTCCCAAATTAATCATTTGGGAATATACGTACGTTTCTCGCACTCTGAAAACACAACGGTACATTAGAGCCATCCAATTTTGAATGACGTAATCGAACTGAGAATATTGACATCTGGAAGCCCAAATTTGAATTTGGAATTTGTTTTATTATCGATTTTATATTTGGTAAAATCTTAACGCACTTTTGATTAACAAACTCAATGATTTCAAAGCGAGCAACGGCAAATGTACAGAAAAAAAAAATTATTTCCAGCGCGTGAGACTGTGTATGGGAAATTCTATAGAAATGCTCTTTTCAAATTATTTTGGGATATTGCTGTTGAATTGAATTTTCCGGTTGAAGTGCGAAGAACATGCTATTTAATTAATAAAGATAACATATAAAACGTTAAAAAACGCTCCCTAGGGAGTAATATATTTTCTTTTTGCATGCTTTCTCTTTAGATTTATAAATATGGCGGAAGAATACTATCAATACTTACAACTGTTTATTTTTTTCCTAAATAGCATTAAATTTATCTCTTCTAGTTTTATTAATTTATTCCTATTAATTTTCAGTTCAAGTCTACAAAGCGTGTATAGGAAGAAGAAGAAGGTAAAAAAATTAAATTTACAAACAGATATAACTTGTTTTCATGTCAAAAATTATAGTGAGGCTAATGAAAGCATTTTAAGTTTTGAAAAGTTGTATTTTCAATTAAAGCGAAAATTATCCAAGAACAAAGAAATGCACTGATTATTATTATTATTATTATTTAGTATGGAGTAAAAATGTTGCAAACTAATAAAAGTAAGCTATTTACAATGTGTAAAAATTTCTTGACATAATTAACTTTAATCATTCATTATTTTTTACTGAATCCATTTGAAAAATGCTACATTGATGTTTTATTCCATTTGATCAGTTTAGGCGTTTACAAAATAGGATAAACTGAAAGATAAACCAATAATGCTAGTGAACCACTGTATAAGTAATCAACAATCGTAAAGAACGATTATACTAATTACAGAAAGAACTACGCTAATGCTCCGGTTTACGTTGCACTGATTTACGATGATTCTCTATAACACTGTTTTAAAAATAAATTGATGAAAATTCAAAATTTCATATTTTTGGTAACAGAATGAGGTTACTTGAGAATAATCAAGAAAAACCATATCACTATAGAATTAATTTGAACATTATTAGTTGGGAGTTATGATACCAGCTATGAGCGAATGAAATTCGTTGGGACAAAGCGGTGATCTGTGCTGGCGCGATGCAGTGCGGCTGTGTGGTAACTTATATCAGATGGTCTCTGGCTATCCGCTCATCACATTACATCATATTGTCTGGCTTGCGTTATAGCTCACAGATGTGTTTTTGTACATAATAAGTTACTTGGGTGCTTTCTGAATTATTGTTTGTCATCACTAGTTTTGAAAAAATAATAAAGTCTTTTTATTAAGTAATTGAAGCCGATTCTTCAAATGAGAGAAAAGCTATTTCATTGGAAGTAAAACTGGAAGTGATGCTTTGATTCGAAGGATTTAACATCGTAAGTTCCTCAAAATTAGCCACTTCAACTATGAAAAGATAAATAATGAAAACTTAAAAAAATTCTGAAAATATGAAATCAAATTTTCTGATGCAAAGTAATCAAGTACATTGTAAAAACGTGATGAACTACAGAAAGTCAATTTTTGCAGAGATGAAAAAAAAAAAAAAAAAAAAAAAAAAAAAAAAAAAAAAAAAGCCTCAATATTTAAATCGATTTCGAAACCAAGCATAGTTGTGGCAAAAGAAAAAAGCATTTTAAATTTTATACATGAAAGAAAGAAAAAATGAGCAACATATTCAACTCTTTTATGACCGTTAGTTTGATAGATCCAAAAGATGAAGCAATATTCACAGTTTGATTATTACTGACGAGGCAGCTAATGCTGACAATAAAACTGCAGAAGAAGTCTACAAATTTGAAAGGAAATTATTACTGATGAGAGCTCTTCACCCCAGTTTGTGTTCAAAGTGGATGAAACTGGTTTTTTTTAAAAAAGTATACCCTTTCGAACAGTGCCTACCAGCTGAGGAGCAGTAAGTCGTTGATTACTGGTAGTTAGGTCCGGGGCTCGAACTCCGGTGAACAGGCTGGCTGGATGAACGTTTTCGTGGTTTTCGTTATGTGTATGTAGTGGTGTGCACTACTAGGAGGCGTTGTAAATGTGACAATCTAACCAAATATCTATCTAGAAATCCTTAATTAAATTTACATGTACCCAATATTTACTGGCCTGAATTCTTAGTGGTAGTACATTGCAAATTAAACCCTAGTGAGAAGAATAATTAAATATTTGACTTACGCAATAACCTACATGCATGAGACTTGCGGAGACAAATTTCTTTTTCTAATCTCACATTTATTTTATTAAACACATTTTCTGGATTAAATATGGAACATTTATCACACACATATAAAATATCATAACTTAGAACACAAAACGTGAGAACCTAAAATGGGATGATAGACGAAAGCAGAAACATGTCTATCAGTCGACCAATCTCAATCTATTCACATCATGCATAAATGCAGTCGAAATTTTCACATATTAATTTCGTGCAGGGCCCATAATATTGTTGTACAAGTGCAAGATCGTTTTTTTCACTTTCACATTCTCTAACACACTTAAAATAAGCACGTGGTCACACAATCGCTGGTAATGCACATTCTGGAGTCGAACACCTATAGATAATCTGCTTGAAATGTTTTAGAACGGGTATCGTGGCAGATGGATTTTAACACTGAGCATTGTCATCTAAATAAATCGCAACCAGTTCTGCTTCTTTTTATGCAGAAATACACTCCATGTGAAAATATCAGGAACGATGAAACTCCATTAGCACGACATGCCAGAACACAAAACCGCACAACGTGGGGCGTCGTTAATTGCCAAGTGACTGCAGGAAGGTCACGGGCGAAGAAGGGAAGAAAAGCAGAAACCAGTCTGACCGGTGCTTATATACACACGTGCAGTTCCACAATTACGATTAAAATTTGTGATGTCGGCAAACTGCGTGGTGTGAGAAGTTACTATTCTCACAGTGTAACGTGCATGCGAGCCATTTTCCCTTAGAACATCCTCCATGAAAGGTATCCCTCCTCTTGGGCAGATAGCCCTCGAGTGCTTTGCCATAATTAAATAAACCAAACTAAACCATCACGAACATACAATTAAGACGAAAATCGTGCTGAAGGATTAGTATCATAAGACAGATTCACCTTGCTTTTAGTAGGTAATCCTAAAGATGATTTCAAATTCAAGCCTTTGCTTGTGTATCATTCTGAAACACTTAGATCATTGAAAGGAATAGGATCATTGAAAGGCAAATCAAAACATCTCGGGATTTAGCGAACAGGAAAGCTTGGTCTCTCTACAATAGAAATTTTTGAAGTTTGATTAAAACACGATTTTTCTTCATTGGTAAAGCGTTATTGCCATGAACACCACGTTCGGACCTTTGTTTGATTAGCAACTCGCCTGGCCATCCAAAAATTTAGAATATCTCGATACTTAGATTCCAGATAATTGCCTACCTGCCGTGAAATATGATGGCTCTTATACAAGTTATGCATGCTACTTACGACAAACGTTTCAATATTTAATTGAAAAAATGAATTCTAATGAAATAAATGTCCTGCAAGTTTGGAAAAATTACAACATCGCATATGCTTTTCGAAATATTAAGTATGCTAAAAAAGAAATGACTTCAATCTGTATGTGTAAAACTTGGAAAGACATTTTGCCAGAAATTTGCGAAAATGCTGAAGAAACTACTGAGAGAAATGAAATGATTATTCAAGTTAATGCTGTAGCTATAAGGAAAAAATTAACGAATTTGATGAAAATGACAGTAAGATATAATTGAAATGTCACAGAGAAAGACTAGCAAATGAAGAAATGAAACATTTTTACAGATAACACAAGAAGATCACAAGAAAATTAAGGTATTGAAAATGCCTTAGAAAATATTTCTGAAAAAAAAAATGAACCAAAAGGATTTATCAATTACTTTCTTAATTGTTGAACTGTATATATGATTCTGACTCTCACGAAAATAAAGGATGAGTTTTTGGAGCATCATTCCAAATTGCAGTTCAAAGGCAAGGGAGACAATCAACTTTACATAGTTTCTTTGTAAAGTGTAATTTTCTTTCAATGTACATATATAATGAACTAAGAATTCCTTTTTTGTAAAGTTTGTTCGAGGCAAAGCACTCGACAACGACCTGTACTATAGTTAAATAAACGAAAAGAATAAAATTAATGTTTAATTTTTATTTTTAAAATTTTGTTAAGTAGGCATTTCATAGTTAAATACTATTTTTAGCTTTATTATATTTGTGCTCTTTTTTTATTTAAAATAGTTCATAAAAAATTGAAAAATATAACTGCCACCGTTTTACGATTAACTCGCTTTACGCTCTTTTCTTCGCGCATTTAATGCGTAAACCGAGACATTAATATATTTAAATCAGCAATTTGTTTTAAACATTGAAACATTTTTATCTCACAGAAAATAAAAGAAATCCTGTTGTTTAGAAATTATAAAACTTGTTCTAAAGAGAAGGGAAATAGCTAAAAATTTAATGAGATACATTATGTGTCAATTATTACACAGTTTAAAGTATAATAAAACTTTATGGTAAAATTTCAAAATGGTAGTATATTTTATATTATGCTTAATTTTTGTTTCATTTGCATTTAAAACTTCGATGGATAATTGTTCATATTATTTGAAATAGAAAAAGAATTGTAAAATATTAAACTGTATTCAGTTTAAACATACCTACGCATTTTTCTCCATTATAGATAAGCGAAAAATTCCTGCATGCGCAAGTCGTCCATCCGCCAACAAAAGATTGGCAATCTGCTTCGGCTTTAATACATTTTATCTTTAGCTCCTCTGTGCAGCCTGTGATTATCTCGCATCTATCTCCTTTCGTACCATCTTTGCATCTGCAAAAGCCTCTTTGACATTCTCCCCCATTTAGGCATTCACCATATGCCCTACAAGGCACTAGAAATAATAAGGAGTATTAGAAATCATACAAGAATGCATAAAATAGCTATTTTAAGGTATGATTCTACGTACAATTTAATGTAAAATATACGAAGTTAGATTCTTAAAGAATCGTGACTTATTTTAAGCTTCGTTCTTGCTGAAGAATAGAAAATTCTTTATAATGGTAGAACCTACTTAACTTCAGAATTAACGCATTATATTTTTAGCCTTTTATTGCGTTCATACACCAAATTCTATGCCCCTTACATTTAGCTTTTAATTTGATATGTACCTGTATATAAGCGCAGCTACTAAAATTATATTACTTTACGCAACTTAGAAGAAAAGCAAGTCTTTCATTCTGTACTAGGCCGAGAATATTAATCTTCTTAGAGCAGGCATTCTGAAAGCCAAATGCTTTCTCATAGAGATTCAAAACACGCATCTTTCATTTGCTAATCAGATATACTAACTTCCTAACCTACAAGAACTCACACAGAGAAATTTACAATTCCTTAAAAAATGTTTTCTTCTGATGCTACAAGATACGCAAAAAGTAGCATACTTCCTATGTGCCTTACTAATACAATAACATACAACATTGTATGTATGTATAGTAAGGTAATATAGTATACACATATATATGCATTAATTATTAGGAAAGCTAAACGTGTGATTTAAAATCCATGATATATGCAAGGTTAAGTTTCCACCAGGTTTCCTTGTTCATTTTATCAAACATTCATGAATTGATTACCCGGAAGATTTCATGCACGGCATTTCTAAGTATAACATTTGTTAAATAATGGCGCCGTTCTACAGATTTTTGATGAAACTCTTGTCATTTGATGTCATAAAAATAAGGCTTCTTGAAACGAGAGCTGAACAGCTGCTCGATCTTTGACTGATACAGCTATTCGAAAATATGATTCAGACACCAAGTATGTCCTAAATGTATCTTTCTAGAATCAATCCTGAGCAGGATTCTTGAACATTCTTGATATTTATGGATTAACTTAAGTTCATTGATAAAGGTAAAATATTCTTGATGAAGCTCTTTCTATTAATTGCCAAATTACATAAAGCTTCTTGGAACTGGAGCTAGACAGACCGAACCAGCAATCGGAAAACATCGTCGTTCAGAAAGCGTCGAACAGGCTGCGTCAAGTAAATTAGCGCCGCATTATACTGGAACTATATTGAGTAGGATTTTTGAGGTTCATAGTTATGGATTAGGTTAGGGTTTGATGATTAAGGAAAAGTACATGAAGAATGTCTGCCTAAGGGTAGAAATGTGTTAGTAGAGGATGTTTTAAAGAAAGCTTGTATTTGCTCCCGGTAAGTCTAACAGTTATGGAATAAGCCCAAATAAGCACATTTGAATCACAGTCTCGATATGTTTACAATTGAATACTTGGCGATGATAAACGTTTTTGACTCAGTTACAAAACATGGGGCTAAACAGAAGAAGTGCAATCATCCCCATTTTTACCTCGACATAAAATAAACTATACGCAAATTATTTGAAAGAAATGTGACATTTGAATTCCAAAGAAAAATACTGCTTAAGCAGAAGATTCAATAAATCTTGCATTAACTCCTTCACATCCAATCCACCCGACACTGCCCTACATTGAAACAACCAGAACCGCCCGAAAACGGCCGAGATCGTAATCTTCTTTTCTTCCCTCCCCCTAAGGTATGCAATAGCAGGTGCACTTTCCCAAAGCCTTTTTATCAGTTACTAAGACAGTTTGTCCTAAGAGTTTTTTTATCTTTTGTTGATCGTGACATTTGTTGTGATTTTTTGTGGTACAGGTGCTTTTAAGCTTTAACAGAATAAAAGAGCAGCAGTTTAAAATTAGGAGTATATTTTTTTTAAACAATTATCTCCTATAAAATAACGAAAAAACAAAATCTCATCTGATCATACAAAGCGGAAAGGTTGTAATCTGACTCAGATAGTTCTATAAGAAGGGTCAAAGGTAATGGAAATGTGTTAGAAAGTACAACGGATGTCATGAAATGTTCACAACGATTTCTGCTTTAAGGACGGGGAGGGGAGAATGCTGGGAAACTGGAACATTATTTGGGCTGTTCGATCTTTTGAGGATACAGCTAGCGAAGGGTCTGGATTTTAAAGAGTTAATGTAATCTGCATTAATATGAGGCAAGGCATGAGGCTCACAGGGAGGACGTGCGCAGTATAACATGTCCCTTCTGCTCGCGCCTGTAACTTTTGAGATTTGCGACATGAACGGGATTATACAGGGTGTGCATAAGTCGACCATTTTGATGTAATAATCATAAAATAATGAAGCTATAAACAAAACTTATGGCAGTTATTGAGGAATAACTTATATAGTTCCTTTCAGGTTTTGAATATCTTTGGTAAATATGTCTGGCGTGTGTGGTAATATCAGATAATTTCATTTTACCAGTCTAAATATCTGTACTTTTCTAAATATCGTCTGCTTATTAATTGCATTTTTCTCTCTTTTGGTTTTTGCAACTATTGCAATGTTATGGACATTTTCCTTTGGGGATTTTTAAAGGACAACGTTTCCAGGAGGAGAGTGTCGAACATGGATAACCTAAAAGCCAGAATTACAACCGCAGTAGCTTCTGTGGATGCCGACATGCTTGCCGGTACCTGGCTTTAAATTGAATTTCGACTTGATATTCTCCGTGCGACAAAAGGGCCACACGTGGAAGCCTATCTAACCATTTGTGTTATTAATTTTAATCTATCTTTATTGTTTTATGAGTTATTAATCATCAAAATGGGTCTCGGACTTATTAACACCCTGTATTTAATATCTGTAAAATGGGGTTTTAAAGACGTATGCAATCTGGAAATTATTTCCTTTGTGCTACTGATAAGAACTATTTTAATATATGCACTTCGCAAAATGACGCTCGCTTGGCCTTTGGCAGGAAAAATTTGTCTGTAAGACACTCATACATTCAAGACCCTTGAAGTAATTATCGTACATTTCGTTTTGCATAGGTTATGCCAAAAAAACTGGTAGTGGACTCTCATTTAGAGATTCTGCATAAATTACAAAATTAGTTTTATGAAAACTGCAATCTTTTTGCTTCTTTTCTTTTATAATATATGGACAATTTTATATGTTCATCAGAAGATTTTCTATTTCGACTCTCCCGTTTGTTAGCCATGATCGCAAGCTATTATTATCATATTATGAGATTATGATTATTCTTAAAAATTGTTTCTTATGTGATGTCTTCAAACATTATACTCAGGTAATTCTAATGAATGTCAAGTAATTGTAATACATTTCTAATTAATGTTAATTAAATAATAATAGCAGGTTTCTGAATCTCTCGAGTGTTTTTCTGTTTAGAAAATAAAATTTGTTGCCTGTTTTGTTGGTGATTTTGTTTACAAAATGGTGTTAGTTGTTTTGCAAAATGTAATACATATTTTT